CTGGGGGTCGTTTGACTGATCCTCATTCAAGCGATGGTGAGCAGTGCTCAAACTTAAGGCTAGGGACAAGATAATATATTAGTTAGTGAAGTAAAGAAAGGATACAAAGGAAGGCTTACTGACCTAGGGACAAGAGGGCAAAACTGAGGTCTCTAGGGCAGCAGAGGCCGGTTTATATACATGGTGGGTTTAGGGCAGGCTGTGCACGTTGGTCTGTGTGCAGTTGGTTTGTGTGCAGCATTGCTGACATAGCCCCGGGGGTCGATAAGTTAGCGTGTTGTGTAAGCAGCGCCAGGGCTGTGCCGTGCACTGCCGCCCCATCTAATCTAATTGTACAGTAGATAAGGACTTGTCCATTTGAGCATATAATACAGGGGTCACAGGTTTGAGCCCACAGAAAGGAAAAAATTTAAAAATGGCTGAATGCAGTACCAAGTTGTGCCACAACCGGCTGCCAACGGGGTGGCTGTGAAAGTATGCATCGCTCTCCACATGCACAACAACCTGCACCTGCTTGTGCACCTTGCGCCAGTGGAATGCGAGTGCCCCATGTGTATTCATGTGCAGCTCCTGCAACTTGCATGACATGTAGCTCATGTAGAAGACAAATCTGCGCAGGTCCAGCTGCTTAAAGAGCATGATGTGCACGGAGGGGATCCCAGCCATGGACACTGTGCAGAGTGTCATTGCCTCAGACTCATGCACGATGCCCTGCACTGGTACCTGTGTGAACCAGGATCAAAACTGATTGAAGGGTGAGGCGAGGACCACCGATGGTGAGAGCAACTCAGGTGCATGGTATTGTTTGTGTGCAGTGTTGCATTGCCTATAAGAGTGGCAGGTCATATCAAGTCATGAAATCAATGGTTAGGCAGATCCAACAAGAGCAATTCACACACATACAGCTTATTGTAGGTGTGATGTGCTTCCATTCCCACCAGGGATGAAGCTTATGTTGGACACAAAACATACACTTACAAATGTTCTGGGTCTGAGGACACCAGTGCTGCTCAGACAGCACTACCACAGAATTTATCATATGGAGCACCTGTGTTCTGAAGAGAGTCCAATTGAGCTTAGGTTCCCTAAAGGTGGAGGCTATGATTGGAAGAAGACCACAAGATTCAACATAGCAATGTCCAAACAAAGACACTGATTTGCTGACAGCTCAAATGAAATCAAGAGGTATTTGCCCATGTTTGAAGGGTAAGCAGGAACAGGGGACCAAAGAAGGTCATACATTCCTGCTCGGCAGTCCAAATACTCATTATCTGATAGATTTATGCCCTCTCATGTAACCAGCTAAAGTGATTGTGAGAGCAGTTATGATTATGAGCTCGGCAGAGAGTGATTTGTTCTGGAATTCATGTTCACTCAAAATTGAGATCAGTCGCCTTGATACAGAGTCCAAATTGCTTGCAATATTTGGGTTCTGGACATGTAACATTTCTGTCTGATTGATTTAGGATTTAAGAAGAGGTAATAGGAAACATCTCTGCTAGTTGTTCTTCCCATAAAATAGCCCCGATTACTATATCATACGAAGCATTCTGCGAGGCCGAACAATCCAAAAATTGTAGAGTTAATGCTTGATTTGTCCTAGATTATGGCCTCACGGATATTACAATTAAGACCTATGAATTAATCTACGGATATCCTTTGAAAACTCTACTTGTCAGTACAATGTTTTGTCACAGAACAATCAATGAATATCATGGCCTATATTCGAGGAATGATTATGTAATATATTTGTTGCCATATTCGGAGCTCCGAATATGCGGCACTTATTTATGGCTTTCTTTCGATATTTGGAAATCAGGTATTCAATTTTTATTTCCTACACTTCGATGGATTTCTGGACAATATTCGGAGAGCGGAAATCTTGGATTGCCCCCAGTGTATGGGTGTGTCTGAAGGGCTCGAGGCAGGTAGCGACGCAGCCTTATTGGGCTTGGATTTGGTATACAGCCCGCACCCCTAGTGCTTACTAGAAGAACTTGACCTGTGCTTGGTCTCGCTCTTTAGAATTTATGAAGCATGTTGCACAATAGTTCAAGCTGGGCTGAAAACATTGTCGTGTGCTGCGGGTGGAAGACTTCTAAGAAAGAGTAACGGAACACGATGGATACATTGTTTGCAACAGCTCTAAGCACAAGCGGGGCATTCAGATGAAATCGTGAAGGACCTCAAGGCACGTACATATTCCAGGCCCAGGATATTGATACAGCATACATTATCTGCTCGCTAAACCTTCTCATCATACCCGATATTGACGCACAACCCCATCGTCTGCTGCAGTCCACAAATGTTCTCCTTGCACAACCCGCACAGCGCGCACAGGATCGCAGTCTGTCCCCACAAGCTCAGCACGCACACTGGGCGCATGTGGGTGCACGCTCGCGATGTACGGCAGCCCGTCCTCCGTGGCGATTGCGAGCCCGACCTCCGCAATATCACCATTCGTATGTGGCACAGTCCCGTTGACTTCCAGGTGTGGCAGCGCGAATGCCGAACGGCCAAGGTCAACGAATGCGACGTCCTCTACGGATGCACTGTTGCGCCTGAATGTCGTCAGCGGTGCGCCGAGCGCGCGTACATCGTAGATGGAAACTAGGCCCGAAGCGGATCCCGTCGCAAGAAGGCTGTGCTCCGCTGCGTACGCAATCGTGTTCAGCGCGCTCGCGCCCGTTCCGGCGGTGGAGCGGAAGACGCGCGTCTTGGTGCGCAGGTCGACCTGCTCGAATGTACCGTCCTGCAATGCACAAAATGCTAGCTTGTCCGCGGTGTCCACCTCACGGGGGTCTAGCGTGCCGTCAGCTGCGGCTGAGCTTGAGGCCGAGCCGGTGCCGAGGCTGAGCGAAAGGATCGGTGCGGCGGTGGTCATCATGCGGATCTGCTCGCCCGAGGGAGCGTCCCAGAGGCGCAGCGTACTGTCCTTAGACCCCGAGAGGAGGTTGCGGCCGCGTGAGACGATCGCAGCCGAGGTGACTGCGCGCGCGTGCCCACGAAAGGTGCGGGCGGGAGCGGGAGCCGGTGGTGCGGAGGCAGCAGATGGATCTGGCAGCTCGGCTGGGATGATGGTGACAGAGAAGTCGTTGCCGGTAGTGAGGAGGACACGGGAGGAGGGGAAGAAACGGAGAGCAGTGACGGTGCTGAGGTGCGGCTTGCAGATGGTGGGTGGGGCCGAGGGCGAGGAAGCGGAGTGGATGGAGACGGAGCCGTCGTGGTAGCCGACGGTGAATTGGCTGCCATCGGGAGCGACGTCGAATGCTGTGATTTTAGTCGCCTGGGAGTTGGGGACATGGTGTAAGCAGGCAGGTGTATGTATTCATGGCAACAAGAGGACGCACCCGGCGTGGATTAGAGGAAAGACCGGTGTAAGACTTTGTGGGCACGGCGAGGCGTGTGCGTGGAACATTCAGCGCTGGGCATCGAGCTGCGAATACAGTCTAAAGACAAAGTCACCCTTTCCTGACAATTTGCACATTCACCGGAGAAATGGAGGATACACAAAGCTCACCTCGTTGTGGTGTTCCATTCCGACGCCATCTCTCCCCTCCAAGCGGACAAGATCGCGATCGACGTCGTCCAGAGTGGCAAGCACCTTGCCATGAACCGAGGTCTCGCCTGCTTTGTAGCACGAGAGCCAAAAAGTCTCGTCCGAGACCAGTGCTTGACGTACATCTGAGATCACTGAACCAAAGTCGGGCTGTACAGTCACAATAGGGAGGACGACGGCACCGACACTCATGCTTCCGTCGTAGATCCAGATATATAGTCCAAGTGATTGGGCGAGATTTGTGGTAAATCCCCTGCAAGCGAGCTTCAGCTGGACTTGAAAGAGTCGAATCTTCTGACGGTCTTGCTCGAAACGCCGACATGAGATCAATCGAGCGCTTGTTCCAAACGCGTCAAAATTTGTGCTTTCGATCACGGGCGCTTACCACTACCTCTCGCTTGCAATTCATTTTGGGCTGGGACATCTTGACTTTCTCCGACCATGCGGAAGCAACTCGACCCCCGTCTTCCCATTCTTATCAACAACAATGTCAAGAAGAACCATCGCTCGTTCATAGTCTTGGTCGGAGACAAGGGCAGGGACCAGGTGAGCTTCTCGCCGAAGACATAGCAAGGCACTTAGTTCTCAATGGCGGAAGCGGTGGATTTGACGGGACATGCTGCATGATTTATCATCGGAAGGTGCTGGCCAGGCCATGATATCCAGTCCAAGGATTATGTCTCGGCTAAGTACCTTGCCGTAGGGCAGCCTGTACCGCCGTGACCAGTCGCACTCGTGTGTACTGTTAATCATATTCTGATCACCCTTTACACGAATGTATCTTGCAGGTTGTGAATCTTCATTTCCTACTTTCGCAAGCTCGTGTATCTGCTCGGCCCTCAGTCCTATGGTGCTACAAAAAGGATCTTGGCTTTACGAGGTACGCACACAGTCATCCTTTACTGTGTTCCTCCTCACACAGTTCTACTTAGCCATCGGAAAAAGCGTGAGGCCAAGATTAAACGAGACGTTAAGCGAGGCATCCGTGAACCAAACGACCAAGATCCCTTCGAGATTTTCATCACCGTCACTGACATACGCTACACGTAAGTGCACGGACATATGTATCAGCGTACATACCCCTCATCTCCATGCAGATACTACAAGGAATCACAAAAGATTCTCGGTCAGACGTACGGCATGTGTGTGCTGCAGGACTTTGAGGCCATCACACCCAACCTGCTCGCACGCACCATCGAGACCGTGGAGGGCGGTGGACTCGTCGTCATTTTGCTCAAGACCATGAGCTCGCTGCGGCAACTGTACACCATGACTATGGTATGTCGTGCACCTCATAACGATAATCGACCGATACTCACGTCCGCCAGGATGTACACGCCCGCTACCGCACGTCAGCACACGACACCGTCGTCGCGCGTTTCAACGAGCGCTTTATCCTCTCGCTCGGCTCTTGTGACGACTGCCTGGTGCTCGACGACGAGCTGAACGTATTGCCGATCTCGCGGGGCAAGGATATTGCGCCGCTTGAGGATACTCCGGGCAAGGGGAAAGAGGCATCCGAGCTGAAGGAACTGCAGGACAACCTTGCGGACACGAAGCCTGTTGGCGAGCTCGTCAAGCTCGCAAAAACGGTGGACCAGGCCCAGGCACTGCTCACATTCGTGGACGCGATCGCGGAGAAAACGCTCTCATCGACTGTCACGCTCACCGCAGCGCGCGGTCGTGGCAAGTCGGCGGCGCTCGGGCTCGCAATCGCCGCGGCCCTTGCGCACGGGTACTCGAATATCTTCGTGACAAGTCCAAGCCCTGAGAACTTGAAGACGCTGTTCGAATTCATATTCAAAGGCATGGATGCGCTTGGGTACGAGGAGCACCTCGATTACGACATCGCACAGAGCACAAATCCGGACTTCAACAAAGCGATCGTACGCGTGAACGTCTTCCGAGATCACAGGCAAACCATCCAGGTATGCGTCTTTACCCTTTCTGCGTGCATCCATTTGACCCCACGCAGTACATACAACCTCAAGACGCCCATGTTCTAGGGCAGGCCGAGCTCGTCATCATCGATGAGGCCGCAGCGATCCCGCTCCCGCTTGTACGCAACCTCATCGGGCCCTACCTTGTTTTCATGGCGTCGACAATCAACGGCTATGAGGGCACGGGCCGATCGCTGTCACTCAAGCTCATCCAGCAGCTGCGCGAGAGCACACGGCCCTCGCTCACGAAGGATGCCGCCGCCGAGGACGCCTCCGCCTCCGCGGCGAGCTCGTCGAAGAAGCCTTCGGCGAAGGCGCCGCCCAAGGCGCGTACGCTGCGGGAGATCAAGCTCGAGACACCGATCCGGTACGCCGCAGGAGACCAGGTCGAACGGTGGCTCAACGGTCTACTTTGTCTCGACGCCACGCTCGTGCCCAAGGCAGGCGTGCACGGCACACCGCACCCGTCGCAGTGCGAGTTGTTCTACGTATCTCGTGACACGCTGTTCAGCTACCATCCCGCGTCGGAAGTGTTCCTGCAGCGCATGATGGCGCTGTACGTCGCGAGCCACTACAAAAACCAGCCAAACGACTTGCAGTTGTTGTCTGACGCACCCGCGCACCACCTATTTGTGCTCCTGCCTCCGATCAAGGACGACGAGAGCCACCTGCCAGAGCCGCTCGTCGTGTTACAGGTTGCGCTGGAAGGGAACATCAGCCGGCAAGCCATCATGGACGGGCTCCATCGAGGGTTCCGCGCTGGTGGTGACATGATTCCTTGGCTCATCTCGCAGCAATTCCAAGAGAGCAAATTCGCATTGCTTTCCGGCGCGAGAATCGTCCGTATAGCGACACATCCGGATTACGCAAATGTGTGTCAAACGAAACTTATCGCTGCTTTTGCTGTTGATGCTGACCAGGTGCCATGTAGATGGGATACGGTGCTCGTGCACTACAAGCGCTGAACTCATTCTACAGCGGAGAATACTTTAATCTTGACGAAACATCGCAGCCAGAACCATCGTATCCAGATCCAGCTGCGATCGATGATGTACGTTTTCACAAGAAGGTGGCGTATCACATGTACTGACATTTTGCACTCTTGCAGACGATGGATCTTCTGACTGACAAGCCTACTGTTCGTGCTGCAACAGCCATGCCGCCCCTGCTGCAGCGCCTAACAGAACGGAAACCTGAGACACTGGACTACCTCGGTGTATCGTATGGCTTGACTCCTCAGCTCCTCAGGTACGTAGATAGCTGATTAACACGGGCGAACGTTCACGGTCTCGCAGATTTTGGAAACGAGCAGGCTATGTACCCCTCTACGTACGACAGACGCAGAGTGAACTTACTGGAGAGCACACTTCTGTCATGGTACGGGGATTGAATACCTCAACAAACAGTGAACTGGAGTGGCTGGGAGAATTTGCCAAAGGCATGTTGCTTGTGTTGCTACGTTTGTTAGAAGACTGACTGTGATTGGCAGACTTCCGGCGGAGATTCCTCTCGTTGCTCTCGTTCAAGTTCCGGGAATTCGGCAGTGTCACTTCCTTGAGCATACTTGAGGCTGCTAACAATGGTGTTAAAATCCTCGGCGATGATGGCACAAAAGGTTTGATGTTTCACGAGTCATGATTCTTATGCGCTGAGGTAGGCTGACACCCTTTCTAGCGCTCACACACGCCGAAATGTCGATCCTCCTATCCCCCTTCGACCTCAAGAGACTCGAGTCATACTCTAATAACATGCTGGACTACCATGTCATCCTCGACCTCTTGCCAACGGCCGCGTCTCTCTACTTTGAGAAGCGACTGGGAGACGAGGTCCATCTCAGTGCAGTGCAGAGCTCCATCCTGCTGGCGCTCGGTCTGCAGCGAAAAACGATCGAAGAGGTTGAAGTACGTCTCGATCCGCTCTCCTATTTCTCCTGGTCGCTGATCGGTTTCGGTCTGCACTTTCAGGCAGAACTGTCGCTCCCCGTTTCACAAGCGCTTGCGCTTTTCGTCAAGGTGATCAAGAAGTTCAGCAAGCGGCTCGTCGATATCCAAAAGAGTGCGATCAGTGCCTCGATGCCGGAGGAGCCCGCGGCATCACGCCTCGAGTCCGGAGAAGGCGGCACGAACTGGAAGCCTGTGGAGACGAGCCTCGAGGCGGAGCTCAAGGACGCAGGCAACGAGGCGACCCGGGCGCTGCGGGAGAAGCAACGCGAGATGATCGACTCGCTGGACCTGAGCAAGTGAGTATATATATTTCTGCCATTCCCCACGGCTTCCGACATTGTCTCGACGCATTGCTTGAACCTGGCGCGGCTCACAGACTGTCTCTCTCGTCTTAGATATGCGATCGACGATTCGTCCGCCAACTGGAGCATGGCCGAAGCACAGATTGCGAAGCTCGCTAACGGTGGTGCGCACGGCAAGTCTACGGTCATCAGTGTGAAGGCAACTGTCACAGGACAGAAGAGGAAGGCAGACGATGGCGAAGAGAAGGGCGGAAAGGACAAGGAAAAGAAGGGTTCACGAAGGAGTATGAAAAAGGCCAAGCGGTAGTGTTTAGCTCGACTGCAATATCTCACCTATAAATACTCTTCTTTTGGTTCCTGGTTTCAGCGCCCTACAAGGCAGAAGACGAGGTCGCCTACCATTAGATGAATCCAAGCATGATAATCGTAAGGTGCTGATTGGCTATCTCTAAATTCAAACGGGTAAAATACATCATAGCTCGTTACAGAAGTCGTCAGTATACTATGTGCCTCATCATCATCATCACATCGTGAAGTATCTATCCCATACAAGGGTATGCAGGACATAACACCCAACATGTCACCCGGTCCACTGCGGATGCGGAGCGCACTCATACATCGAGGTCCTTCTCGCGCACTTCCCGTATGCTTGCGGCACGTGAACTTGCGTCGGCAGAGTCTTGCACTTCCTCGACGTCGGGCATCTCCTCGTCGCGTCCGGCACCCTCTTCGAACGCCGCCTTGTACTTCTCGAAGCGCGAGCCGTGGTTCCTGTATGTGTCAAGACGTCATGGGTGAGCAGACGTTCCTCGCGTGCACTTGACAGGCGACATAAGACGATACGTACTCAGGGCCGACGATCGTGCAAAGCACCACGAAAGCGGCGACGACACCGACAAGAATACCTTGCACCTACAGGCAGATGTGGATTCCCCCGTCACAGAACATCCAGCTCACTCAATGTACTGCGGACTTACGGTGGCATAATTGGCGACCAACTTTGGCTCCCCGTTCACGATAGTCGTCACTTTTTTTAGATGGGCGGCACCGGCTGCGGCAAGAACACGAGGTTAGCATGGGACCATCAGAAGAGCGCAGACAAAAATACGCACTGGCTTCGATCTGCGCGGACGCAGACGAGACCATCTATAGCGCCATGAACGTTGTGTCAACCACGCAGCGCACAGGAGACGAGGACACGGCAGATGCATAGATGTATAACTTACGTTGCCTATTTGATACGCGACGCCAGGGAATGTTGCACGGAATGCAGGGGGCGACATCTCGTTCAGCTGGATTGGGATCTGTCATGTGTTTCCCGGACATACTCAGTCATCGATGGAGAACCATGGCAGAAAGACAGCCACTTACGACACCCCATGCGCCCTGCACACCGAATTGTATGCAGAACGCGCCTGCGGCAAGAGCGCCGAATGTCGACGGAAGGATCCAAAGGGGAATGAACGCTGCGAATCAAGGGTCACTAGATTGGACGTATGCAGTGGCTCGGGTAGACATACCTCCCACAATCACCACAAACATGCTAAGCAGCGAGATGAGCAGATAGCACAGAAAAAAAGGCAACACTCACATGATGGTCAGACGTCGGCCAGCATACTGACTCAACCAGCCAGCAATAGTGCCGCCGCTGTCAAAATATCAGCAAAGCACGAAAACGAAGCGAGCGTATGTGCACTCACGCGATAGCGCCCTGTAAGACATCAATGAGACGCATTCACATGTGACAATAGTGAACATCAACGTACGCAATTCCCGATAATAGTAGCCACAGTTGCATCGTGTTGGCTGAATCCTTTGGTTGTGGTGAGGTACGTGGGGTACAAATCCTAGAAGCAAGCATCAGCGTCGTGCCGGGCGTGCGCGAGATCGGTACCAACCTGAGAGCCGTGCGACAGGAAGTTGAAGCCTGGTGCCAGTTAGCCCTATAGAGTCATATCTCCAGCGTATTGAGTCGCCCACCTGTCATCAACAAGACCGCGTAGCAGCACAATATCCAATGCCGCTTAAGCATCTCCCACGTCTCGTGCATGAAGACGCGTGTCTTGTTCACCGTGGTATGACCCTGCGCACGCTCTACCGCCTTCGCGCGCAAAAAGAGCTCACTCTCCGGTAGGACCGCACGGACGGCTGCCGCAAGCACAGACAGGCCCGCGCCAAGCCAGAACAGCCCTCGCCACCCAGACGAGGTCTCAGGCACAAGGGTGAGGTTCACGACGGCGGCAATGAGGTATCCCACCGCGTATCCCTCCTGCAAGAAGCCAGAGGCAAGCCCACGCGCCTCCACGGGGAGATTCTCGAGCGCAGTTGACGACGCCAGGCCCCAGATGCCGCCCATGGCGACGCCGAAGAGGGAACGCACGGCGAGGAACTGCGGGAATGTTTGCACAAAGCCGGAGCCAAGCTCAAAGGCGGCAGCGATGAGGAGATTCGCAACGAGGGGCCATTTTCGGCCGTAACGGTCGGACAGTACACCGAAGATGATCTGATATGGGGGGCAGAGCGAGTCAGCCCCAATTTTTCAACTGAGCCACTGTATGACTCGATGGCGCGCGCGTTGGCCGATAATCGTGACGACGCGCGCCGAAGCACCCTGTTTAATATTGCGTGAAATGGGTACTCACTGCACCCAGCGAACGGAACAACAACGTCAAAGTAATTGCTGTCGTCTATGTGAAAGAACATCGTCAGAGCCGCCGTTTCGTGCAGTGACATCACGTGACGGACAATAGTTCCAGGAGGCTTGTTGAACTGTTTCTCGAGGTTGGTGACACTGAGAGACACGCTGAAGAAATCAAACGAGTCGCATATCCACGCCAGCCATCTGAAAACGATCGCTCATCAGTCAGAAACGCTAACGCGCAGTCAAACGCGGGGAATTTGGTGGCAACTTACCCACACCAGAAGTGGCCCCACTGCACCAAGGTAATGCTGCAGATGGCAGCCCAAAGGGTCTTGCTGTCGACTGACCTTTCACGGCGGGGAATGAAGCCCGTATATAGACTGTGCAAGTAGTCAGACGGCATGGTGGGGGAGACGAAGTGAGCCTTCAGCAGGATCGAAAGGAAGTCAGGCGCTATAAAAAGGGAGGCGCTTTACCCCGCATCAGCCCCCACATTGGGGAAGCGTCAGTTGACAAGGGCCGAGTGCCGGATCTTTCGCCGCACCTGCCATAATTCCGAAATCGGGGACGCCAACAGAATGGATTACGCTGATAAGCGACAGCAGCTCGCGGATGCCTGCAGGCAGCTGCGAGACTCCTGCTCCTCACCGACGATCCAGCCACCAGGGTCACTGGTTCTTCGGAAATTATCGAGTCGTTTCGAGTGTCGCGCACATCGAATTCGGGCATGAGCTATAGCGGGCGTCTGTGACTGGATCAATCCGGTGTCCCGCACGCGGGATCGTTCTCTCCGGGTTTGGAAACCTCTTTACCGGTCGCCCCCCGCATGATCAGGCACAAAACTCCCATTGGCAAGCTCCATCCGCTAGGCGCGTTGGTGACGGCCTTCAGAAGTTGAGGATGGAGATTGCGTATGCAGATTATGTCCCAGAACTCCTGCCGCGGAGCGGCATCCAGTTTGTAATGCTCGGGACAGAGCACAGCGCTGGTCATTTGAAGCCCTTCACTATCTCATTTCATCATGATCAATAATGTCGTTATACATGTCAACTCGGATAAAACACGTTCGTGAGGTTCAACGCACGTACCAGGGAGCTCAGGGAACGCCCAGAGGCGCGTATCTAATCTGCTGCGAGATCTCATGAGTACTTCACCCTCGACTTGCAACTTGAATATCCATTGATATTTGTCAGACGCCTTGCATATGTACCGGCCCCATGGATACGAATATAGAGCGGGCATGGAGGCGAGGAAACAAGACAGGGAACTTTGGTTAAGCGTAACTGACCCATCTTGCTCAGTTGTATCATGAGACTCAGAATGCGACCACAAAGCCCCGACACACGAGTAGATGAGTAGACTGGGAGAGATACCACGGCATCGACTCGACAGAGGTGACCAGAATCTACCTCCTCAAATGAGGTTTGACGGGCGACTGTTTTCACAGGATTCGGCTCTGTGTTATCCTTCAAGGTGATAGAAGTGACAAGGCCTATGATAGCCTCACGCTGAAGAAGTAAGGCAAAGGCAAAGCTCTCAGAAGAAGATGAGGAGGGGAGATAAAGGTCAGGATCGATTGAAGACCACACGTCCTTGTGATCGGGGAGAGCCGGGAGAGAACCGGGGGAGGGGCTTAGGCCAGCTCGCCATCGCCATTTGACTCTTATGTGTTCTCTATGTTTCATGATTGACCAACGGGCGAGGCTTTCGAAAGCCGTTGTCAGTCCATGGAGATGCTACATCGAAGATACAACAAGCTCTCGAGGAGTGTCCATAAACGGCAGCTAGTTTGCCACATTCGGCATTTGGAAGCGACAAACGATGACATCAGCCCTCAGATATCAATTTACTAAGCTGAGGTCTCCGCTTTCTGTAAGCCATCTATCAATGTGTCCAACATTGAAAACCAGATGGATCGTTCATATCGTCCAGACGACGCAGACGTAAGGACTAGGTATATGTTAGATACTTATGCGTAAGTTATATATCCACAATTCAAGTTCTCAAGAAGTTACACATACGCAGGTGGCGGATCATCTAAAGCCAACTCAGCCGCGCGCAGCCGCTCTATCTCCACCAGCAGGTACTCGATTTGTCTTGTCAAAGCGGGGTTCTCAATCGCGTCGACCCCATAGCCGGGCACCGCTTCCTCCCCGTCCTGTACGTGCGCAAGATCACGGGACACAGGCCTTGGCCCATGGCGCCGCAGCTCCGCGACGTGTTCCTCGATACCGCGCCGTTCGCGCGCCAGCTCTTCCCGCAGGTTCTTGGTCCTGGTCTGTGTCGCGGTATCCAGACGTGTCTGTGAGGTGAAGGCAGCGGAAGTCTTCCCAGCCTCCCAGCTGAATCGCCGGTGGTACAGAAGCGGGGAGTGCGGACGAGATTGAAGCGCAGGAGATGGTGGGGGATGCTTTGTAAACCCATGTTTCGGTACCATCCAGGATGGGTATGCGTATTGATGCATCGCTGTGCCGCCTGGCTCTAGCGTGCGCTCCAACGTCTTCCATTTGGCATCTGCTCTTTTCTTCGCATTTCGTCTCCGGCGGTAGTACCAGTACAAGAAGACAAGCGTAGCCGTGACAATGACAGGGAATCCCACCGCAGCGCCGATAATGGCCCCTGTAGGTCGGCCTGCAGCGAGTGGTGTACTAGACAACGCCGTGTCTGAGGTTTCCGTAGGTTGAAGGACAATAGATGAAGTACTAGCCGGTGTCGTATTTGAACTTCCTGCGGGGAATATTGATGCAGGGGGTATTGATGCAAGAATGCTGGTATCGGGTACTTCGCTGTGGTTGACTATCGCATCAGTTTCTCAATATTTCCAGCGATGTAAAGCATCGCAAACCTGGGATTGCCATTAGTATTTACTACACTGCTTGCGACAATACTTGTTGAAGCATTTGGAGGTCTATACGCCGGGGTTACGTGAGACACAATTGGAGAGGTGGGTGGTATAGGAGGTGGAATGGGAGTCGTTGTGGACGTCAAAGTGGTGAAACGGGGAGCAGAGGAAGAGGGCCTGGTAGTCACTTTAGTAAAAGTGGAAGCAATCTGAGGGGCCGTAGTGTGTGTGGAGGGTGCGTTGGTGTGCGTTGGTGTTGGCGTGGCCGAACTCGAAGGAACGCAAAGATAGAAAAAACAAGAGAAAGAAGAATGAGAGAGATCTTCTGATGGTCGTACTCCAACGAGTCCCGAGCCAAACATCGATGTATAAGACACTCCCTGTCAAGCGTTGAAGAATCACGATTGAAGTATCGACCCAAAGAGGCCTGAAATTGAGCGTTGTTCTGAAGCAAAGCAATTGGAACGCAAGTTCGACCAGTAGCCAGAGCTCTGTATGCACTGTGATACTAAGTCATTCGTTCTGGGCTTCTGCCGGTCACAACACAGGGTCAGCTTCTGACTTCTGCTTAGTTAAGGTCAGGAGAGGGACATACATGTGTCCGACGAGCAAGGCGTGGGTACCGGTTAAGTAGACAAGTCGTGAATTGGGGAACGGTAGGTCGCGTGAAGTGAGGAGATGAGATGGTTTTATCGGAAGCGCATGACGGAGGTATACACTTGGGAATTTCCAAAAACAGACGCATATAGTTATTCATACACCTAACGAACTCAGCAAACGACATCAGCATCACAGGAAACTAGGAAGTGAAAGAACTGTTACGCACGAAGGACTTGATATATGGTATGGTACAACCTTAGTGTCGACCGCTTCTCAAGTTGAATTTCAACGGTGAAAAAAGATATTGCCGTCGGAGCCTGCGCTAAGGGGGCGATGTGATGCACGATCAGACAGCGTGCCCCGATAACTCCATCGGAGTCTGCATCCTGTTGATCCGGAAATGTATTCCGTTTAATGAATGAGTGCTATGCTGTATCTAGGCAGTTGAACTTTCTTATCGACATGAAAACGACAGCATCGTGATAATTCAACATCCGCACCTCTGTGCATATGATTGATATTGGCCGTGACAAATATTGCGTGTGCCGCTGCTGATAATGAATCAACGGCACATATCCATGGCTCAACCGCCCGACAGGAAGGTCCGCCTGCAAAGGTGACATCGTCATAAGTTTCAAAGCTCGGCATGACTTACTAGTTGCACTTCGCAGTGCTAGCCAGGCCCGGTTAGCTGATCGTTCGACATTTGGCTCGGAGACAAGCAATTAGGTTATGTTGATGCATGTTGACCCAGGCGGTGCATGCTGTACACATTTACCATAAGTAGCAGGCAGATAGAATCACAGGTCATGGGCCAAGATGTGTCTCAACAGCGACAGAGATGGGGTGCACTCGTCAAATCCGTGGTTCTCGGACCTGTCGACGACTTCTTCATACGGCAGTGTAAGACTCATGTCAACAAGAACCGCAAGTGTGGTGTGAAATTCACATACCAACGCGTGCATCTCTACGATGCGACAATGGTCCTGAAACAAAGTTGTTCCCGCCACTTGCCTGGGGCGACGAAGCGATACCCGATCAACTCTCTCCTCGCCGTATACAAATGATTGATTACAAGCAGCTGCCAAAACGCGGCTCCTAGCCCTCACTTCGCTTCATGCTGCTAATAGCTTTTCAATCATTTGCTCACCGCTTCATTGGGCATTGCGAAGTTGTTGGTCGAGTCCCTATTATCTTGGAATTGACATCTCACTGGCTGTTTCACTCCTCTGTCTTTAATATACAGCTCTTATTCGGATGCTCGCGCCGAGAATACTTGAATAGCACCAGAGTCCCCCCTGTAATTGGCAAGCTAGAGACTTTTATACGAATAATGACAACATGAGAGACTCACAATCCTCCCAATGACTACATAGCTGATATGCAGGTGATGATAATCCTCAGACCACCTACGAGTTCGCGCTTCTAGTCATCTACGGTGCGTGCACGACGCTTCCCTCTTCGTCGTACGCAGGCGGTGGTGCAACCAGCGCTGCGATAACCACCTGTAGTCGTTCCACCTGTGTTTGCAAGCTTCCAATCTGCTGCTTCAGCTCCTCTGCGGCAAACGATAGCGAAAGCGAGTCCACGTGGTCCTCCGAGTTCCTTGGATTGTTGTCTATGCCCGGTGAAGGTAGCCGCGGTCGCTGAAAATCAGTAGCAATCCCGCGCGTTTCCCGTGCAATTGCTTCGCGTCGCATGGCCAATGCGTCGTGATGCGCTTGTTTTGCAGACGTGGTAGAAGTAGTCGACAAATTTCTGGAAGCATCCGAATAAATATTATTCGGTGACTCCGTACGAGCACTCTGTGAAACCAGGCCCAAGCTGCTGATTTGTTGAACCACTGGAATCTCGATTGGCAGGGCAAGCGGTGTAGGCAGGGACAACATCGGGGGCTGTGTTGCTACTCCATCGTCGTCTATGTCGAATGCGGGTTCCCGTCGACGAGGTCCATGCATCGGCTCATGGACTCGCTCACGTTGGATCATAGCGACACCTCTCCCAAGTCCACGGCGGCACCAGCAGAAGGCTAAGAGAGGCAAAGGCGCGATGGCGGCAGCACCTCCCATCACACCCCCAACAATGGCGCCGATAGGTCGATGTGACACAGCCGCTGCTGTCCTTTCATGCGAAGAATGGGTAGCAGAAGGCGCCGTGGCAGCGAGTGGTAAAGTAGCAGTAGACGATGTTGTGCTAGAAAGACCCGTCATCCTTCGCATTGGCTTAGCAAACATAGATGTACCGCTAACCTCGAGTGAGTGGATACATTGGGTTTCGATAGGGGGGATGAAGCAGATCTTGTAGACGTGCTCGGTGAGATCCGATCAGAGTTCGTTGAACTCGCGGCGATATGACTTGTAAAAATAGATGTGGAGCGACGTGTGCTGGTGGCAAAAGAGGAGTCAATTTCGGGATGATTTGTCGATCTGGAAGAAGGGGTGTCTGTAGGAAATACGACGAAGGATGGGGCGAGGGTGCTTTTGGTGGACTGCCTATGGGTATCAGAGTCAAGCGTAGAGCCTAAGACTACTCGAATTAACCCAGCCGAAAGTAAGACAGCCGCGAGAAGGGCAGACCTCATAGCGAGACCCAAGCCAGTGAGAGATGGCGGGCAGGCGAGATCGCCGACTCTAAAGGGGTTCAGTTTATATGTCGATTCGCGACCAAACCCGTCATGATCCGGAATGTCTTGTACTCGGTGCGCTTCATAGAAATGAGCAATTGCACAGAAGCTACCGACAAATATAGGAACATCAATACGCTTACCAACATTTCAACTGTGTTCGGAGACATAGTGCCTTTGCGTGTCAATTGGGTAGGCTCTAGTATTAGGATCAAGTCAGTATGGTTCTGGCCGCCGAGGAATTAGACACGTGAAAGGAATGTGTACTCGTTTTCAAATCTGTGACTTCGGCAGTTGTTGCCGTTGTGCTGATACCCTACGTACATCACGTTAGCTGTTCTACAGTCCTGTCATATTTGGAGAAACTAATCATGGCAACGTTACTCGTGGGCTTTCGCCGTGGCCCTCACCTCATTTCAGTTCATCTGGTCTTCCGGTGCTATTGCAGGTCGTAATGAAGAATGAACGCGCGATTCCCCATTCAACGCACAAGATGCATAATGACACTTCGCTGTCTCCCGTAGGCATCCAATGGCTGTGCTGCGAACCCTTGATAGTGGTCGTTATCGGTTCCACGTGTTTCAAACTGACTCAGGCATGCTATCAAGGACTCGCGAGACGTGATTAGACACCCGAAGTGCAATAAGATGCGATGCAGTGGTGATACTATAGGTGAGCACATTTCCCGGTGAGCGAGCGGCACAATTGTATTTCGACTATTGAGCGAGAAAAATACCCGAGAAATCTGACGAAGTAGAGCATATTGTCGCAGAACTCGTGAGGTTTCGCGTCTGTTGCATGCAATGACACTTGTCAGATGCAGCCGATCAACAGAACATGACTACGCTGATTTTCATCACACTCACCCTCCTTCCTTCGTGCATGCTTCTCTAGCATTGGCAGTGGATGACCGTGGCTAGCGAAGATCCACGTGCCCTCCTGCGATGATATTTATTAACTGCGGACACTGCTCGACCACGCGATGCATGAAGACGCGCCCAGTAACTTGAAGACCCACGCGGATGGTACTGCGAGTGGCGCGGGGGGCCATCAGACTCGGGCCAGTGATCCGAACATATATCGACGTCCTTGATCTTGCACAGGATGCGACGCGAGACGGGCTTAGCGCCTGCGATGACGGGCTTGTCAACCGGGAGGTCAGCACCGCGGGAGCATCGCCGCTGGGCCGTTGCACTCTCGAGGAACGACAACCGCATTTTCAAGAGTTGCGGTTATGCGGGAGGAGCTATGTTGTGTACGACGCATAAGCGCATTGAATTGCGACTACGAGGAAGCATGCTGGTGATGATCACAATCTAGATACTGTGATGTCCTTGGCCAAGCGGCAGACGTACCGCAACGCAAGGTCATCGGGTATAAAGTTCGTCGCTCAATCCAAACGTGTTGTTCATGCTTGGTCGACGCAAGGTTAAATGCTTATCCACTTACTGCTGACGATATTGCTCACCGTCATGTACGTCTGGAATGGGAAACGTGAGTGCGCCCCCAGATTGAGACATCGAAGATGGGGTGGATTTGTAAAGCAGATGTAGCCAGGGATGTGGCGTCGCTGGTAAGACTATCGAGGAGTCGCCTGTAGCCAAGCATAACAGACGAGGCGCGACAAGACATGGGACTTGTGGCCGCCGAAACAATATGGATACACTGTTGTGATTCTGGGCAGAGTAATGGCATCCTATGGGCGCTCATATAACCTCAGTGGGGTCTTTCACACGATGCATCGTACGAAGAAATATTCATTACCACTTATGACATACAGTATGCAAGTATGTTTTCGCGAATATTTCGTCGAGCCTAAATTATCTATGACAATAGAACGCTTGTCCGGACTCGAATGAGGTGATACTATACCCATGACCGTCACGCATACTACTATTACCACCAAGGCCCATATTGTTGGAACAACTGGGCGAGCGCATGCCCGACTACCGGCTCGCCGACGTGCCGCGCTGCGGCGCGATAGTACCTTGTTCCTGTGTACCTGATTTAGATAAGTGTTTACTATATTAGGCCGAGTTCTCGCATGTAATTGCTTCGCGCGTTTGCCTCCCCGCCCCGAGGACGAGACAAACCGCTTCGTATTTGATCTTTTCCCGCGCCGCTCGCTTCCGTAAACCTTCGCGCTCGCTTGTTCGAACCCGACGCCGACACTCGTTTCTACACATATTACTAATGGCCATGTCTCTCGACTTTATAATGCGCTCTATGCTTTGCGATTACATCCCTTCTGAGGCCTCTGAAGGCTGTTGACAGTTAATCAAGACCCAAACCTGACTATAGAGAAGCTCTTGACGAATGAGCATAAACGGCAGTCAGTTTGCTATGTTTAGAAGCAGTTAGTAAGACGTCAGCTCGCGAACACTGGTCCCACGGCAGCGCGGTCGCGGATCTATGTTCAACACCAGCTTTTGCGAGGGCACTGTTTCTACCTACTGAGATCTCCGTGCTTGATAGCTCTCCTGGAGACATCGCCTCTCGTATGTACCATAGGGACCGTCCGTTTAATTGAAACAATGTAGCCCAAGCGGCTTCCTTGTTAGGTAGAGACATCAAAACTGGGTATATAAAATTGTGTACTGTGTCACTAGAGATGCCTCAGCCTACATGTCCGCAAGACATGCATCCTCTCGATGGACTACAGTCATATGCAGGCGGCGGGTCGGCCAAAGCCGACTCAATCGCGCGTAGTCTCTCTATCTCCGCCAGCAGGTACTCCATTTGCCTTCTTGAAGCGGCGTTATCGTCTTCGTCGACCCCATAACCAGGTGCCGTCTCTTCCCCACTCTGTGTGTTTGCAGAAACACGGGACGCGGCTCCTGATGATCCGTGGCGGCGCTGCAGCTCGGCGACATGCTCTTCGACACCACGTCGTTCGCGCGCTATTTCCTCTCGCAGACTGCTGGACTTGGACAACGCGGGGCCATGCCCGGCGCTTTCGCGCAACGCAATATCGAGAGACAGCGGAGAGAGGGTGGCAGCTAGAGTATGAGTCGAAGCTGCCCAGCTGGCATGCTGATCAAGAAACGGAGAGTGAGATCTTGTGCCTGGGCAAGAGGACAGTGTTTCATCCAGGGGAGACACTGCGGGCGACAGCGATCCGAGCCGCAAAAACCGTTCGCGCAAGATAGCCCCACCCGCTTCCTGGTAATCCTCCATTTTCTGCCAACTCGTACCTCCGCACAGCATAGCTCTTCGACTGCGCTGGCGGTGTCGGCGCATGAAGACAAATAGCATCGTAGCAAGGACAATGAGTCCTACTACAGCGCCGATGATAGCGGCTGTAGGTGGATGCGTTGCGGGCGAAACGCTGGTCGACGCCGTGCCCAAGGTCTCTATAGGTCGATAGGTGCTAGTAGATGATGTGTTTGCCGACACCGTGTTTGAGGCTTCTGTAGGCAGTAACAGAGTGCTAGCGGCGGATGCCGTGCTGAGGTAGTGACTGTGTTTGACGTCAGTCTCTCAATGACTCTCATGTTGCTGACCAGAACTCACTCAACGCTCTTAACACTGCTCTTTGGATCGATAATGCTTGAAAGGGCAACTGTCGAAGTGATGGAAGGAGAGTATGTGGAGGTCATATTAGGCCCTGTCTGAGAAGTGGGCGAGAGTGAACTAGGGGGCGCTGAGGAAATCGAGGTATTATGCGCAGTAGATAGGACAATGTTATCGGTAGTGACTATTTTTGCTGTTCTTGGGCTTGTAGAGGAGGGCGTAGAGATTGGCAGGGTGACCAGTGTTAGAGAATAGAACCCCATTCTCGTGAAATGTGTTATCTGAGTAGCAGTCTGAGTTACGAGATCTCCTGCTTTATGCGCCCTAACAAACCCAAGGCCCCATGACTGGGAGACATACATACCACACAGTTGGCACTACACCGTCAGGTGTTTACGTATATGGGAGCGCGAAGCACAGTGAGTGTTCTGTCGGACCAGATTGTTTGTTCAGAATGCGCTTCAATCGTATGCAATTGTTGAATCTCACCTCACACTTGCATAGCCCAAAGGAAAGGGCCTGTGTATGTGTGTCCTGCGGAGACAGCAGATGGGTGCAGCACGCATCGCGGGCATGGCAGCCAAATGCAATCCTTATTTGAAGCTCACGATGAAGATTTCAGCACACCATGTTCAAAGCAGTAGACGGCATGTCTTGCAATCCTCGATTCACTCGGTCAATATCATGACAGATACATCCATGAAATGGCTCTTACTCACAAAAGGAGTTTCATCTTGAACAGACTGACGAAGTTCACTGGCGTCTGAGTCTATAGCAGGAAGGCCGAGTTGATGAAGGATTGCGCGCCTTGCCCAGTTGGTACCCAAATAGGTTCATTGGAGTCCGCATCCCAATGGTTCAAAGATGTGCTCTGCCCCGTTGTGAATCATCTGCTGCACATTGACAGGCGGACATTGACGTCGATGCAGAAGAAGAAAGTAGGTGTCGCGATCTTTCGACATCCGTCCATCTCAGGCTGTGCCATGAATGGTCCTACCAAAATCAGATATGCATCAACATGCTGCCAGTGGATGAATCATGATTCACGAGCACATACCTATTGAAATTATTTCATCGTTTGTGAAGACACTGTTGTTTTGGGGCAAAAGTGCCGGCTTGCGGTACTGGATAGCGGGACGTTAGGACTAACTAGACTACAAACGATCGTAATAATACTATGAGTTGCGCCCGTGCTAGCGAGAACGGTGAGAAATGTACCTCTCTTGTAAGTTATAAGACGATCGGATCTTTAGGTCATTCGTTTGATCATGGATCTTTAGATTTGTATCTTGTTTCCAGGGTTACCGAGGGCAGTTAGTACTGGTTTGGGAGTTTGATCAGTACTTTAAAACAAAGATTGAGAACCGGCATCTTTCTCCATAAACATATTCCGAGACGCAGCGGACCATCAAAGGTCACCGATTTGAAGGTCCTACAAAGCCTCCATCCTGCCCTCGTCTGTGATGTGGGACTTCGCCTTCCGACCATCCACCGGGTAATGCCAAGTTGGCCGGATCTCTGTCACCTGATGCTAGTAGCAAGTTCCCAGACTAGAGTAGAGACGCCGCAGACATGCCATCTGCTTCTTCACAACATATAGCGACCTTGAGTTGTCTGTGCCCGTACTAACGAGTGTAGCGCCAAATCGGCACCCATAACAGACAACGCTGTAGTAAGCCCTCCGTGGGTGAGGATGAAAGATGTCTGTAGTAGACGGTAAACGAAAGGTAAGGATTGTCTGTAACTTTAAAACGGCCAACGATGTAGGCAGAGGTGGTATTACTGAATGCACCCTCATGTGACTTCCGCCTGCGTCGAGTACAGGCTTCGCTTCGAATGACCCATTGGTTAGTCAACACCGCGTGACACGCCAAACCAGCCTGTTGCCCTGGCACAAGACCCAAGACAGTGTTGTTCAGTGCGAGACAAGAAATAAGAAATGATCACACCCACGAGTGTGAGCTGAGTATCATGTATTTACGTCTTCCACGGCTGTTGTCTTTACTACACAGCAGTCCTATCATATCTCAGAAACATTCTCGAGTGAGCGTGACCAGTAAGTACTTGCTGTGGACCTCACCCCGTGACCCCCCTCCACGTCCAGTTCACCCGGTCGCCCAGGGCATCTGAGCTGAGGCCTCGCGTTCACCCACTCCAGTACTCCCTCGCGCATACTAGCACATACTCCCACAGCAGCGGATGGTGCACGCCTTTTCCAGCGAAGACCTACGTGCCCTTCCGCAACCGTGTGCACAGCTGCGAACCCTCCTCGGCCACGCGATGCACGAAGATGTCCCTAGGAAACGCGGTCACCCACGCGGGCAGCGCTGCGAGCGGTGCGAGGCCATTCGACTCGAGCCAGTAATTGGGAATATTGACGTCCTTGATCGTGGGCATGGCGCGGCGTGAGATGCGCTCGGCACCTGCGACGACGGGAAGCTTGTGAACCAAAGAGTGGGCACTGAGGGATCGTCGCTGCCGCGCCGTGGTATGCTTGAGGACCGGCAGCTGCATTTGAGAAAGCGGTGGGGGTAGAGATGAGATTATGCTGGAGAGGAGCCATATGCACAATAGATCCCCGAGCAGCACACGCACCGGAGCGCAATGCTGCTGGGTGTGAACTCTGTTGGTCGGGCCAAACGTCATTCATGCTCCGTCGACGCAAAGTTACATGCTTATGTACTCACTGCTAACGATCTAGCTCAGCGCCTTGTACATCTTGAATGAGAAACACGAATGTGCCTCCAGATGAGGTCATTGGGGAGAGGGTGAAATTTGAAAAGCGAAAGTAGCCAGAGATGGGACATCACTGGTCAAATTGTGCAGGAGTCGCCTGTTGCCGAGCAAAAACAGACAAGGCGCGGGAGCGAGGATGTGACATAGGACTTGTGGCCTGCGAGACAATACACATGGCGGACAGAAAAAGGGCATCGGCTTGGAGTGTAGGGGAAAACAATGGTGAAGCCTATGCCTTCTCTTCCTTTATCGATACCCGCTTTCGCATCTTGGATGTCGGCGCTGGTCCCGTAGGTCTTGTGGGCGGGAACAAAGCAGACTTGACAGCATTTGTGCAAACCCGCGCCGCCAGCCCAATGCACGCTGCACAGATGCAAGAGGCACCGACGAAAACGTACAGCGGGTACACGTTCGCGAGCACCGATGTCACGATGGCATACGGTGTGCGCACGAACACTTCCAGTACTATGTCACAGAAGACAATCGCAGGCGCAAGCACGTAAAGCAGCGTGTAGTAAAGAGCTATCGCGAGAGCGGACAGAGGGATAGCACCAGCACGCGCGAGCGACGCGACGGCGCGCAGGACGGAGGAGAGGACGATAGTTGACCACGAGGAGACGACGCGGAGCAGTGCGACGATGGGAGGACTATTAGACTGTGCTTGTGCGCTCACGACCGTATGAGTGGCAGCATGCAAAACTGTCGCGGTGGCCATGTTGAAGAAACTGCTCGTCGTCGACGTTGAGCAAGAGGAACGAATAAACGCCCAACGCGCTGGTTGGCGCCTGTTGTTCCACTTTGCTTGCTTCCGTCATCGCTCGTCCAGGGCTTTGCGACTTCCAAGCAATAATCCATTTGAAGGCCTATATTGCAGCGTATGCACTGAACAGTTATATAGCGGAGGCCCTAATACTATAGTGGCCGCCGTGAACGCAAGGTGGAAATAGCTTGTCCTGTCGCTCGTCGGTCGCAACTCTCGAGATAGCAGTCCTCAAATCCTTGAGCAATTGCCGAGTACCGGATGTGCCTTCTTCTATCCTCTGTCTACAATGCACTGGACAATGGATCCCTACTGGATTGTCCTACCTTATCCTGTCTCCAGCCACCACTCTTAGGTCTCTATCTAATTTCTACAATACTAGTCACACGTTGTCTCAGCCAAGAACAAATCTGCTTATGGCTCGCCTAGTTGTGCACGATTGTCCTGGTCCACTTGTTGTGCGGTCCGTCCAAGTCACTGCAAACTCGACATGCTCACGCCTAGTCTCCGATTGCTGTATAAAAGGTCATGGGTGCGTATTGGATTTGCCTAACATACTGCTCAATATGCATAGCTAGCATACTGCCCGTTCGACGCGCGCGGCGCGTTCCCCTACCCGTACCCTACCTGATCACGCTCGTTACCCCGCATCAGGCCGCGACGAGACCCCTCACCGAATGTCCTACTACCCCGAGGCAGCAGAATTGCTGAAATCTGCGCATGCGGCGAGCCAAGCAGCATTTGGGCTTCCATGATAGTCTTGTGCCTTGCCGGAATGCATTAGGCAATCCCTCGGAGACACCGGAAGACCTTCTCGCAAACAGGCCTTCCTCGACTGCTACATCCCTCGTGGCGTCGGCCAGGCTCCCCTCACAGTCTCCATAAAGCGTTCACATCGTGCGACGTCCATGCCCTTCGACGGGGTGCACGGCCAGTGCTCTGGCGGATGTGCAGGGATGGTGGCGGGTCACTTCCGACACGTCAATGGCGCTCTGAAAGGACGGTCTTCATGAGGATGCTGGGCAGAGATGAAGCGGAGAAGGGGTCCAGTCGCGTTGAGTTGGGGCGCACTTGCTTGGGCGAGCAAATGTAGGGTCTGCGGGCAGGTTGGTAGCTTCTCTTATGTGTTCCATATTGCTTTGTCTCCGGCCCCTATCTCGCTGTACCTGTCCATTATGCCAGACATATGCCCATCACCCCGCAGAAAGTAATACCCCTGCAATATACATCTTTCCGTTATCCATATTATGCCGAGCGATATAGAGGACGTCGGCGGACCGGCGTAACGGGCCCCCTGGAGGCGGGGCCGGGCGTCTGACGATAACAGAAGCAGCGAACATCCGTTACATACTTACATACAACGCCGAGTCAGACGACGTGATACGACTTATTCCCCGGGCCTCGAGCGCACGACGCACCGTCGCGCAGCCAGTGCGTGTACGTATATAAGGTCCCCGCGATAGGTAACACCTCGCGCCTGCACTTGCGCTCAGCCCCCAACGACCATGTCCCAGCCTATCTCCGACGCCCTCCTCACCCAGATCCTCGGCCAGCTCGAGGCCCTCCAGGTCTCGCAGCAGGCGCTGCAGGCCAAGGTGCGCACGCCCACGTGTGGTTTGCGTCTGTCGTCTGGGTTGCTTAGGAGTCCTTGATCAGCTAGATGCATTGGCGCACCCCGCAAGTCCGGTCTCGTCGCCTCAGTACAATACCATCGCTATCCCGACGCACCACCCTGATAGCTCGTTGTCCAGCATCGCGCCCACAGCGATCTCTCCATCCGGCCCGCTAAGCCATGGACAGAGCACCACATCGACCTCAGCCGTCGGGACGGGCTCGGATAACGGCGTCATCGGCGACAAGGAGCGCGAAAGGCTGCTGTACCCAGGGAGAGTACTGCTGACAAGTGAGTTCGATACTTATCAGACCCTATCACTCTCATCCCTGTTGGGCTTTGCCTGGCTTTCCGGTGTATTACGAACGCCTTGCGGCGGCGGCGTGAGAGTCGCGCCGCGGCGTGGTGTCAGCTACCGGTGATGGCGGTGCTCTCAGCCTACCAGGCAACGGGGGGCCAGATATCCCTGGTCGTATCCAGGGTTGTGGATGCCATGGTAGAGATCGGACGTTTCTAGAGGAGTCGTCAACCTGTACCCCGTATGGACTACGGCAGGGCGTGACCAGGTGGTAGTAGTGACCTCATGGCAGTCTGCTCCAACCTAGGTCGTCGAGCCTCCGCATGCAATGTTTAAGATCCAACTGGCCGTGCTTAAGTCTGAGTCCCGCCCCAGGATCTGGGTGGATGAAAGCGCATTAGCCGCAAGTGCAGTCCGTAACATGGGCATCATGTCTCGAGGACCCTGAAGGGATTCTACGCCAGGTCAGAGCGACTGGCTTGCAGTGTATAACTCGGGTGTAAAGCGGCAGTGTATTCTCTGACGGCAACGCCCGCGCGAAGCAACCGAGCCATCGGATGTGATGGTCCTTGGACTTCTGTCATACCTCAAATTCGGCATCAAATTCGTTCATTGCGCGGTATCGTCTGTTCATATCATATCATGCTAACCCCTCCCCTCTCACCTTCAGCGTACCCCGACCAGTCTGGCATCAAGCCCTACCACCTCAACTGGGGCGTGGCGGATCCTGCCGTACGCGGGCCCATCATCTGCTCGCGCCTGCCGTCCTCGATCAAGCAGCGCAACGCGATCGGCGCGCACTCGGGCTCATACTCGATCTACCGCGCATTGGCCATCGCGATGGGCACGCTCGCGCCGTCGCACAAGCCGGACTACTCCAAGACGGAGCCGGCCGTGCCGATCCCGCCGCAGCCCGCGTGGGCGGACCCGACCAAGATCGTCTCGTTCGACCCGTGGGGGCACGTCGTCCCGCAGGCGTTCCGCCGCGAGCTCGAGGAGCTCGGGCTGGACGTGCGCCCGAGCATCGCAGTCACCAGGGGGCACCTGAAGCTGAGCGAGATCGACGAGACGGCGCGCAAGGGCGACCTCAAAGTCGACGGGAAGATCCTCCTCAAGAGCATGCCTCTGAGAAATGCGGATGGGACAGAGAGCACGGCGGACCCGGGCGTGGAGATTGCGATCAACAAGGCTGCGGTGGAGCCTGTGTGGTATCTTCCTGGTGTTGCAGAGCGGTTCGGCATGTGAGTGCTTCTAGACAGCATGCCATGTGTATGGCTTACCGAGATTCCGGGACCAGCTCAGAAAGCCTTCTGCGCCGTGCTCTGTTTGAGGACACGGGAGGAATGTACCCTGAACTGATCACTCGACCCGACATCAAGGTTTTCCTCCCGCCAATCGGCAACTTGACCGCGTACATCTGTATGTGCTTAATTTCGCGCGAGTCCTGTAACATCATCGTGACCTCACCATTCACAGTCGGTAACCCTGCATACCTCTCAGACGAGTCAAAGGAGCTGACTCTTCGGGTGCATGATGAATGTTAGTTGTTACGTGAAACTGACCGGATACACTCAGCTGACATTTGTCACAGGTAACGGATCTGACGTCTTTGGATCGGACATCTGTACGTGCAAGCCCTATCTGACATACGCGATCGAAGAATGTGTGCGCGGCGCACAGCGCGGAGGCGTTGGGCTCGTCGTTTACTTCCGCAAGGAAGGCCGCGCTCTTGGCGAGGTGACCAAGTGCGCATTCATCTACAATCATCATGTGTCCCAGGAGCTCACCGATGGCCGCCGACAGGTACCTGGTGTACAACTTGCGCAAGCGTGGCGGTGACTCCGCGGACAAGTACTTCAAGGCCACAGAGCTCATCGCCGGCGTGAAGGATATGCGCTTCCAGGCGCTGATGCCGGACGTTCTACACTGGCTAGGCATCAAGAAGATTGACAACATGGTTTCGATGAGTGACATGTGCGTTGAGACATCTTGAGGCACCGCTTTTCTCGATATTGACGGACCGATGTCTTGCGCAGGAAATACAACGCCATCGTGCAGTCGGGCATCCCGATCCTCAAGCGATACGACATTCCCGGTAAGCTCCCGAACTCATCCATGAGTAGAATGCGTGCCGTGACTTACATTTATTTGCAGAATACCTGCTGCCGCCAGATGCGCGTGTCGAGATCGATGCCAAGATCGCTTCTGGGTACTTCACGAGCGGCAAGGCCGTCACCGAAGCCGATCTCATAAAGACAGTAGGCAGAACCTGGGAAGAGACAGAACACTGAGCCAGGTGTGTTACGCCAGCGTGCGTGCGTGTTGCGACCATCTATAAATTTGTATAAATCTGGAACGATGTAATGATACACTATCCGACCGTGTAAAGCTACAGGTACTCGTGGAACAATCCTACTTGCCTGGTATATGCTCGAGAGATGTCATGCAATATAGATCGACGAGAGTGTGTCAGCAGCGACCGTGAAGACTTCACCAGTCACCATATTCGGAAACATCATCCCACTCATCCTGCTGCTGGGCGACACGCAGCAGCTGTATCGCTTGTTCCGCGGCAGCGAACCGCACCTCCTCTTGGCTGGCCCTGCTCCGATACACTTCCGTTACTTCCGCGACTTGCTCGTCGTCAATTATGACCGCGCAGCTGACATTGCCATGGGCCTTGTTGACTTGGAGCTTCACCTGCTTTTGAGGCACCTGCTTGGCCGCCCAGATACAGAGACGGGAGATCGGGTGCTGGACGTCGACTTCCTGGCGAGCAATGCGCTCTATCATGTCCATGATGCCCAACTTCCGGAGGACTGCACGGACGGCGTCGAGAGTGCCCTTTGAATCGACGAAGACGGCACCGAGCAAACTCTCGACCATGTCGCTGATGAACTTCGGGGCCTGCAAGCTGGTCAGAGCCGCCCATGGATACAGTTCGCCTTTGGTGAGCGCCTCGTGAATCGCCTCCCCGCTCCTCTTGAAGCGATCTGCAGTGACATGCTGATCGTCAAGCACGCGATGACTGGAGTGTAGAAGACATTGCCATAGATAGATATCATGCTGCTCGGTTGTCTCTGACATTCCGCTCGCGCGCGTCCAATTCGCCATGGTGGCCTCCTGCGTGGTGCGCGTTCTGAGGCATATGAACGCCAAGAAATGCGAGTTGACCAGAGCCTCTTTGTAGATATGCATGTATCCCGGCTTGAAGCCCTTGCCGTCCTGGCCGGGCGCATGATATAGCCAATCCGTCACCACCATATCAAGCGCGGAGTCTCCCAAGAATTCAAGTCGCTCGTACGACATCGTGGTAAGATCTCCATGATAGCTGGCATGGGTGAGGGCCTGCACAAGGAGGGCTTTGTGAGTGAACTCATAGCCGAGCATCGTCTCGACGAGACTCAGCTGAGGAGGAGGATAATCAAGTTCTTCAATCTTGGTCACAATGTTGTCGAAGTGCTGGGGTATCGTTTGCCATGAAGGGAGTCCGAGACCGAAGATGGAAATGCAATTTACTGCCAAATCGAAGCTGCCGTGCTCGTACGCGGCGCCGATGAGCGACTCGACTACGTCTGCTAGAACCTTTGTTGAGAGCTCTTGGGTTTTCGTTTTTTTCTTCTTATCGTCGTTATTGCCATTCGCGCCTTCCGTTTTCGAACCAATGTCCTCTGGGCCCGACATGTAATGGGGTCTCCATTTCCTCGGCACGAACCTGTCGCGAATGATCCATTGGTAGAGACCCTTGGAAATAGCACACTTCGCAAGCTGCACGTTCGATACCGCGTGGTCTTTCCTTCGTGCTAAGTAGCCCTCGTGCCAAAGGGGGTAGTCTGCGAAGAGTTTGATACTGGTGATATACTTCAACACGGTGTCACCAAGAGTCTCTAACCGCTGATAGTTGATCAGCTCCTGGGCGACAGGCGCCGTCAGAGCTGTCGAGAGAAGGATGTGGGGTACATCAGCTACTGGTGACCCAACGAGAAGCTCTTCCCGAAGAGCCTTGACGGTCAGTGTATTGGCGAGCGATCTGAGGATGGAGGGAATGAGCGCTGAGTGCTCGACGTCATCCACAGATATCAGCTCCACCGTCGTATAGCGGGGCAGGAGGAAGAGTGGCGGGTCGTGGTTCAGCCCTTGGGTATCGGAGTCCAGCGGGACCAGGAAATTAGCACGTTGTACGAACGGCTGAGCATGGATGAGGGGGTATGTAAGTTCGACGTCCGGGAACCCTTCATAGCCCTCCAGCAATTCTGCCTCCTCGTCGATAGTTAGTGGATCATGGCGCCATCTCGTGAACCGAAGGGCTTTGCCAAATTTGTTGTTAGGTCGGACCAATGCGAGGTCTGGCGGGAGACCATAGGCTTTAGCGAGATGCTCAGCATTAGCTCTTCCTACGTTCTCCAGTGGGACGCTGAGTCCACGACTGACTCGTCTCTTCATCCACTCTCGTCGTTCATTCCATAGTGGCTCGTCCTTTCCCTCGGATTCTGGGAAGAAGAGGTAGCAGTAGTCGGCTGCGTTGGGTTTCATATGAGCACTGTACAAGGTGGCGAACAGGCGTGTTGTGTAGACACGAGCTTTCTCTATGAATTCTTGGTCGCCCCGGAATAAGCCCACTGCGTGTAAATGAGTCTTTACGGCACCACGGCCAGGAATGTATAGAGTGGGTGAGTCTTCTGAGTTCAATTGAGGCAGCCGATTCCGTGTAATCATTCGCAGAGCAGGCAGACCCTCGATTATCATCCTCGTCTCCCACCACTGGTCATCGTCCGCCTTGGAAGTCCACGGGTCCATCTGGATGGAGACGCGCTCGGTCCCTGCGCGCTTCTCTATATCCTCCAAGAGCTTCTTCACTTGCTCTGCGTTTTCAGGTTCAATTGCGCTTGACAGAGGGAGGAGATGGTCGTTGAGAAGGCCTGCCTTGTGCAATTCTACGTACGTCTTGAAGGCGGCGTGCCTCTGCGCCGACCGCTTCGTTTTGTGCACCTGCGGGGTGGAGAACGAGCGCAAGCTGACAGCATCCTCATCAAAACAGCCCGTAACTGAAATATAAACAGACACGTACTGCTGTGGCACCGCACGGGGCAATGTGACCGTGGCACCCCAAGGACCCTTGTACGGTTGAAGGCCTCCACTACGGTTAGGCTTTAAGTGCCAATCCTCTGGATATTCCGGCGGATCGAGCTCATATAGCGCCATCTGTCCACCATATCCAGCATTTGGGAGCACAGCACAGAAATGGTTCAAGTGACTTGTAGATGACTGGAGTGTGAGCACCGCACTACACGGCAACAAGGTTAGACGGTCCATGTGTCATTATTTTGGCGTGTGTAAACGTACCCGGTCGAAGGAACGCTGTATATGCACTCATTGTCGTCCTCATCGTCCTCATCGAGCGGCACATTCGTCACCCGACTCTGATCGTTGTACAGCTGCATCATGCGCATCTCCGTCTCCTCCCACTTCCGGACCGTTTGCTGCGATGCACCACTGTTATCAAACATGAGTATAAAGCTGCTGCGTTTCCTGCGTGCGCGACCTCGGCTCTGGGCCCAGGCGACGACGTTCGGCGGAGGGTCAAAACGAACGACACTCCCGCACGCTTGGATATCGATGCCTTCCTCCGCGACGGAAGTAGAAATGATGAGATTTTTCTCTCCACATCGGAACTCGCCTAGCGTGTCTGTCTGGGAATCCTTAACCATCTCACGCGTGATGTCAAGGAACGAATGTCGTTGAAAGCTCGAGGAGGTGCCTAGCAGGCATCCGAGGTTAAAATGCGCCGTCTCCGGCAGACGCTGGAGTACTTCCGCGAGCGCAAGGACGACGTCGCGCCGCGTGACGAAGACCAGCCCACTGTATGTCTCGTCTTCCGCACGGAATTCGGCCTCTTCTGCGACGAGGCAGCTTACGAGCGCCCGTACCTTCGGCGAGATCTCTGCGTAGATGTCGTCTAGGTGTAAAGAGGCAGGAATCGTGTGCACCTTATCCAGGCAGTCCAGCAGATACCGCTTTTCGTTGTTCTCCCACGACGACATGATATTGTTGTACGGGTTCGCAGCACAGCGAGCCTGCTCTATCACCTTCACAATGTACCAGTCTGCCGCCCACGGGCCAAGGTCATTGCAGATGTCGAGCGCCGCCCGAGCGAAGTCCCGCAAACCCTTGTGGCAAAACGTGTCTTGTTTATCGACCGTCTTTGAGAGTTTCTGGTCGATGCGCCGTCGCTCATCAGCGGAGCGGGCCTTCGCAAGTTGTGCACGCAAGGACCGGACGTAAGGGTCATTCTCGATGTTGAGTGAATCCACTACCTTCTGCAGCGAGTTATAGTTCTGCGACGGTATTGGGCCTTCGGCGTAGTCCGGGAGATCGTAGATAACGTGCTTGAATATTGGCCGATGTACATACTGGGCCAGCTCCGCTCGATTCCTGCTAGAGGAGCGGATTGTGCTGTCTAAGTTGTGTTCTAGCGCCCTGAAAGTAGAACGTTCAACCAGAGCGTCAAAAGACAACACTTTGACCTACTCGAACGACGCATCAACGTTGCCGCCATATATTGGACTTGCTGTTAGGCCTAGTATCATCGGCCTCACGCTGCCTACTGGCAAGTCCAAATTGGGGCGTGGGGGAAGGGTGTGGTAGAATTCCTGCATAATCACGTTGTATGGATGTTTGGAGATTGCGTGATGCGCTTCATCGAAGACCAAGAGCCCAACGTCTTGCCCTAAATGAATATAACCCTGCAACGCACACCATACAATCAGGCGACGAAGTGTGGTTATAAAAAATAAGCTTACATGGCGCAACGCGTCGAGAAGGATTTGCGGCGTGGACACAATGATGCGGTGGGCACTCAGGATACGCCGCCACAGAGCTGAATCTTTCCATTGGTTGGGCTCAGATGCGCCCGAAATCATGGTGACGTTGACCGGAATAGCGGTCTTGATAACGTTGCATTGCTGCTCAACGAGAGCTACTGTGGGTGCCAGGAACCAGGAAATCTGTGACAGTGCTCTGTGCCGGTTGTTATTGGTCAAGCTGAGCCTCGCTCACCTTATTTAATTCGCGTTCCGCCTCTAATTTCATCCGGAGGACCGCTATGTGAGTCTTCCCCGAGCCCGTATCGAGCGCAATGACCAGATTCATGCGCAGACTTTCTTCCAGGAGCTCCTGCTGGTAGCCTCGAGTATGGAACACCGGCTTGTCTGGTGTTTCCGGCTGCTCCGAGTCTGCCATAGTGCTATTCTCGCTAGACAACAAAGACCAAAACGCAAGGTGTGTCAATAACGGGGAGAAACGGCCATCAACACGAGAGAGAAGGTCGAAGTGAAGGTCAGCAGTCCGATTTCGAGAGCATGACGAGCTCGAACTGATGATCTCGGTCCAGCCACACCCCTCGAACGGACACTTTCTCCTCGCAGTACACGCCACAGCCATAACATATAAAGTACTAGTAGCAGTTATCACGCCTGATTACCGGGCCCAGATAATTTTGGGCGTGTCAAGCATAATAAATAATCTCGCCTGCGCCATTATCACCTTGTCCTTGTTGGCATAGCACGTCGATATAAGGACATCAGTCACATCGCACACCTGCTTGCATCAGGATTTGCGATTTACCAGGACTCTACTAGCGTAGACCCGTATCGCAGCGCGACCCTTATCAACGAATGCCACATATGGGCCGCGCCTTCGCCACACGGCCTGGCCCGCCTCCGGGACTGCGGTGCCCACAAGCGTGGCGCCCTTGAGTGGCCTTGACAGAAGTGCCCAGCCAATCTCATGATAACAGGCTCTTACCACTCCAGTAAAACAGGGACTCTTCTCTTCCGTCATAATCCCCGCTCGCGACGCCACAACAAACAATCGGGCCATGCTCACCTTCGCTGTAAGGCCAGAGTGAGAGAGTTGGAGGAAGGATCAACAGTCGTCGAGCACGACGATGGAGAGTGGGATGGAAAGGTAACTGTGTGGCCGCGCGGCCAATACAATCACTTTTGTAGCTCTCGAGCTTTGACCCCGGGACTGCGCAAATCAGATAGACGCCTTTTCCGGCGCCCATGCATTGCATACGAGCGTTCAATTGTGTGGCGATAACGCTGCCGAAACCAGTTGCCTAGGTCCACGTTGAAGAACACTTTCTGCATCGTCCTAACCCCTCCATGCTAGCCTCCTGAAATCAGACGTCGATATCCGTAGACAGCTGCAGTCGTGACAAAAGGAGACGAAGACATCCTGCAGAGCCCTGAATGTTACTCCCGCATATAGTTTCGTGGCATTAATGGGGTAGTGGTAACCTGGGTCGTTGCCATTCGCTATCTCGACCCGCCGGGGGTTCGATTCCCCCTTAATGCATTGTATTTTTGTCGACCTTGCACAGGAAGGTCTTCACTTGGCAGGCTATCGTTCAAGTATATATATATAGGCTGTGTTGATAGTCGAGTTTCTGTCGCAAAACTCGAAGTAAGGGCGTCTGCCGACTGCTCAGGTAGGCATTGTATTTGGGACAACTACCAAAGCTGACACAACTGTTGGCCGCACAATTTATTGAGGGATTGCTGTTGGCAGTATCAGTATCAGCGCGTCTGACTAGACGCGGTGCAATCAGCACATGACCGCGACTGCACTACGCGTCTATCCTCAACTGCGTTCATTGAAGTTACCTCAGCTCGGTTCCGCTGCAGCCTTCCCATGTCCGAGTCCATACCTCTTGCCAGAGTTCGTTCACCGGCGGCAGCACGCTCTGACTACGCACGAGTAGACCCTGAAGATACCGAGCAAGAAGCTGAGCTCCACCATGTCTCTTCCTACGACAGTATGGAGGACGATGCCCGCCTCAGCGCCATTCATCCCCCGTGGAAACGCAATCTCTACATGCTCGTCGAGCGGCCGACATCCTCCTTTTCTGCCTTTGTCGTGCACGTCCTCACGACCTCTCTCATCGTCATCTCCGCCGTGGTGACCGTGCTTGAAACGATTCCCTCTTTCCACTCTATTCCGCCGCAGATATGGTTCGGGCTAGAGACGGCGCTGGTCGTGCTTTTCACTGTCGAATACGTTGCGAGATGTGTCGCCCACTCGGCAGATCTGTGGACCTTCTTTCGGTGGTTTGGATGTATGGCTCAGCGAGCACGCTGCTCTGCCTCCCCGCGTTAATGTGCCGGCTCTGCAGCGTTCTTCGCACTGATCGACCTGTTGGGTATTTTGCCCTACTACATCGAAATAGCATTACACCAAGATACGGTACGTTTGTGACGGCACTGTCTTGCATTTCGTTTACTCACACTACGTCAGGCAACGTTCTTCAGATTCACAATCCTACGAACGTTCCGACTTCTGCGAGTGTTCAGGCCCTTCCGCCACAATAACACAATCCTCCTGTATGCATTGATTCCTCGTCTCACCGTCGTAAAATGACTCCTTTTCACCCGTGCAGCACCATAGAGGTAATGTACCTCTCCTTCCGTCGCTCGCAACATGCCCTTCTTGCTCTGTCATTCTTCGTTGTCATGGTTCTTGTGGTCTTCAGTACATTGCTGTAAGACTCCCGAGCCCCTGCCTGTCCCATACGCAAGCTAACCGCACACGCAGGTACTTTGCTGAACGAGGGACCTGGGACGAGGTGCTCGGGACATTCATCAATTCAGATGGCGATCCGAGTCAATTTGCAGTACGTACCTGCTTGACCTCTATGAGAAACAGTACTTATATGTGCGATAGTCTATACCCGCTGCAGCATGGTAGGTATTTATGACTTTTAGGGTTCCTTTCCCTCTGACCATGCTGCTAATCTAGGTTCGTGATAGTCAGTGAGTCATTGCTATTCCTATCTCGTCTTGTGTATAATCTCCTGGCCACGCTAATGACATGATCAGCAATCACGACCGTCGGTTACGGCGAGATCACCCCTCGCTCGTTCCTAGGCCGACTTATCACGCTCCCGCTACTCGTCTTCGGGCTGCTCCTCATCGCGCTGCCCACGTTCGTTTTAGGGCGTGAGTTCAGCATGATCTGGGAAATGATGAAAGAGGACCAGGTGAGCGTCCTCTATCCTCTCTCACTGTCAAGCCGCTAACCCCCCGAGTCATTAGCAGGTCTCACACGAGGATGTCTTCAACGCGCATGGCATCGACCCGCTCGCGTCGCCAACGCTCGCGCGCCAGCGCTCCATCTCTGTGCACAGCATCCGCGCGGATCCCAGCGCCGTGACGGCGGATTTGTGGCGGCATCCTCGCGACGAGCCGGGGACGCTCCACACGTCAACTGGACATGATTTCCAGGAGACGCAGGCGCTGCGTGCGCAGATTGCGGAGCTGAAGACGACTGTAGACATGCAGGGTGCTATGCTGCGCCGCATTTTGGACGCGTTGGAAGCGAGGGGGAAACGGGGTAAAGGAGGTAGCCCGAATGAATGAATAACTGTCATTATGTGTATTGGTCGCTCTATACCAGGGGGGTCCTTGATGTGTTATATTGCTCTTGTTGTTACCGAGGACATGCAAAAAGTCATACTACCATATGATGCATTAAGGGGGAATCGAACCCCCGGCGGGTCGAGATAGTGAATGGCAACGACCCAGGTTACCACTACCCCATTAATGCGATACATATTATCCGACGTAGATACGTTCTTATTCATTCTGCCGGGCTATCTTCAAGCAATCGAAATGTCAAGTACTCCACCGCCGGGTACCCAGTCACTCGCAGTGAATATGTCCACTAACATGCAACGAGGACTTCAGAGAGGGCGAGGACAGCACAAAACATATGCGCCTGGCAAGCGGCGCATGGAGCTGATGCCTTCGGTCAGTCGGAGTAGCGGCCTGGACAAAGACGGAGATGCGTAAGTTCGAGCGACGACGTTGCGCGCGATCTGAACTCCGTAGATCATCTCTAGCCTGAGAGACCACAAAGTCCAAGAGGAGTATCGCGTTTTTATCGAGGGCAAGGTATGTGCACCCGCTTATTGCGGCAGATGGGACTTGAGTCAATCACCGTTCCCGGCAGCTAGTGAAACACTGGAAGGAGTATCCCTATAGGTCAAGGCGTCCTGTAGGTCCTGTAGATACAAGAAGGCAGAATGAACAAGAGAATTTACTGATCCTTTTCCGTGAGTGCAAAAGTCTGCCAAGTGAAGACGCAGTTGATTAACCTGTACACCGTCGCCACAGGTAAGCTGCGGGAGGGTTTGTTATCGTCGAAGCGGAGCGACGCATTTGCCCTTGAAGGTATGTCGACAATTTTTAGTGGCCCCGTTGTGTGTATCTCATATCGAGAACAACAGTCTACGAGACTTCGTTATGCCTCTCTGTAATTTTTTGCAACACCAAGCAGACGGCCTCCATCCTCTCGCATCTCCTCCCGCACCTGTATTCAGCGTCTCCGTTTTCCCCGCCGTCAGCATCCCACTCCCCACTACCAAATGTCATCCTGTCGCTTTTGCACGAACTGCTCGAGAGCTACCCATCTCAAAGCCGATACTTTGAGCGGCTGTATTCCCTTCCCCGCGCCTTCATTCCCCGAGACTCGGAGGAGTATCGTTGGGTGAACGATCTCGCCAGATGTCTCCGTAGGAGAAGCTATGCAAATCTAGAAGAGCTGACGTGTCGACACGCATTTACAAGCTTTTTTCTCAAGAGCGATCAATCGGCCTCCGAGACAAGCAAGACACAAGATGCCACGCTCATTGACGCAAAAGATGCAAACTTTTTGGCAGGGGCGCCGGCTCATCTAGCTCTCGAGGCGGCTTGCGTACTGAACGATGCATTACGCGCCAAGGCTCGCGAAACCACCTGGCTAGTACTGCGCAGTGCATACCGAGAGCTTCATTGTCTGCCCTCTTGCGGTGATAATGTCGAACTTAAGCCGGACACTGGTACTGTGCCGAGCACGGCCCACTGGCTTATACATTCTCTGGCCCTCCACTCTGTCACGTCGGGTCTAGAACACACCGAATCGGCTGATAAGCTGGTCAACGAGTGGATGGCGGAGAGGTGTACAGCAGGCGAAGTGAGGCCCAAGGATGGAGCTGGTATGGAAGGAAGGTGGATGATCTGCAAAGTCGTCGCAAAATAGGGCTAAAGGTACATTATTATACTGTAAGTTTACATGTATCAAAAATAATGCTTGCGACTGTTAACTGTCAGGGACGCGGAGAAGTTGGAATTTATCAACAACGATCTGAACAATATCCTTCCACTCTGTCATGGCTCCCAACCCTAAGCGGTCGTAGATGATAATCAGGGTGGACTGACAAGTCATTGAATAAAAACGACACACCAATGTCTCCACATGCAAGTTTCTTGCCTATAGGACCGACTATCTGATATCCTATCACATCACGCACGATGCGGATATGGTCGTTCGTCAAGGGGTGTTCGTACATCAATGTATTCATGGCGGGAAAGACATAAGTAGGCGTCGTCGGAGCCAGAGCACGCAGCAACGACGTCTGAAAAAGGATGCATATCATATGAGGTGGAATGAAAGAGTCGAAGGCGTACCACAAGGTTATCACAAATCCCATGCGCAATCTTGGATAGCGTATTGGCGGAGCAGGGCGCAATGAGAACAACGTCTGCCCAGCGGCGCAGCTCGATGTGCAAGATAGGGTCTCCAATTCTGTATCCACCCTGCAATAGAATTTCGCTCAGTATGCTATACTTATTACGCCTTGCACATGAGCACTCACATCTTCCGTCCATTCGTCTTCGTCGCGCCATACTCTGGCACCAGCCACTGCCGCGGCGTCAAAAAACGCCAATGAGGATTTCGTGGACACGACTTCAACTTTCACATTACGATACTTCCATGCGACGTGCAAGACGGGCATGAAGTACGATAACCAAGGCGTAAGCGTAGGCGCATTTTATTGTGTAGAAATGGGGACACCAACGGACAGAAGTTCAGACACAATGAGAGGTGCCTTGATGGAGGCAACACTTCCTGTGGTGATCAGCAAGACGTGCACACACCCGTCCGTGCGTTCTTGCTCTGCGACAAATGTCCGCCTCAAGCTCGACATGACGGAGCTGGGGCAAGATGTGTAAGACGATACGGCTTGCCAAAATGGGAATATGTCTGGCCGGCCTTCGCCATCAGGCGGTTTGCACCACTTATTCAAATTGGGGCCCGAACGGAGACCGTCCACTTTTTGAAGCGGATCGTGATTAGGAGGTCGACCGGACATGGCTGATCATGCAACATTTATTACAGACGTATAGACAATTGATTGAGGGGCAACAGAACTTCAAATTCAAACGAGCGAGAATATTTCGTGTCCAAAACGAGACACCAGCCAATCCCCAGAAACTATGCTTCAGCCTCGGGGTGTGCTAAACCTCCTCTTCCGTCTCAGACGCAATAGCGGGGTCGTTTCCACGTATCGTGTTGAAGTCGAGCTTGCGGCCCACGCCTTTACCCTTGTCTTGAGCAGGGTACAAAAGCGGATGGTGGATGAATGCGGGAATTTCGTCGGTCGGAGTGAGCGCTTCCACCTCCTCGTCCGCTTCCTCTTCTTCCTCGGCGGCAGGAGAAACAGCTACACGAGGAGGCCCTCCAGAATCTTTCTTGGTTGACTCTTCACGCTGCATGATGGCGTCCCTAGCGAGTCGGGCCTCGAAGGGCGCATCTGTGCAGGCTCCATGAACGAGTCTGTTATGTGTATGCGCAGCGCACGAGCGTGCAGGACACCCACCTGTCTCCCATGTCAGGCTGGATTGCTCGGGCGTGTCCATACCGGCCGGGCTTTCAGCGTCAGACACCCTTTTAGCATTGTCTTCTAACGTCACGCGAATCCTCTTCGTCAACGCAGCAACGTCAGAATACGGCGCGGTATATGCTACCGGCGCGGGCGGAAAGCGGGAATATGCATCAGAGCCAGTCATGATGTGCCCCAGAACAGATGTAGAGTGTGACTGCAGAGAGGGTGCGAAAGACAGGACACCCGTTGGGGACTGGGACAGAGCAGACAGATAGCTGGAGGGTTCAGGGTAAAGCAGGGCGTCGTGCGGCAGAGCGTCAGTTGCATCCAGAAGTAACTGAGCCAGGTAAAACATGTTGGAGCCATTGTCCTGCGTTTGCGCTTGGGTTATCTGACTGGGCACAGGCGGCAAGACAGGAGCACTAGGCATAGCAGGCTGAGAGTACATGTTTGAGTGCTGCGTTCCACCATAGACATATGAGCTATTGCCAGAGCCAAGGCCATGCTCGGAGGCCCCAGGGATCATCATAGGGAATGCTAGCGGGATATAGCCCAGAGACGGAGACTGGGACAAAGAGCGCATCCCAAGGAAACCATCCGGCAGGGTGTAGTGCGGCGCCTCAGAATCATTTGCAGCCTCAGACTTGAGAGTCAAAGATACTCTAGCCTCGAGAGAAGTATGTTCTTCACGTCCGCCCGATGCTTCCATGCTGTTGACTTTGTGCGCAATACCGTATCCAAGATCTTCGTATTGCTTGATGCGTCGAAGAGATGCTGATATCGTCGAGCCAGTCCCAGAGCCCGAGCCAGACGAACTCGACGCTCTAGTGGAAGACGACTTCCCAGACGCGGAACCGGCGGCCAGGGACCATCTCTTGTTCCTGCGCTGCCGCTGCATCCAGTCCCTAATCCACTTTTCCTTCCTGCAGTGCGGCATCGGCCCCGCACATCAAGATATCAAACGACTGCGCGGCACCCAGAGGAAAGAACCTAGCATAACGACTCACAGCCCCGTATCTCGCACGGCGCGCAAGACGTGCTCCTTTGTTGGGTTGGGGCCACACTGCCATAAACTCTTCAGGATGACCAACTGGCGGGCGTCCGCGATGACCCTATTCGGCGGAGGCTTCTTCGTGCAGGTGGGTACTTGGGAAGAACCACAAATTCCGCTAGTTTTGGTGTTCATGTTGGCGTTCTTGAGAGTTGCTGGCTGGCCTAAGTCGAACGAACGAGCACCTTCAACACTAGAGGTTCGATGAGTTGAAAATGACTTCGGGACCTCGGGAGAAGCGCTGGGTTCGAAAATAACAACTCCGTTGTGGTCACGGTGGCTGATATTCAAAATCACTCATTATGAACTGCGATTGATACCCGTTGCTCACCGTATAAATGCCAGATGAACGAGATTATCTGAAGCGCAAGCTTCGAACTCATCCGGTCATTCAAGGACAGAGGTAAAAGGAGATTTAGACGGAGCACATACATACTAATACACATGATACATAAACAATATTTGCCAGAACGATCCTACCAGGCACCATCCATCGAACGTACCCGCGTCTAACGGCACGTTTTCCACATACACCGCGCGTACAGCACCGGTCCAGCCAGCGTGCACTACCATCGACCGCTCAGTCGCCCCGCGGCCCAGACCAGCCCACCACCGCCCACAGGCACGAGCAGCACCCACACGCCAATGTCCCAGACGATGCGTCGCCCTAGGCGGCGCCGTTGCAACGTGCGCTCCTTGCGCTGCAGTAGCTCGTCGTGTCGCGAGTCGATGCCCTCCACGGCCTGCGCGCTGCTCGGGCTCGTGAGTACGGGCGTCGTGGGCGGGATGATGATGGACAGGGGACGGCGCAAGTTGTGTAGCACAATGTGGATAAATGCTATTGGAAGAATCAGGGTCAGCAAGACTGTTACTAGATTGTGGGATGGTGCATACCGGGTAACATGTATGTGCTTAGGAATGCCAGGAGCCACGTGATGTCGCTGAGGATGGGCGAGAGAGGCCATGACAAAAGAGATAGACAGATAGGGATGAGATACAAAACGAGTCTTGAGAATGGAAACGAGGAAGCACGGCGGAGGGATAATGGTATGGGTAGCGCGGGGGCAGGTATAAGGACTGATGGGATAGCCAGTACAATAGTAGCAGTATAGAAGGCTGCTGTCATGACTGTCAAAGTCTGAGGTGATGTTTCCTGTGGCTTGAAGAATTCAGTACCAATGTCACGAGAAATGACGAGGCGACATACCGATGGGGTGTCTGACGCCTGGAAGAATGCGAGAGGTAGAATACATAACAGCGCTATCCCTACAGACATCACAGACAGGAGTTTAAATGAGTGCGATTGCCTCGGCCTTGTGGTCAGGGGCTGCACCGTGCCTCTGAGGGCTGCATATAACGGTATAGTTGACGACGTCGTGAACGTGAATACCATTGGAGCTGTCAGGATCACGAGTGATGAGTCGGGGCATCTAAGGAGAACTGGCATGATACGCACAGATCCCTTGCCAGAGAAGACCCAAAGACGGGGGGCCCACGCTGGAGACAATAATTCCCTGGGTATGTGCGTGAACCCGGCATCCAAACCAAGCGGCGTAAGTCGCATAGGAGATCCAAGTAGCGTAGATGACACGGTTCGCAGCCAGAGTTGACGCAAAATAGAACGGCGATACTGTCAGCGCAAGGAGGGTGGAGACCACAAGATTCCGCGGAAGGAATAGCGTCTCAGGGAGTAAGGGGAGGAGGGCATCCACAGATACTGCACTTGTCTTCAGCAACATACCATAATTCACTATACTTGAGCACCAACCTCGCAAATACATCGCGGACAGCAGCACTCGGAACGCCCCCGAGCAGAAGCGGACGAGCTGCCGCAGTATCCGCCTACGGCCCTCTCTACTCCGCTCTCTCACAAACGTCTCCAGCACAATCTCCTCCATATCGGCTCGGCCGACATAACGCGCTAGCATGTACCAGATCTGGCGCGTAAATGCGGACAATCCGGCGAAGAATAGTAGCACTGGGATGGACGTCTTCAAAGGTAAACCTGCGTCCGGGAGCAGCAGGGCACCAAGTCTGAGGAACGGCGCGAGGAGGTATGCGAAGACGGTCAACGGCGGCATGGGCGGGATAGCGGACGCCTGCACGCGCTCTGCCTGGCCGTTGACCTCGTCATCCATTCCGTCGTTTTCGTCGTCACTAGTGAAGTCGAATGGCGTGTTACTGGCCGACTCGTCCGCATCCGGGACGAGGATAAGGGCTGCAGAGGAGTCGAAGGCATGGATGGGGGATTGCCGCCCCGAAGAAAACGAGTCGGAGCTGGCTGACGAGCGCGGGCTGCCTGCAGTGTCGGGCATGGCAATTCTGAGGGAGTGGAAAAGGAGCGGAAAGGGACCGAGAGAGGTCAGGGGCAGAGACCAGTCTGCGGGATGGAGTTGCTGGCTATACTCTGGGCTGCGGAGGAGCAGGCACGAGTTCAAGTCTGCTTGTCAGTTTCTCACGCTCCCGACCTCGATCGCTTCCACTCTCCGCCCGTGTACTTCGACGCGCCGAGCTTGATATTTACTACGTCACGGAGGAGGATGTGCATCCAGAGAAGGTAAGCATTTTCGTGCGATGAGTGCGATATCTGCGTCGGCACAACGTGGAGGGAGAGGTCAAGGGCAATGGGGAGGAAATGCAAAGATGCCCTCGCCTTTTATACTGTGTGTACTACGACATGAAATCGAAGCGGCATGGGTATATCAGGGAGTCTTTAGACGTATGCATGACATCATGAGATGAAGAGGTGTTGACGTTGATCAGCCTCTCCATATCGAGTAAGAATGCGACCATATATGATTTCTTCGCTGAGACATTAGCAAATTCTCTACTAGAACCACCGAGACTCCCGCAAACATGGGTTTCAGCAACTGTGGCTTGATATGATTTCCTCATCTCCAAACAGTGTTCACATCGTTTACACTCCGCATAAACCTGTAGGTCGCTGCTCGTATGTGCGCGCCATGATACATTTACACCGCTTCCAGAACGGCAACCTTAATAATGATAGACTTACAGGAAGTTGGGCCGAGGTGAGGCAGAAGCTTCGGCTGGACATGGCATAGCGCATGGACGATCGATGGACGTCGTCGACCCAGATGGCTGTGACCTGAAGAAATTGGCCTCACTTGAGACTGTAAGGTTCTGCTGGGAAGTCTAGAGTCGTTAGTGCGATTTTTGCTCGTATGCACACGGGCTGATCGTGCTCAACGATCCAAATGCAAGTGCATGCAAGTGCCTTGCAATCTTAGGACGGATAACATCTATGATGTCTCCACACAAAGTACTGCTTCAAGTCGCTGCTCTTCCAATTTGCGAGAGGGATGGTCATGCTGGCTGAGGCTGGCTGAAGGACGTTCCACAAATGGTATAACCGGAGTTTGAAGTCCGACACCTCATTGACAACACGTTCAGACGCCACATCAACTTGAACGTTCTGCCTCCATGCGTGTGGTATAAAGACTGCCAAAGCACGTACTATCTGTCCTCTATACTTTCATACTGACGAAAAATCTAGACGTCACTCATGCTTCCGTACGTCGTAATTTGAGCACTATATGCGCATGCTAAGCTACCTCTACGTGACAGGCGTGTGGCTGCGTCCTTGGAAGATGCGCAGGAGCAGGTTTCTACTAGTAAGGGAGCAAATGCAAGCAGGTTGGGATTGATAAACTTGTGCAGTTCATAACCCATCACTGACAACAACTCTGACAGAGTCTTTCGAGTGAGTACTTGCATAATATGCGCAACTTCTTGATTGTAAACGTGTTCCGTGGCGCAGCACGAGACATCGTCAACCGCTGGCGAGATCACCCGGCTTACAAGAGACCCGCCAATCAACAAGCTTCCTCTAGAATTATTGACACGCATATTCTGGCTGACAGTACCCCCCTTCAAAGGATTCGACGCTGTCATTCAAGGCTTCTGGTGGCCTAATATCGCACGAGTGGCAAAGACCCGAGAGTTGGTGCCGCTCACGCATGTGTGCAAGGGATGGCGCGCAATTGCTCTACAGACACCATTCTTATGGAGTTCTATCAACGGCAGCAATAATCTCGCGGAACCACAACGCGCAGCGCTCTGGGCAGCACGGGCCCCGCCGTCAATACCTACCGCGGACGCGTTTTTGGCGAGATCTGCCAGCATACCTATCAACATCTTTGCACAACGGGACCTTCACCCGTCCGTACTCTCGATGTGTCGTAACCACAGCTCTCGCATTCAAGAGTTGCACCTATTCTGCATTGACGACAAAGTGGAGAAGATCGTGTCCTTGACCGACTTTCCTGCTCCATGTCTTGAATATGTGACTGTCCATGCAGCTCAGTCAATGGGCTACGCTCGTGGCCTGCCGCCAACTGGTTCATATACAGTTTCGCTATTTTGCGGCCAAGCGTCTATGCTTCGTTATCTGACCTGGCAAATCGGCACCTGCCTTCCAAGCAACCAATTTCTCTCCCTCACGCATCTCAGCATACGCCCCGTCATATCCGCTGTGCACCACCAATGGCAGCTAACAGATTTATTGACGCTACTGTCTGGATGTCCAGCCTTGCAGGAGCTGGTACTTGCCCGCTTACAAGATAGTCTGAGGTATGACGACGTCCCAAGCGTTGCACTGGCGTCTTTGCGTAAAATTAGGGTGGGATGGGTTCACCCTACGCTGGCGACTTGGCTGATTGAACACATCATACCTATCGAGAACGCAACGGTGCACATCGAGTCAACTACTGATACCTGCCCGTCTTCATGCCGTCCAGCTCGCATGCCGATGTACCGCGGCGAGCTCGCGCGGGTATTCCTCTCCACGGATATGAATGACGTCATAACGACCGTCACTGCTGTTGGTGTGACCTCGGGAGGTATTTGTGTCGAGTGGGCATCGAATCGATACAGACGAAAGTGCCCAGCTTGCCTTCACTGGGCGCCATCCTTGTGGGCAGTGTGGCCGCTGGCAAGCACCCGGGAGCTTTGGATCAGCGAGCATGTGGATCCTGAATGGCTGGGCGGATACCCTACGATCTTCCGATCACTCCCATGCCTCAAGACAATATTCTTCTGCGAGAGCGTGTACCCCAAGTTTCGTTTCGGAAAATACTTTGACGCTTTCGTGGCAGCGCTATCAGCGCGTTGTACAAACGGCGTATCCGCCTTTTGCCCCCGGTTGAAGACACTGCATCTCTACCTTGTAACCGAAGCTGTAGGTCTGGAAACCTTGGCGCAGTTGAACGCGGCAAGGCGAGCGCTAGGGTGCCCGCTCGAGTCTATTGTTGTTGAATACATCGCGGACACAGCTTGGAGGCCGGGGAGATTCTCCGACAAGAAGGATCTACCACAGCTGGGAGATCACCACGAGTTCATTGAATACCGCCTCCGGGAGGATCCACCTCAATTATATGATCCTTCTTTACTTGCTCCTTGATCAAGACAGCCTGTGGTCGCTTTCTTGAAGGTGGATCGGTTACTTGACAATGGGGTCACCAGGTATCCATGCGTCTGGCTAGGCCAGTCGCCACTTCATGCGTATGCTATTTCGAATCACGCAATCTATGATGCAATGTTCAAACTAGGATGAGCCTGTACTATTGCACAACTTATATTCATAAGCACTGATCATGCTCAATGATATTGAGATGCAAGTTCATCGGTGCACTGGCTGACTGCCTAGGCAACATCTATCAACAACATATCAATTGTCCTTGGCCTCCTTCGGGGCCTCACCGCTCTGAATGTCAGATTCAGTGAGCTGGACCATCCGCGCACGGCACTTAAAACTTACCGCGGCGGCCTGGCGGGCATCGCCGATGTTGGTCGGGCCCGAATCCTCATCGCTCTGGAGCGTGCCGGTGTGCAACTGCGTCTGTGGCTTTTCCTTTTGGTCGGGCTTGCTCTCCGCCTCGGAAGTTATACCTGGCGAGCCAGAACTGAACTTGGCGTCTTGCTCCTCTTGTGCTTGCGCGTCAGGAGGGAGGTCGTTGCTCTGTGGACATGTAAGAGGGACATAGTGAGCTTTTGCAGGCAACAAGAACGGGAAACTTACAGCTGCCTGTTGTATAGATTCCTTCACCTCGTCGCCAGAGACGGTCTCACCATCTGCATCGGTCACGGAATCCTGCTTCTCTTCAGAAGCTGGTGCCTCCTCCTGAGTTTCTTCCTGGAGAATGCATATCAGTCAGCGCGCGCGCGATACGAGGCCTTGCGTGAGGATATTTGACCCAGGAGGCATACCTGTTCTGCCGGGGCCTCAGGTTCCTGCTTCTCATGGTGCTCGTCGTGCGCACCGTGGGTATGCGCAGCAGTATGTGAGCTCTTTTTAGACGAGGGGTACAGAAGGTAGATGAGCTGTATAGTACGAATGCAGGGTTAGTCAAACGCGCGTGACAGAAGATGAAGTACACACAGCAGGCCCGAAGACAAGAGCTGAGCCAATCTGAGGAGTTAGGGGCATGTAAGAATAAGGCGTTCCTATGACTGACATAAAGACTTACCATCCATGGGGTGTCGCTTCCCGTGGGGTGCGCGCCGTGCTCGGCGGTGCTCATGCATCGTCTGCCAGTCGCATTCACGGTACGGGCGACGCGCGCCGTCGGACGTGCGACCTGAGAGATGAAACGGCGTCCTAGACGAGTGGCCATGGGTGGAACGTGTGCAAGTGAGAGTAACGGAGAGGAACCGTGGCTGCCAGCTGGGCACGGCGGCAGAGGCGCGAACTCGAACAGTCAAGACTGCTCCGGGAGGGACCGGTCACGACGTCATGCCTTAATGAATTTGTCCCTGAGCGGTGAGCGTAGCACCCACTATAAACGTTACAAAAAGAAGCATTGCAAGCCCGCCTAGCTCAATCGGATAGAGCGTCAGACTTTTACGGTCTGGGTGGGTTCGCCGCTCAACGGTTTAATCTGAAGGCTGCGGGTTCGACCCCCGCGGTGGGCTAGTACGTTTTGCCGATCTTTTTGCTACTCTCCGCATAGGACAGGGGGTGAAGATTGTTCAGCGCCGTGTGTCTAATCTTGTGAAGACCTCGCAGTGTGCGGGCAAGACTCATCAAGAACGGGACTTAGAGAATCTTGAGAGACCGCAACATATTACATGGTATATTCGACGAGCCCGTCGCCTCCAATATTTCCATCCCTGAACACCAATACCGTATGTTGCTACGCGTTGCACTCCCCTCGCCATTACCACTCTGAACGTTGACGAAGGAGTCACGTTGAGGACTCCAGGATGCCCATCTCCTTCCATCGCTCCCACAACGCGCCGGCACCTACGGGGGACCCAGGCTGACCTTTCACGTCCTTGATATCCAGCAGTTCGTACTCCTTGCCAAAGGCGAGGAAGTGCGCGAACAGCGAGTTGAAATGTGGCTCACTGCGGAGGTGGAGAATCTGCGGGTAGTGCGCGTGGTAGAGGTGCGCAAAGACGCGCAGGAGCTGTCGGTAAACGTGTTTGACGGTCGAGGGGAACGTGGGAGAGAAGTCTTGTCCTAACGGAAAGCGATCAACACGTCATAGCGCGAAGTCACGACACGCTACTTACCGGACTTTGTGGGGAATACACTCTCGTCATCCAGCAAATTCTGCACCCAGGTCATGACATAGTCAATGTATGTGGGCGCTGGGAGCTGGACACTTTTGCGATCTTGGTTAATCCACGTGTAGTTCAAGCTAGGTAGGGCAATGAGCATGGTAGGTAAATGCGCAATTCGCAGACTTACTTGGATCCAGCGGACATTGTCGGGCAGGATTGTTGCGTGCAGCACTCAGATAGGACACCATAGAATTGGTTGAGATTCTGATAGAAGTCGAATACTGAAATGCACCGCGCTCGCGTTAGCAACACGTCTCTAAGCGACACCACGCGCGACACGTACTGTTGACCGCGACCCATTCCATCACGTCCGCATACTTTGGCAGCATCACGATGTGCTTGAAGTTGCCCTTTACAAGTGCGGCCTCAACAAATGGGCTGCATAGGTATAGCGGCTTGGGTATCGAAGGCGTTGTTGGGGTGCCAGGTAGCGACTCTGTAGATGGAAACGTCGAAGACGTAGGGGTGGTAGAGCGTTTTGGGGGACGAGGCGCACGACTCATAGAGCGTCTACACAACGGAGAGTCATGAACACATATTCGCAAGCTAGACATAGGAACTTTGCATACCCAATTGAGTTGAAGAACGACATGGCAGTCTGGATCAATGCAACGCGCTAGCGGCAGAAGATGAAGAACAGTACGAAGAAAGATAACGGAGTAGCAAAACGCAAGGCAGACCCCTGAACTACGAAGGCGAAGGCCGCGAAGCACTGCTTTCCGTTGCAGAGGTATTGCAAATGGGAGACAGAACGAAGTGGTATACACAGCTGCTGTAAGTGTAGACCTTCCGGATTCGGACATGATGTTTGGCTCTGCTTGATTTACAAGGCGTCAGACAATAAGGCCAAACAACCGTGGCCATGCGCCACCGGCGCGTGTGGTCTTGTTCACTACCCACCGACTCCCTTGCCGCCCCCCACTTCCCAGGCCGCGCCCTGGTCAGCTTGCCATGATGAAGACCCGCAGAAAAAGCAAAGCCGCAGCGGCTGCTGCTGTTGAGGCTGCAACAGCCGCGTCTACGCGCGAGAATTCACCTGCTCCTGCTCCTGCGCCCCTGGCACCCGGTGCACCCATTTCTGTAGCCATTCCCGAGGATGTCGACGCGGACATTCTCTCCAATCTCCTACCAGACGTTGATCTAAGCTCCCCCTCATCCGATGTCATTCTGTCGCTCTATCGCCTCGTTGTGGCGCAAGCCACAGAGTCAGACGCCACGCAGAGAGAACTCGAGGAGGCGCGTGCGGATATCGAGCGCAAGGATGTTGAGCTTGATCAAGCTCTCCAAGACCGTGACTATGCCGCTTCTGAGCTCGAGAGTACGCTGGACAGCGTGCGGAAGGAGCTCGAACAAGTCAAGCAGGAAAAGGAGGAACTAGGCACGTCTTGCGCCATAGCTGGCGCACGTCTCATTGATATCCCTTTACAGCTGTCTCCCGTGCCGCACTGCAGGCACAACTTACATCGCTCTCAACGACACAATCAGTGTCTTCTTCTGAGGTCGAGTCTCTCAAGCATCGGGTAGAAGACACGGAACGAGAAAAGCGTGACCTGGTGACTGTTGTGAGCCGGATGAAGGAGGACAGTGTGCAGCGTGAGGGTTAGTTGTCTCTCCATCCATATCCATCAAGCGATACGTTATACTTACGGTACCCTAGAGGAAATACACACTCTGCGTGCCAACCTCAAACAAGCCCGTCAAGAACACCAGGCCCTGGAAAGCCAACTTAGGGAAGTTCGATCATCGGAAACTGCTACCAAAGTATGTCGCATTTGATTACCTCACAAGAACAGGAACTTACGCTCGTATAGTTCAAGCTCGATTCACTTTCGCAGCAACTTCAGCTTGCGCAGGAGCAGGCTTCACGCACATCTGAAGACCTGAACGCTAAGGTTGAAGAGTTCGCGAAGTACCGACGCACGAAGCATGCCGAGTTTGCCCAGTTGCAGGCCGCGCACGATGCATTGGTACAGACACATGCCTCCACGGAGAGTCAGCTGAAGGCGCTCCAGGCGGCGCATACAGCACAGAACCACCAGCTCACTCAGGCTCTCACAAAGATACAGACTTTAACTGGGCAGCTGGCGGAGCAAGAGGCGACGTACTCGAGCGAGGCGGCAGGCCTGCGGCGCCTGGTTGAGATGATGGAGGCTCGTGAGGCGCAGACGAAGGCGATCGTGGACACTATCGAGCAGGACTGGGCAGGAGTCAGTGAGAAGGCGGACCGACGCGAGGCCGTCTTGCGGGAGGAAGTGGAGGAGCAGCGGCGTCGGGCAGAAGACGCGGAGAGGGAAGTTGACAACCTGAAGAAGATCCTGAACCGAATGGACCGTGGCGAGTTCCCCATGCCGTCATTCGCGGATGGCGGGGAAACACCCAGCACTCCTGCACGTCGTACACCGGGCACGCCGGCAATGATGAGCGGCACACCTGACTTGCTCTCGGACGGTCTCATTGGCTTGAGCCCGACCGTCGCCATGGCCAGCCGGGCGCAACGGGGCGGTAAGACGTTTACTGAGGTCTACTCGGACTATGTGCGTCTGCAGGAGGATTATGCGCGGAAGTCTGAGGAGTTTGACAACCTGGAGAAGACGATGGCGCATGTCCTCGCGCAGCTCGAAGAGCGGGTAAATATCTTAGTCTTATTGTCTTTTATTACCGCTGAGTCCATTCTCGTCCAGGCCCCCATTCTGTCACAGCAGCGTGAAGAGTATGAGCGTCTCCACGCTGAGACGTCTCAACTCGCGTCTCAGCTTTCGCAGGCTCTTTCAGACCGTGACGCTTATGCAGCGGCGTCTGAAGAGAACGCGCAGAAGTTCAACGGGACGAGGCGCGAGAACGAACTCCTGCAAAAGCAGCTCGATGATCTCGGACGCCAGCTTCGTGGCGTGCTCAGGGAACTTGGACGGGTACAAGATCCATCGATCCCCCCAGACGATGTGTTGGACGCGGATGAGAACTCACAACCACCAGAGACCATCGAGGGCGTGATCAAGAGCAATCTCGTGTTGTTCCGCTCTATCCCTCAGCTTCAGGAGCAAAACCAGACACTACGCAAGGTTGTCTATGAGCTTGGTGCGAAGCTGGAAGCCGAAGAGAAGGACTATCGCGAGGTGCTCGAGAAGGAGCAGAGTGAGGCCGTGGTCGAGGCACACAGAGCTCTCGTCGATGTGCGCCAGCAGTTCGACACTTACAGGCAGAGCGCGGAGGTCAAATTCCAGTCGATCTCGAAAGAGCGCGACACGCTGCGTGCCATGCTGGACCGTGCCTCGACCAATGCACCTCCAATGATCAATGGCGACCTCAACGGACGTACTACAGAATCGCCACCGCACTCTGAGCTAGAGAGGGAGCTGGATTATGTACAGAATCAGTTCAAGGCGTATCAGACAGAGATGGATGTGGATACTGTTCATCTTCGTGATGAGCTTCTTGCAGCGCAAAGGAGGGCCGGTCAGCTGGATGCAGCGCTAGCAAAGGCCAACGCGAAGATCGAATTCCTCAACGGTGAGATTGACGATCTCTTCATTAACATCTCTAATAAAGCGCCTCCAAGATCGTCACCGTATGGTCCAAGACCAGAGCGTTAGCCAGAGTCGCGAGCTCGATAATCTCGCCAAGCGCAACCAGCAATTGTACGATCAGTATACCCGTCTCGACATCGAGTGCAATAGGGTCACGGACGATCTGATGGTGGCTAACAATGTGGTCGAGCAATTGCGCAACGAAGCTGCGAATCTTCGCGCCGAGAAGAAGATCTGGGAGGTATGTGCGCATAAAAGGTACCCTCATATTTCGATAGTGACGAAAGTCTTTGGCGTGTAGAGTGTTCAAGGCCGCCTTGTCGAGGAGAACAGGATACTTGCCGTGGAGCGCTCCCATCTCTCGGATCTTATGGCGAACGTGCAGAAAATGCACAGCGACCTGGAGCGTTCTGGAGAGAATGATCGGCGTCGACTGGAGAATCAGATTCAGCTGCTTGAGAACCAAACGTACGTCGTGAATTGGCTATTCATTGCACCGTTCTCACTGTTTCTTTAGTCAGGACTTGCGGGCTCAGCTGAGTCAGGAACGCGAGTCTCTTCGTCATGTTTCGCTGCACAAGGACCTTGAGTTGAAGGAGCTGCAAGCTCGCATCGAGAAACGAGTGCGTGATTTACCCGATATACTCGCTCTGCTGCTCACGATGTGGATTTGTAGGCGCAGGAGTTCGCCAAGACCCGGGAGGCACTTGTTGGTGCTGAGACCAGCAAGAAACACCTAGAAGAGCGCGTCGAGTCATTGAGTAAGCAGCTCCAAGGCAACGAAGAGAAGCTCGCCGTCTATGAACGCAGGGCGAGCGGCGCGCACAGTGTACCGCAACGCACTAACTCGGACATGTCACACGAACAGCAGCTGGAAGCTGAGGTTGCTGAGCTGCGGTCAGTAGCGTTCATATGTTGGCTTCTGATATATGACCTGAAGTGCTTCTCTCAGGTCCGCGCTCAAGGTGGCGCAGGTCGATCTCGCCGCCGCGAGAAGCCATGTTCAACAGTACCGGGAGATAAGTGAGGCTAACGAGACTGCGTTGGCCACCCTTAACGCAACCCACGATGAGTACAAAGGATCAACAGAGGCTGAGCTTGCCAAGCGCGCCGTATGTATTTTCCGCGCACGTCGTCGTGGTTTTGATGGTCGAATGCTAACATCTTCTCAGTCTGAACTTAACGCTCTTCAAGAGAAGCTGCAGGCAGCACAGCATGATTTCACACAAACATCAGCTAAATGCAGCGAGCTGCAACGCATCCTTGACACGGAGCGAGTCGCTTGGGCGAACGATCGGAAGACACTCGAGGACACCATCGTGGACATGAGTACGTCGGAGCGTGAATCTGAGAGCGACCGTTTGTCGCGCGAAGGTGAAATGCGGCAGCAAGAGGAAAGAGCAAAGGTAATGTTTCTCGGCCAGCATTGGCAGGTTGCATCTCATGTAAATAATAGGCTGCCGAGGAACGCTATGCAAGCGAAGTCGTTGCTCATGCTGAAGCCCTCAAGGCCGTAACAGATCTCAAGGAGCAGCTTTCTAGAGCGCATGTCGCTGCTAGAGAATTCCGTGCTGCCGCCGAGACGGCTCAAGCTAAGTTGGCTACCTCTGAGGCCAGCTGGATTCAGCAGAGATCAGCTCTCGATAAAGAGATCATGGATCTGAACTCGAGGTAAGTGTCTTGTAGCTCGATGCCTGGTTTGCCTGACAGTATTGGAATCAGATGCAAAGATCTGGCCGCCCAAAACACTCTACTCCATCAGCATCTGGAGTCTGTCAGTTCTCAAGCTGCTCGCATCCGTCAAGCCGCCGATTCATCCGCTTCTGCTGTAGAAGGAGAGACTTCTAACGACACTGACGCGAAGTTGGCGGATCTACGCTCCGTTGTCGCATATCTGCGTCGGGAGAAAGAGATCGTCGAGTTGCAGCTAGAGCTAAGCAAGCAAGAGAATGCGCGCTTGAAGACACAGGTTGACCACCTGTCGCACAATCTCGACGAGACTCGCAAGGCACTTTCTGAGGTATTTACACATACAAAGCCGACATCCTCGATGAACTGACTTTATTATGTTTGCAGGAACGAGAGCGTGCTGTGGAAGCTGCCTCCTCAGAAGCACAACATGCGGAGCTGGTAGAACGAATCAACCAGCTCACGATCCTCCGCGAGAGCAATGCCACTCTGCGGGCTGATTGCGAAGCTCACGCTAAGCGCGCTCGCGAGTTGGACGTCAAGTTGAAGCAGCTGTCTACAGAACTTGAGCCTACGAAAGAACATCTCCGAATTGCGCAGGCCGAAATCGAGTCGAAGGATCAGCAGATCAAGCGGCTTGAGGAGGAGAGCCAAAGGTGGAAAGAGCGCAACTCCCAGCTTCTCAGCAAGGTATGTAAATTGCGACATATCCAAAGAGACTTACTGACATTATATCGTGTGGCAGTATGATCGTATTGACCCTGCGGAAATGCAGTCTCTCAAGACAGAGATCGAACACCTGAAGGCCGCCAATCAAGACATAGAGAAGCTGACAGCAGAAAAGGATACGCGACTCGCTGAGCAGAGCAAGAAGGTGCACATCTCGTTATCTTACTAAATCACCATCTCACCTTCGTTCGCAGATCTCGAGCCAGGAGCAATCGATCGCCAAGCTTAGAGACATTGGGACCAAAAACAATGAGAGATCTCGTGCGGCCTTCGCTCGGCATGACGCCGAGAAGGCCCAACTGAGTGCCCAGATCAAAGAGCTTCAGAACCAACTTGCCTCGATGAAGACTGAACGGGATCAACTCCAGGAACGTTCGCAAGGCATGTCAACAGACGTCGCATCGGATCAGCAAGAATTGATGCAAGAGTTGGAGAGACTGCGTACCGAGAAGACGGCACTTGAGAACCTGCTAGCCAACTCGGGAGCCACTGCATCATCCCAGCCTGTGGATGAACTGAATGCGACTGTCGTATGTTCACATCCCCACCTCCAAACAATCCGAACTCACCTTGCCGTAGGCTGCTCTGACCCAGGAACGAGACAAGTTGCTAGCCGAGAAGTCGTCTGCTTCAGCTGGTTTAGCTGTATCGCCCGAAGAACAGCAACAGTGGGAATTGCAGAAAGCGGAACTCGTCCGTGCTCGTGATGAAGCAATAGCACAAGCCAAGGTACGTTACATGCCTTTTGTAATAACATCCATGATTGACCGGATTTGTAGGCCGCACAGGAACAAGCCCAGAAAGCATCTGATGACGCCAAAAATATACGCTTTGCTAACGTGAGTGGGCCATTGTCCCAGCGGTTGACCCTTATCTCACATTGTCCGTAGGAGAAAATCCAGGCCAGAATCCAAGATCTGTCTAAGGCTAGGGCGGCTGATAGCGAACGAGCCGCAGCTCAGCAGCAGGCGGCTGTTTCCGCTGCAGTCGAAAAGTTGCGCAACGAGCTGCAAGCCGTCTCTTCATCAGCGTCGTCTGAAGAGATTGTCGCCCGACACGCCCAAGGGTTGCGAGAACTAGAGCAGCGGTTAACGGCCAAGCACCAAGAGGAACTGAGAGCTGCTGTGGAGGCCGCCGCCGCTACCACAAGAGCTGAAGTGCTTGCCTCGACCCCGTCTGTATCCTCCGGAGGACAGAACGGCGATATTGATGCGGCTTTGAAGGCTCACGAGGAGACGCTTAGGCAGCGGCACGAACAAGAGATAGCGGCGGCTTTAAAGGCTCACGAAGAGATACTCAAACAGCGGCACGAACAGGAGATCGCGGCGGCTGTCGATCGTGGCAGAATGGAGCAGGCTACAAGGAGCAAACTCAAAGATCAACAACTCGTGAGAGCACAAGGCAAGCTCAAGGAACTGGAGGCTCAGGTCCTCGAATGGAGGAACGCAGGGCTTGTTCCTCAGCCTGCGTCCGGTGGGGCCACCACAAGCAAAGTTCCTACTCCCGGCTCTGCCTCGGTCCCTCCGAAGCCAGCGCCCACGCCCGCAGTAAACGCCGCAGCTCCGAAATCACTACCTCGTAGGCCGTCTCTTGCTCCTGCTGCTCCTGCGCCGGAAGGCGCTGGTCGTGGCAGAGGGGCGGCGATCCGTGGTGCTTCCCGCGGTGCAGCGCACGGCCTCAATATACGGGGGACAGCCGCCGTGGGTCGAGGTGGTGCTCTTGCACCTGCAAGTGCAGCTGCTGGTGTCCAGATCGTTGGCGCAGCAGGGAAAAGGACTCGCGAGGATGGCGACTCTACTCCTGATGACGCATTGGCGAAACGCCTAAAACCCGCGGAAGGTACAAGTAAACCTGTGACCTTACGTAGAGATCGTGTTCCTCCACCCCCTTGATATAATTGTAGTCGAATTGCTGTGTTCACATCATACTCTTAGTCGCATTTCTCGGTAACTTATCAACTTGTATAGTGAGGCAATACGGATTCCAGATTCGCATCGTAACAAAGACATCGAGACACATATAAACATGAACGAAACCAAGCCGTAACAAATCAAACGTCAGGTCAACACGGACGTATCATGAGCGTGCGTGGGTGGATTCGTCAGTATAATTGGAGCAGATACGAGATAAACATGAGAGCAATACGATAGCAGAGGTGCAAACTGCGAACAATATCAAAGTCCGAATGCTGGTCAACAAAATGTGATGCGAAACCTAGAGGATGCAAATATGGAGGATAGCAACTAAGATCTGACCGTCATGGGTTTCCCCGATACAATGGCCTTGAAAGCTTTGCGAACGATAGCAACGGTGTTCTTCCCCTGATCGTGATTGTTTGTACTGTTATCGACGATAGAGTGAACGACGACTCCGAACTCGTCAACAGAGCTGGCTCTCCGTAGATCCTCACTTGAGACAGGGGGAGGCATTGGTTTCCGATTCGACAAGAAGAAGCGTTGGTTACGCTTTGATGCTGAAATGGCGTCTCGAGATACGTTGGACATGGGCCTGTTGTTGTTAGACTGGTATCCCTTGCCTACCCTCTTCACGCCAGCAGTTGACATTAGGAAGCTACGATGACGGTCAGCATCGACAAATCAGAGTTTTGTTGTCCGCGGCTCACCGGTCGTAAATGTCATCGAGGTGCTTTCGCTCTGGAGTGTCAAGCATATTGACCGAGTTCGAGAGCTCGGCCCTCGGTGGGTACGGCTCAACTTGGAAGGGTGATTCGGTCAATTCATTCTTGACATCTTCGGTGATGATTTCGATATCGGGCAGCGGTGTCGATGGTGGGGAAGCGATGAACAGACCCCTATCTACAACTGCAGACAACCGCTTGGGACGAGTAGGGAGTGCGACTAAGGAGATCGACGTTAGCGATTCCTCGTAGAAGATGCTATGGAGTTACGTACGCCTCTCCAGCTCAAATTCCAACTTCGTGACTGGTGTGATAGGACGAGCCAAATCGTTCTGAGATTTGGACTTCTCTCTGCGCTTCGATGGAGAGGCCGTGTCGATGGTCAGGCTGTTCCTCTTTGCTTTCGACTCGGGTGAGCGTGTAACTACAGTCGCTCGTCGCTTACGTGATGGCGTAGATGGAACTAGAGGGCTCTGTGGGTCCAATGCAAGGCTTGGCGGCTCCGAAGGAATGGTCGGCAGTGTAGCATTAGCAATTGCATCGAGAATTCTGGATTGTTCCGCATAGTCAACGGACGCTCCGTTGGATGAGCTCATCGTCTGGTCCATGATGCCAGATTCGTATCCGTCGGCAAATATATGGTTAGCAGCTAAGATCTTGCGCGGCACACGTGCTGACCGATTGGCTTGGGTCAGAGACGCCCGCCGCGAAACGGGTGCCAGGGGCAATGGTGGAGCAGGGTCTGTGCTACTTGAGGATGCTGCAAAGGTTTGACGCGCGTCTTCGACGACCTCTGTGCCGCAATATTGATTACTATCCGACTTGACCACATAACCAAAATAAGCTTACTTTCGACATTCCGAGCCCATAATGTCATTCGGTCGAGTTGATTGGCCGCTGCTAGCTCTTCATTTCGGACTGCATGACGTACCATCGGCAGTGAAGAGTTGGCTATATCGGCTTTTACTAAGATTTGGCTTGGGAAAGGCCGCCGAGATGACTGCTCACCTTTGCGAACCAACACATCGTCCTCCCATGATGCCCGAGCACTGATGCTCTTGCGAGACAGGTTGTCATCATCTCCCTCGGGGAGAATCAAAGCAGGAGTAGACCGGCCGAGCGCCATGGTGGATGATTTGTACAACCTCAAGGTCTTGTCTTTTTTGTTTATCTCAGTCAATGACACATAACGGCCTTTATAGGTCCAAACTCACCGATCGACATTCTCAGACCATGCTTGAAGATGCTAATGCCAGACTCATTACCCACAGGGGGGTACTCGCATTCCACGGCCGCACTGATCTCAGACGGTTCTATGCAGTATAATCAGCGATAGGCGTACTGCACTTTGATTTTGAAACTCACCTTCCTTCAACGGGCTCAGTGGAGTAAGCGGAGCGCTATCAGGAGGCGTCACCGACGACCCTCTCCTCGGCGCGATCCTTGCATAGATGCCATCACTGTCCGATTGCTGCAATCGTAACCGATCCTGCACTTGATGCAGCGCACGCGCTCGCTCCTTCTGGAGTTCCTGCTGGCGCACCGCTTCCAGCTCCTCTTGCCGCCTGCGCTCTGCCTCGAGCTGCAGCTGGCACTCCCACTCGCGTCTCCTCTCCGCCTCCTTCTCACGCTCTAGCTCGCGTGCGACCTCTGCTTCGCGTTCGCGCTGTGCGCGTTCTCGCTCCTCCTCCACCTCCTTTGTTCGCTCCTTTATCAGTTCCATCTCGCGCAGACGTGCGCGCTCGCGCTCCCACTCACGCATCCGATCGCGTACCGAGTTCGATTGCACCTGCGGCTTTTCCACCCGTCGCGGGATGCCAGACACGCCCTCGGCAACATTGCGGCTGGCAGACGTAACATCCTTGAATGGACGGCCGCGTCGCGCCTGCTTCTCTTTCTCTCTCTCCCTTACCTTCACAGCATTGAATGGCTGCAACGGGGCGTTCTCTTTGGACGCGAGCGGGGCAGCTGGAGAGGTAGGCGGTGTGGGGCTACGGGGTCCTAAAGGCCGGCGCGGTGCACGGGTATTCTTGCTATTGATCGCAGGAGAAGCGTTCTCCTTCCCGTCCGATGAGGAAGAGACGACAATTGGCGAGGCTGCAGCAGGTGACTGCTTTACAGGTGACAGCGTCGCAAGCATGGACGGCGTCACGATGTTCTTGCGAGCTTGGCCTGTAACACGCATGATAGGATATTTGTCAGTCACGAAATGCGTATGAAACAAAGTCAACATACTCTCCAGCAGCGGCAATTTCGACTGCGACTGTGATCTGGCGTGATTAGACCGGATCAGGCTGGTGCGATGGTCAAGCTTCTTAGAGTCTCGCTCTGTGACAGCTTTCGCGTCGGCGGCAGCGTTCTCCTTGTCGTGCGTAGGTTTGAACACCGGTCGCGACTGGGCCTCATCTGTAGCGGGCGTAGGCGTGGGCTTCGCGACGATTTCCACTTTGCTGTTATCCTTCTCCTTCCCCTTGTCGGTCTTGCGCGGAGACCATGGGGCGATGAGATCGGAGAACTTGAACACGTCCTTCTCCAGACCGAGAGAAAGGGACGGGGCATGAGATACGCTGGTAGCTTTCCCTTTTTTTTGGCATCGGTCAGTTGCAGCATACGTGAGAAAGCACCCGGCGAGCTTACGGTGTGACGGCGCAAGGAGTTCTGGCGACCAATAACCATCGAGCAGCGCTTCTGATGCCATACATCTCAAGTCAGCGTTGGGCAGGATCATTCTCCGTAGGAGTTTCTCTGCGTCCCGGGTCATCTTCCAAGTGCCAACCCACTTTCCGCGGAGCTGACGCGAAGCCCTCAGATGTGCGAAAAGCATCGTGAAGCGCTCCGACATACCGTACGATTCCAGTACTTCTCCAACTCTTCTTTCGTGGTGAACTGTTCGCCCTCCGCATGCTCAAAGGGTGTACGTCCCACAAGGATCTCGAAGAAAGTGACGCCTAGGGACCAGACGTCTGACTTGCGCGTGTCGTGAGGAAGCCCTCGTGCACGCTCGGGTGAAAGGTACTACAGGATGGCATATATGCATACTTTTCACGAGGATCAGGGACGAAGACAACCCTACTTACCTCAGGAGTACCGTATGATAGGTTACTGTGGAAGGCTTTGCACGAATTGACATCATATCGCTCTGCAAAACCAAAATCCACTAGCACAGGTATGTTCTCGTGTGATAGAAGTATATTCGCGGGTCTAGCAGAAATGCTTAGTATGGGAAACGGGTGACGGAGCGTGACGCCTACTTGATATCATTGTGAACGACGCCTCGCTTGTGGATAAAGTCAACACCGGAGAGCAGAGAGCGGAACCATTGTCTTGCGTGATGCTCTGGTACCTCAACGGGAACAAGGCGAGGATGATATGCCCTAACAAAGGGACAGTGTCAGTACCGCGGCAGAAAGCGGACGGTCTCTATAGTGCCCTCCACGAAGACACGAAAGGCACCGATAATTACTCACATCGTAATCATGGCATAGGAGGGCGTAATGATGAATTCGTGAAAGGGGATTATTGACGGGTGCGGATCTTGTCTGAATTGTCTGACGACTTTCATCTCGTTCCATCTACGTCAAGGTCGTAAGGACATGTAGCTAGCTGGGCCTAGTGTAAACATACAGCGACCTCACACGGGCACCCGTTGTTGTCGTCTTTTTCGAGCGGTGTACCAGCTTTGCGGCGATCTTATTGTTATGAAGCGAGAGCAGTTGATCGGATGAAGACGCGTCTGGATGGTGCCTAGGTCGACAAAGCCAAACGCTACCCCAGTTGCCAAAACCAATCTGTTGAGCACTTGTTAGTATAACTGTCTCAACCTTGCTTTCATGCGACTCCGAATAGCACCTCTTCAATGAACTGGTACTTGTTCGCTAGCGCTTCGTCAGTTAGGGAGAAAATGTCAGTGACTTCTTCAGGCGGTTGAGGTGGTGGAATCATTGCGAGAAAGGACAGCTAGAAGTACAAAGCGGGAGGTAAGGAGGGAGAGAGAAAGCGACGACGGACGAGGGTCGGTCGATGAAATGTGAACAAGCGCGTCAAGTTCGACTTCGCTTGCGAGTTCAACATGAGCCGTGAGAAGAACACGAGGCGTTCAGCCACAACCGCGTCCCGTTCTCTCGCGTCGCGTCGTCCGCGCGCGTGACCGCGTCTCCCACGCCCATTATCCTGCTTGCGTGTTTTCCTCCGCTATCTTTTGCTTGACTATCCTCTCAAATCTCGTGCACTTACGCTCGTTCATGGTGGACAGGCACATAAGATTGCTGGGCACAGTGTTGATGGAGCCTGAACCGATCGCTGAGAAGGCAGTCAGATGGCGGATTCTATTCGCAGCCTGTCCGGTGCTGGGCAGAAATCAGACAAAATGCCTTGTTGTTCCTGGCGCCCGCCAACATTCTTCCATACATTCCTCGCCTGTGGCGCAAGGCACAAACAGCTTAGTCGTTTAGCTAAGAGATGTACCACTGCTGCTGCTGCTCTATGCAGGAGACCCCTGATATGAGCAGTAGCAGCTGAGCTGTGTCCTTTCGCTGAAGTATCCAACATTTTGTAGTATTGGAAGTGGGTCTACAGGTACTCGAGTGGATTCTGCGATGCCTAGCAAAGCCTCCAATAAGCTCTAACACCTATCAGCATGTTCCTGCCAATCAAGTTGCTTCGGCGGACACAAAGTAGTCTGCTGGTGACTCTGGGGAAATGGCTTGGACCTTCCATATACGCGTCAGTTGAGAAACAAGTATCGAGGAATGTTTACAATTCACCGGACGACAGTCTCACCTATATATTTAGGATCGCTCTGTTGATCCCAGGGGTTGGCCGCCTTGAGACCGACACATACAGTGGACAAAGGCAGCAGTGGCGGGCCCAGGTGGGTGTCCAACAACAGATGAGCATCGTCCTGTTAGGAAGAATACAATAAGGATGGCACGATGGCAGCGCGGTGAGTTGCGTGATTCCGTCGCTTTGAGTAATGGTGGCCGGCACTACATCATCTCTCGCAGCGGATATGTAGCAGCGACTGACCGCGAGGTTGCACGGCGCGACTCGAGATTTCCATCAAAACGGCAAGAGACAATCGGCATGATACAGAGCGTGCACCGCTCGGAAATCGGACACCTTGGTTGGACATTATCCAGAACCACAAGCGTCGCCTTCCCGCACTTAGTCAGCCACAATCCACTTTGGCCTCACAGGCTAGACATCAAGGAGACACTTCAATGAGTGCGACGCCTGAGCTTCAATATTCTGCTTTGATGCAAGCAATATATGTACGACCCCTGGGTGTGCGTCGACGCGCGCCGCAAGGATGATCGAGTTGTTATCACTTCTGTGACTTCCATTGGTTGTCAAATGCTTGATGTAGATGCAGTATAAAGGCTTTACACAGCCGGTATCACTCCAACAGAGCACTCCCTGTCGCGAGTGACACCCACAGAGTCAGGTCCCTGTGTCTGCCGGTAGGACCCAACCTCTTGCAGACCGAATAGAATCCCTGGTTGCGTGTCCTGCCGAACAAGGCTGTTTAGTGGCGTGCCCTGCGCTACGGCCTCAGAGTTGGTCTGTGGCAGCTACGTCCATCACAGCTGACAGCAAACCGCTAACACTTCCTCCAGAACGGATCTCAGCTTCATGCAAAGATTTATTTCATCAAGTCTCACTTGTGCCTTGTGCAGCACCGTCGGGCTGTGATTGACCTGCCGGCGCTCCCCTATAATTCTGTCCGTTCGTTCTCATAATGCATGCAACTCAAGCAGACTTAGGGCGGGCATCCTCAGCGTGGCGTTCCGCGCCCGCAGGTCGTCGATCACGTCTTGAATGACTGCCGGGGATTTCAGGTAAGTGCCTATTGGTTAGGCGGAATAATAACATCTGCACGATTTCTAGCGGTGGCTGGATAAGAGATGTGAGGATGAAGACAGCAGCAAAAAAGACAAGGCATCCATACTACAAGACAGGGAGTTGCCACTCATAAGGCGACGGTAGATCGTTTGTCCATCCTCACTGGCGTGTAAGTTTGGATTAGGGGTCGAAGCAAAAGTACGCTTCGACAAGCCATGGCCATGGGCCGCTGGCACCTACTAGCTGCATCATCTCACACAGAGGACTCTCCGCTGTAAACAATGCCAGCTGGGTTGGCCCAATGTGACGTTCTCGGTGTCGGGAGCAGACGCAACGTCTTCCGGATTGACGGTTGATGGTCCGGATGCGGCGGGTAGATTGACTGTATATGTCGCCAGTCGATCGCTGCACCGTCGCTCTAGGTAACACTGATGCGCGGCCACTAGTACCAAGCAAGATCAGTCACCGCTCGGTGCATGCAGGAGAGGGGCCCGAGGTACGCACATTTCGGAATGGCTTCGGTGTCAGTCCAGAGCAAACGTCGGCTTGCACAACTCCGTAATGTGGAATCTGTGTGTATCCACGGGTGATTTCGGGGCCTGCCCTCCCTCGCATGTATTCTGTGGAATCAATCTGAGCGCATAGCGTCGATCATCGCTCCGGTCTAGCTCCAGGAGTACGTATCTGCGCGTGCAGGACTCACGCGGCTTGGGCGCGGCGATCAGCAGTGCATGGGCCAACGAAGCGGATGCTGGTAGCGTTGTACAGGGACTTGGCTTTCATACACATGACGCGTGTGTGACTCGGTGACTCGGAGGTTGATTCCCGGTTGGAGGTCATTGCGCCGCGTATTCTGTGCAAATATGAGGGGATGAGCCTCGGCTTCATCCCCTGGCTTGTCCGTATGTTCATGGCCTGGTGAGTGTGTTGTGGTCAGGAAGAATGATAACGCCTCTATAATGGCAGCGCTAATGCGTGTTGGTGGTAGCCTCATGTCGGATGTTGTCCGTTCACAGGTGAGGATTGACTTAGAAGGGGAAATAGCAACGTTGTGCAGACGGCAGTGGTAGCAGAGCACTGAGGTATTTATGGTGCGGGCACGGTATTGGTGGCGAGTCACATCATGCGTCCATGGGCCTGTGATTCAAATCGCCACCATGCCAGAATATGTGTACGTATGCTGACGTCGGTGCGGACTGTAGGTACTGGGGCGCCACTGAATGTCACTCGAGATATCGCAATCGTTGATGTCATTTTGTGTGGATACGTGGCGAACTTCATGAGAACAATCGTGCCGCAGTTAGCCTGCCTTCTGAAGGTTGTATCATGTTTCGACTGGACTAATATCGACAGTATCGCTTACAATATTGAGAAGTAAGGCAGCGCTCGCTGTCGTGTCAGTCTGTATACCAGGGACATACAGTTTGCATTCTCCGAGTCTAGAACATGCCGCGTAAATGGGTGCTAAGGACTAGTGGTCTGTGTAGGATATTCTGAATCTAGGAGTGGGCCAATCCACGTTACTGAGCAGCGTATCATGCACCCAAAAAGGAATCATAGAACAATAGTGAGAGCATTCGTATATGTAGCAAGAGGGCGAATATTTGCCATTCCTGATCGCGACCTACGATTCAGATTCGACCACCAGATACTTTTCAAACCAACCAATCGCGCGCTCCTTCGCCTCTTCCCTGGCTGCCTTTTGTTTCGGGTCCTCCATGTTGCACCTTAGCGTCCAGCCATGATTCACGCCGTCATACACATGCATCTCCACCTCCGTCAGGCCCTTCCCCTTCAGGATCTTCTCCGTCTCACGCCCCCGCGCGCCGTCATATCCGTGGTCATTCGCCGCGAGAAGAAACATAACAGGGTTACCAATATCCTCGAGCTCCGCGGGGAACTTGACGAGCGACGGGTGGGCTGCTACCGTGGCGTCGAACTGAGGATTCATGGTAAGCGCGTATCGTCCGCCCCAGCAGTATCCCACAAAGCCGATCTTTGCGGATGGATGTGCGCCACGGAGGTGCGCGAGCAGCCCGCCGATCTTGGTGGACTGTGCGCTCTTGCTGTTGCGCAAGACGAAGGGAACGAAGACGAAAATCATGAGCATCTTGAGAGCTTTCGTAGTGAATGTGGGTTCATGATCCGCCGCGGCGTTTAAGGTCCATTGCGGGAGTTCGTACCCTGTGAGCGTGGCGACCAGCGTCAGCAACGATAGACGCGACGGGAAAGGGGGGGGACACGCACCGTCAAACAGGTCTGGGATGTAGACGCGGAAGCCCCGTTTGGCGTACTCGTCTGCGAGCAATCGAGTGTTGACGAAGCGCCAGCCGAAGATGTCTATGCCAAAAATGACTATGCGATTTGAGCTCGCGTCTCCGGTTGCGTACGTGGAAAGGCCTGCGAGGGTGACCTCCTCGCCCACCGGGGTGCCCGTGTGTATATTACCGGAGACACAGTCAGCGCATGCCATCGTTTTGGGACGTCAGGTAGGTATATGAGCGAATAGGCAAGGAATTCGGAAGAATCAGGTAGGGTGTTGTGTAGAAGATGAGCACTTTGATATCGTGATTAGGGCGCTCGTCCGGAGGGAGTGAAAAGCAAGAGTGAAGATGCAGATGTAGAGATGTTCAAACGAATAGGCTTTCCTTTATAATACTTGGACCCGAAAACTCGCTATCTAAGGTTGAGGGAATGGAAGCGAGACAAGTATCAAGTGTTTTGCGCCGCTAGGCTATTCTCCGATGCGAGCGGGGTTCAAAACACGTGGGTTGGGATGCTGAGTTGCATATGAATACGAAATCAAGTGCCAGTGATTTTGAGACTTGTGTTACCTAATTAGGGTCGACCATCAGCTGCGCAGCCAATCATAGTGGTTCGATCGCAGCCTCGATCGTTGTTCGGCACTTTGAAGGAACCTGTTTCGTCCGCTTTCTCTTTGGGTTGGAAACTAGCTGGGACATCCACGCGCCGCTTGACGGCATCCGAGTGCCTGTGTAGAACATTGTCTTCCTGCGTGTAGGCAACGAGACGAGGGGAGTCTTGAAGCTCCTCTGCTTTCCGCTGTCTCTATAGAAAGTCAGGTTCAGGCGCAGTGGTTTTGCCGACACGATTCAGCTTGAGTGGAGCACAGTTCGTTAATCTCATGTCATATCTTACTCGAGAAATATTCAATCTACTTTATGCCTAGTGAGGAAAACTCGGGATATAGAATGCGGATTTGCTAAACGACGTGGATGAGTAGAATCATATATATCGAAACAACCACAGGCCCGGGAATCATGCGTGCGCCTGTGTCGAAGAAAGATAGGTCCTCGTCAAGTCTATTTCCCTAGCTTATGGCTTGGAATAAACAACAAGAAACATCTCGAACCACATAATCCCAGCTCGGTCGCTTCGCGGGCCTCGTTTTCGTAAACATGGAGACATTCGGTGCGAGCAGGAACGGAATGGGCTTTGTGACGCCATCAAGCTCAGGGAGGAAAAGAGAGGGAATCTACCAGCGATGGGTGCGCGGCGACCGTCGCGCCGAACCATTCATTCACCGTGATCGCGTAACGTCCGCCCCCAGCAACAGCCGATGAAGCCGGGTCTTCGCAGCCCGGAGGCGCTACAGGAGGCTGCCAATTTTGTCCGATTGCGTGGCCGTGCTATTGCGCAGGAGAAATGGCACGAAATTGAAGAGAGTTAGCGGCTTGAGGAGCTTTGTCATTGGCATAGCACTACTCAGCACCCGTTGAGACTCCGAGAGAGAGTTCGCAGCCTGTGGAGACTGCAGGAGGACAGCTGAGTGAAACACTGAGAATGAGAGGTACGTAGGAAGAGGCACTGTTGATTGTACTCCAAACAACTCTTGACTGATCCGCGGCCTTGTCAAACCATTGTCAGTGTTCACATGCTATAGCTCCCCCTGTCTGTCGTTGTCTCACGCTGTCCGGTCAGATACCCCATGATTGACGACAGAATCTATACTTATGAGCATTTGCTTGGGTCAGGAGCATGCCCTTGAAGTCCGATATTTTGATGCGTTACACCATCCGTGCGAGACGACTAGTTCGGAGTTGCTTTTGCCGAGTCAAGAACGAAGATATAGGAGCCGGATCCATCAAGGTTTTATTATAATGGTGAGTCTTTTACCCAGAATCGGGGTCACTGTGATGCCCGATGAGTAACAACATAGCAAGCCGCTTGGGGATACGGGGCTGAACCTAAGCATGTACATAGCGAGACTGCAAGATATTGATCAACCTTCCGACCCCTTATACTTTCACGCCATCCAGGCTACCCGTTGGCTTGAAGACGAACTTGAACTCTGAAGGATTCTGCCCCACGATCACCTGGTTGGTGACAAGCTCGGTAGTGAGCTCGCTATCTAGGCCCCACAGTTCCTCCAATTTCGCGATGAGCTCTTTGCGCCTGATATCGGACAGGAGCTGTTGACACCAATAACCATTAGTGGCTGTAGTCAATCCGACATACGAGTCTTTATACATACGATTTCCTTCACACATCGATAAGCACTGTTCAAAGCACCCAGCACCCAGCTGAGGGGCAGTCGCGTTAGCATGTACGTGTCCTTAATCAATGTAGAACGTACGCATGATGGACGCTGGTCGCCTCCCCGCCGAAATGGAGAATGCCACCGGGTGGTGTCGTTACCTTCGGGTAGAGATCTCTGAATTGAGCCGGCGCAAATTCAGCGAATGCACCTTAGAAAAAAGACCCCTCATCTTCAGCACAACTAGATTGCAGGCATATGCGCTGCAGCTCACCAGCAGAATTCTCGTGGTTATACCAAGACCAGACGTCGTAGTCAACCAGCAGACTGCGCAGCGTCTCGACCGAGACAATGCCGTGATGCATGTCAGCCAAATCCTTCAGTATCACATCCTTAAGGCGCTCCTCTGCGTGCGTGCCTTTGCCGCCTGCTAGAGACCCGAGACGCAGCGCATCTTGACTTGTAGTGTAGCTGACAATAATGGTCCCGCTCGATTTCCCAATGCCATAGGATGGATAAATTACCCTACGTGTGGGGCGATCGGTATAGGACGCGCCGCCTCTTTCCAAGAGTGGAGACTCTTCCCACCACCTCCTCGAGAATTGCATGGCTACCTTAACGGAGGCGTCGTAGTGTAGCGCGCGGACGGCGGTCTGGATGTCCCAAGACAGATTGCATTTGCTTGTGTCCACCAGGGAGAGGCAAGAAAAAGGTATGGTTGTGATGACGTGTGAGTACACACGTGGCGCGCGCTCGTGTTCAACCGTGAGTGTCATTGCAGTGGGCGTATCAGAGCTATCTGCATTCAAAGGAGCAATGGCGGTGACGCGAGTCTTCTGGAAGAGAGTTTTCGACCTCAAGCGATCTACTATTCGTTGTGCAATGACTCCAGAACCTCCTCTACGACGGCTGCCGTCAGTATATCACAAATGCGAGCAAGGTGTGTTCATACTCCACCCTCCACCAGCCCCCTTCGGGATCATCGAATTCGAGAGACTGCATCACGCTCTCACTGAAAGCACAATTGTAAGTGTTGGTCGACGTAGCGAGTGCTTCCAACGATGTGATAACCTAGTTTCGGTTATCAGCTATAAAAAACTCTGATAATGCGATACAAAGCCCACGCTGTCATCCCATCCAAGTTCGAACCTCATGTAGGTGCGAGTGGAGTACGAATCAAATTGCATCAATTTGTCCCAACCCTTGTCGAAGTTTTTCTTGAACTCGTCCTTGAAAGGTCCAAACGCCTTTTTGATATATTTGTCCTTTTTGTCACGTAAGCCAATGTCGAATGGGTCTTCCTCTGCGGTTTGGGTATAAGCCTGTGCTGTCATGCAACGACCGTTGAAGTAGAGAATATTATTCTCGGGCACAGAGAAGATGAACGGCTGCAGCAGGCCGCCCTTCTCGATGCCCAACTTGCTGAACAGGTGGAATACGCGTTCGGTGAATTTGGTTTCTGGAAAACGCATTGCTCCACGATCCTACAATTTGTTAGAGCAGCCGTGAATGTACAAAGTGAGATGCCTACGTAGAAGTCAACTGCCGGATCACCGTTAGGAAATTGGTACGTCCACAGTCTACCGCCTATGTGCGCTTCCTCTGCCTCAAGGACTTGACAGGTGTATCCATACTCTTCGAAGTCCTGGAGTATCAAAGCCGCATACAAACCCGCTACACCACCCCCAACAATGCCTACAGTCGTCGGAAAAGGACAGTCCTTTACAGGTGGAAGCTGATCCTGGTTGGGACCAGGGCGAGGAAGGGAGAACTCCACTTTCCTATGATGGTCGTGTAGCACCTTCTGAGCATACTGGTCGAGTATGTTGGCCATGCTGCTGGTATAGAAGGGGGGGGGGGGGGGATCTCAGGTCACTGCTGGGTGCCCGGTTGGATAGAATAGGGCTTTATAACGTCCACAACACTGCCAGTAAGGTTTGGTAGAGCCCGTGTGAGCGACGGCATCGATACAACATGAGACGCACACCGCATCTGATAGTGCTGCGCAGTAGCCAGAACAAGGTCGACGCTGGTATGGAAGGAGAGCAATAAGTCCGCAGGGACAATGCCCATAGAGTTTGACTACTACTATTGGTCACGACCAGCATGCTCCAGACTTTTGACGTCAGTGGATGGCGCTTTGCGCAAACATTTTAGGGTCGCCTCGCCGTTGAGGACCACTTCCAATGAATGAGTGGTCCGACTGTACTTCTGGAGTCCACTTGACGTTCCGCGCTACCTAGTACGGAAACGCTACATACGCAGACTTGTGATCATGAGTGCCAATCTGCTGACCTGTTCGTGCGGATGACCCTGGATAGTTGAGGTTCCTGTACAAGACCTGAACGTGATCACTGATCCGAAGGGTAGTCAGATACATATAGTACCGGCAAACCTTCTGAAATTACATCATTTTAATCAGTCATAATAATGATATCAGGAAAAAACGAAAGCCCAAGGTGTATTCCGTGAACTTGAGTACTAGCTGATATCGAGTAAGCCGAGACGAAGTTGAGGCGCACAACGGACACGTTCAATGTCAGCGCAGCGAAATTTCTTGAACGTGTAGCAGGAGGACGCAGTCACGATTCTGTGCCGTGGTCAAGGTCACCAAGCGGCCAAAACTTGTCAACGGCCACTCATCATGATATTGAGGGGCCTAGCGGCATTTGCTCACGAAAGCTCGGTATGAAGGACAGAAGCGCTGATATCGTCACAACAATCCCCGTAGCTGACCAATAAGGAAAGTGATCATGTGCTCTAGTTTAGCGCTGTTTTCGAACTTACTGGGACACTCCCTCGGGTGAGCAGATCCGCATGATGACCACCGCCGCACCGATCCTTTCGCTCAGCATCGGCACCGCATACGAATGGTGATATTGCGGAGGTCGGGCTCGCAATCGCCACGGAGGACGGGCTGCCGTACGTCGCGAGCGTGCACCCACATGCGCCCAGTGTGCGTGCTGAGCTTGTGGGGACAGACTGCGATCCTGTGCGCGCTGTGCGGGTTGTGCAAGGAGAATATCTGTGGACTGCAGCAGACGATGGGGTTGTGCGTCAATATCGGGTATGATGAGAGAAGATTTGGCGAGCAGATAATGCATGCTGTATCAATATCTTGGGCCTGAAATATGTATGTGCTTTGAGGTCCTTCACGATCTTATCTGAACGCCTCGCCTGTCTGTCGAATTTATGAAGCATGTTGCGCAATAGTTCAATCTGGGCTGGAAACATTGTCGCGTGCTGCGGGTGGAAGACTTCTAAAAAGAGTAACGGAACACGATGGATACATTGTTTGCAACAGCTCTAAGCAGCGAGACCAAGCACAGGTCATGTTCTTCTAGTAAGCACTAGGGGCGCGGGCTGTATACCAAATCCAAGCCCAATAAGGCTGAAGTTCATGATCCGTAGCCGCCACTGCTCCATTGATTCGCCTCTCTCTAGCCGCACGCTCACCTTCCAGTCGCGGAGAAGCATTGTCAGCACAAGCACCACCTCTGTCAAAGCGAACTTCCTGGCGAGGCATGCGCGCGGGCCGATTCCGAAGAACGTAAGGTCGCGCTCTGGTACGCCCAACCAGCGAGAAGGGTCAAACCGCTCCGGGTCGGGGAAGCGCTCTTCGTCATAGTCTGCAGTCAAGAGTCGTCACGCCGAAGAATGAGTGGGAACGCATAATGTCTACTTACGTATGCCTATCATGTCGATGAGAATCCTGACGCCAGGCGGGACGACAAGCGGCTCGCTGCCGTTCGTATGAGGCAGGCTCAGCACAACGGCCTCGGCGGTGTCTCGTGTTACAAGGTTGGTGGAAGCTACATGCACAAGCGGTTTCACATAATGCATGAGTTCTGAAAATGGGGTACTCACGGAACATACGTGCAGCCTCCTGGAAGCATGCGCGCACACGTTCAAGCTTTGGGTAGTCGTCGAAGGTCTGCCGATCCACCTTAGTACGGTACGGTCTTAATCGCGTGGGGCACCTACTGGATCTCTCCCGTCACGGAGAATGTCGAGAATGTTCTTTACAGCCATATCCTGCTCCTCGTTATGCAGAGCAAGCAGGGCAAGTGTCGCCGAAAGTGTATGCCCTGTGGTCTCTGCAAGATTTCGATCAATGTTGCGACACACACCACGCGCTTGCCGTGAACTCACCATGGCCCGCAAACATGAGGGCGAACACGTTACCAATCTGACCATATAAAAGTCAGCCGTGAGCGTGGTAAGATGCGCCAACCGTACGAGTTCGCTGTCTGTAAGCCCTTTATCTCCTTCCAATTGGCTTGCATAGATGAGACGTGTCAAGATGTCGTGCCCTGTTGCATCATCCGCTTCGTGGTTTCCCGCAAGTTCTGACCTCCTTGTTCCGACGAATTGACCAATGAGCACCGCCATCCTCTTGTTTGCTTTGTCTAATTTACGTAGTCTATATCGTAGCGGTTAGTTTCGCTCGCTCGATGCGTCAATGGAGTACCTTTTGATAGGTAGCCTGTATGCTATTCGCGGCATCGCCACACGCGCAGCTGCTCCCGATAATGCGGTTGCCAGCGCCTCTTCGTACGACATGTCCGGATCATCGGGGGAGACCCAGTGAAAAGGCATTCCGAAACCGCATCTTGTAAAGACACCCAAGGCAAACTAAACTCAACTGTGAGTGCAGGTTCCCGTGACGAACGAAGAGCGTGCACCTTCTGCATATGCTCGTTAATCGAGCTAAGCTCAATCATGTTCAATTTGTCCCATCCTTCGCCCTCGATCATCTCCTTGTATAAATTCACGGTCTGACGCGCCACTGAGACATATCTAACGGGGAGAATTAAAAACGGGCCACGACATTGCCAACGGCACCGACTTACATGGAGCCTGTGAAGGCGGGACCAACAATCTTGCGGTGTTTTTTGTACACATCATGCTCTGCGGAAAGAACATTTTCCCCCCATAACCTAAACACAATGATTGAGTTAGAGCAGGTTTCTTAGAGCACACGATAAGGAAATGCTTACCTCAGAGCAGCGGTCGAGGTAGGGCCTTTGTAGTAACGCTTGTCTCCACTGAGCACTTGCTTTGCGACGTCCAGAGATGCTGTACAAATCAGAGGTGCGCCGCATATTAACGGAACGGCAGATATAGTCCGAGAACCGTAGTGCTTGTAAACTGTGTCGCGGTATATCAGTGGACCTGCTTGTCAGTGGAAAATGTCGCACCTGTTTTCCTCCATAACCACCGCCAATCAAGTCCGGGGTTTAATACGGTGGTTGGGAGAAAAGACCCGGGAACGGACAGCGGACCAAACAGACAGCAGAACCCAGGAATTCGACCAACTCTCTGCAAAGATGGTTGATCAGTATAAGTAGGAGTAGTAAGATTGTCATCTTACCTGAAGCTTCGAAAAGATAGCAAGGATACGTGAGATGATAAGCACTGCGCATGCTGCAACTAAAGTCGACGTCCACATTATGGGTTACTTGATCTGCATGAGAAGCGCAATGCACCTCATTATAAGGGTTCCGAACATGGTGTGATCGGCATACTATTACATGACGGTCTGCTGAGGCGTGCTGAGATGCGGAATCCGCTGAAAGAAGTGACTGAGCCAGCTGAACAGCTGAAATCGCTGACGCGCTGAAGTCAGCGCGTCAGCGACCTCAGAGCATCTCAGAACGTCAGCAAACTTCCACTTTTCCTGATGTAACGCCTTTTGGACCAGGGATTGTCATCTTGTATTTGTTATATCATGGTACAAATATAGCATCATCGTGTGTAGCCGTGACGGCGTCAATGCTGCACCCAGGGATACCAGCTCAAAATGAGTTATCAGAAGTGGTGGGCAAGGCCCGGCCTGAAGTCGTCAGCCCGACCCTGCAAGTCAGCCTGCAGTGATTAGTAGTCAGGTCGTGGCTTACTGCTACTGTGCCGCAAGCTGGCGCGCGCATTGAACAGTAAGACATATGCTCTTGAAGATTTCTCAGCCATGTGCCCCGACCGCATTAACACCACGACATCCGATAGAAGGTGGACTACTGTATCGACTCGACCTAGTGTTCAGTCACGGGCCACAGGCACTGGGAGTTCATTTGTTACGGTCACGACGAGAGGCGCCAGCGTGGGCCGCTCACAATAATCGCATCGGTAGCTCCTGGAGGTAGAGTTTCGGTTTTCCAGATGCATCCATCTGGTATATATAACTTCACTTCAGGCAGCACAGCGATACTATCAGATTGTGCAGGTTCTCTCGTTCTCATCGCTGAGTGTGGAGGCTTGAGACGATATCCTAAATCGTTGTTATCTGAGCAGGTCACAAAATGCAACGAGATCTCCAAGAATCTAGCTCTGCACTCCAAGTGGTCTCAGTCGACAACTGGACCAAAGGGCACGCCATCGAAGTCATTGAACAGTTTCCGTGGAACTACCATAAGGCTTAAGTAAAAACCACAAATCACATCAACGCGCGATTCTAAAGAGGCAAACGAGCCGAAGGGAATCTGCGGCAGTGTTTCAGTCAGATATACGTTTACACCCCATGATAAGCTTATTTGACCAATTGAGAAGACATAGTAGAATCGTCCGTGCTAGCAGGTGAGGGTAGAGACTGTGACTGCAACATTTCGTCACTGATATGGATCAACCCATTCGCGGGCAGACCCCGCCGCCCATCTCTGAATCCCACAGGTAGAGTCAGTGATGGCAGCCGGCTTCGATGTACTGTTTGGGGATGCTGGGAAGTCTGAGACATCCCAGACACTCTTGTGGGGAACGGCGTAATTTGGAAACCTTTCGCAGCATCGTAGATGCTGAGTCTCAAGCGCATTTGCAGCGAGAGGAGTATCGGCACCATGCATAGTACTTCATGAATGCATGAAGGGAAAATGTGAGTGCCCATTCATAAATCTGTTCGTGAGGGCTATGACGTACGTTGTAAGTTTGACCCCGCAAGTATGTCCAGACTATCGTTCTTCAGGAACCAAAGGATCCCAGTGGCAAGGAGAGACAATGGGTACAAAACCCCAGACTCGATCGTGTAGGCAAGACATCTTCGGTGGAAGCATCCTGATTCGGGTCGCAAATCTCTGACGAGGCGCATGGAAATCACGATGCGTATGATAATTTGCATCGTGATGATGATGTTAGTGGCGAAGCTCAGGATGTAGGCTGCTGGCGCCAAACGGCCGACTATTGATAGGTAGGTATCGGGATTGCGTGGCGCCATTCGGCACACGTGGACGAGGACAAACCAGACCGCTACAAACATAACTTCGTGGCTCAGGTCAATTCCGGAGCGCGATCACGCGGTAAACGCACCTGCGGTAACGACTGTACTGAAACATGGTACGAGAATCACTTTCCACCGATTGCCAAATATGATATAGACGCGATGGATCTATCCTGTCTTTGTCAAAGCTATCTCATGGATCGGAGATCGTGGCTCACCATGATCCCGTCGGCGACCATGACTGCGACGCCATATGCAGCATTCGCAATCACGTTGGGTGGTTGGGAAATATCCCTATAGTACTCGTCCGGAGACGGCCACTCAAAGAACGCTTGTCGAACGCCTTCTAAGACAGCCGTCTGGCAGGCGAGAAGGTAAGCAATACGACGTGAATGTAAGAATATTGTTGTTCACCAGGTGCATAGTGCAAAGGACGAATATCACAAAGATCAAGCTGACACGGGCGCGCTGTGTATAGGATGGTTCATTGTGCTGCCCGAGCAGGCACAACGCTGCCAGGATTAAGATCACATTCACGCCTGCCCCATCGCGCCCATAAACATCACACTGTCACGAGAATAAGCTAATGCTCACCGTATAGTATCGCTTCGACGACAGCGCCGAACAGGCGTCCTTGCGGGAGTGTCAGGCCCATATTCACCAACGGATGGTACGAGCGACGAGTTCCAAGGGTCTCCACTGCGTGCAAAACTGCAATTATATCGCCCCCCAATGACGGGGAAGCGGACCACAATGGTCCTAGACCGGTGTTCTCTGTCAATTGGGGATTACGCTTCGTCACCCCAAAGGCATAGAAGTCCCCTCCTTGCGCATTTGTTCCCACAGGGAGGGAAGAGTCCCCCGGGGCGGGACGTTTGCGTGCTTGAGGATGTCGCCCCTTGTTCTGGGTCCGTGACGCCATGATCTTTAGACTTTTCGATGGCTTATATACAATGCGCATGCTGAAGATGTTTACGTGTATCGATGTGTTATCGCCGCAGGTCGGTCAAATTTTAACTCCTTCTCTGTCGAGAACTTCGAGCCAAGTATGCCAAGTCCTCGAATCAGCCAATCCGTTCTCACTTCTCTGCATCCAATCATGCCCACGACACTTCTATGTCCCTATTATAGATGGAAGCACGATAATGAGACCATGCGAAGCCTCGGGCTCATTCACTGAGTATCCGCTCGCCATGGAACTCATCGACTCCTATAACAGGCTCGGATATCTTAGGGTCTCCCGATCTTGGATGATGAAAGGTCAAGTTAAGCTACCTAGATCTCAGAGCCCGAGTGTATACGACGCGCGGGCATCAGCGGCGATGCTGCAAATCTTGATGGTTCTACTCCATTTCAGGATTGAAATGTACCACCTCGAGTCAGACTACTTGGCAACTGAACGTTCGTCTTATAGCCAAGAAAAGGGTCAGCTTCAAACAATTTGAGGCCGGAAATAATTGTTCGGAATCACTGATCAGATGATAACACACGATATAATACACAGCGCCTCCATGCATCTGACCGGCATGCGGCCCTGAATGAGATACATACTCACGGGTCACGGCGTCCGAACGGACTACACTAACGGCGTCTGCTGCGCAGTGAAACGATCCATCCAATCTCTGACCCTCACAGAACTAATGTCTTCCGCCATGAACTTATCCCAGAAGGTCGATGGGTCCTGGAGGACCTGGCCCGTCAACTTGATAAACTTCTCCCTCGTACCGTCGATCGTCTCCGCGCGCCAGGGGTGCCCGATCGGCCGTTCTACGAGTACCTCCTCAAGCACCGTGCCGTCATCCATCGTCACCTCCAGCGCTGTGGCGCCCTTGCGCGAGCGAGGGCTGTGGTAGTCGCGGGTCATCTGCGGGTCCTCCTCCATAGTCATCTTCGCTCGCAGTGCTTCCACACGCGGGTCGCGTGCCCATGATGAGTCGTCCGTGTAGTCCGCCGCGGTGGGCCAATCCCCTTTGAGCAGCGTCACCGCGACGACATAGCGCATGCAGTGGTCGCGGTCTGCTGCATTGTGTAGCGGTCCGATTTTGTTAATGATCGTCATCGCTGCGTCCGTCGTACGGATGCGGATCGAGCGGATCGACCCGATGCGTTCTTTCAGTCGCTTCGAGAGGGTTCGCGCGCCCTCGACGGCGGAGATCGCGTGCCCCTCAGCCACGACGAGCTTGATGAAGTGGCTCTCTACGACCATGGTCCCGAACGGGACAGGGAACTCGAATGGCTTGCTGCCGAAGGACGTATCATAGAAGCCCCATCTTGGCGCGGTAAGAACGGTTGGGAAGCCGGGCTGACCAGACTTCGTCATGAGGACGAGGTGTACGGCCCGCATGCATGCATCACCCGCCGCCCAACCCTTACGAGGACTAGAGACTATCGTAAGGTTTGATAATGTACAGCACACTAAAAACGCGTACCTGGTGTTGGGTGACTGCCTATAAACTCGCAGCGGCTGTCCGTCAGCAAACGCCTGGCTAACAGCATCGTTAGCCTGTGCGCGCGTTAGGTTCATCAGCTTTGAGACAACCGCCGCCACGGCGACCTTGACGAGGACTACGTGGTCTATGCCGACTTTGTTGAAAGCATTTCGCATCTACATATACGTCACTTAAGCTCTGACATAGTGGAATGTACCACTGATAATCGATGTACCTGGAAGCAACCTTGGATTTCGTATGCTTTGATGAGCGCTTCCAGCACATCCTGCATCGTCATATTATCGTCCCCCTGGCGGCTGAGCCAGTCCGCAACAGGCAAAATAGCACCGATGTTGTCGGACGGATGGCCCCATTCCGCACCCGGGAAGGCGTCACTGTGGTCGAGGTACCGGATGAGGGAGCCGAGGTCGAAAGCGGCCTTGAGCGGGTCGAGCACGTAGGATGTCCCAGGAAGGTGAAACCCATGCGGGACTACGGTGCCCTTGACCACCGGTCCAATGAATGAGGTGCATACGGGTACGCTCTCGATGGCACAGCCTAGAGAGTCGAGCAGTGCGACTCGGGCGCGCTTCCACGCTTTGGGGGACGTTACCTGGAAGTCGAAGACATAGGCGACAATCGCCTGGATGACATCGTCGTAGGGCGGGCGGTTGTTATCGTCAGGCTTGACTGCCATTGCACTGAGAAGAGGGGAAGATATGAGCTACGTGAGACGAAATTTGCGGGGAAGTGAGTACTACGCTCACTGGCAAACTCACTCGCGTTATTTGTACCGGGGCGCATGAGACATTTGAGTGTCTCGGACTAGAGATACCCGTGGCCAGTGAATTCAATGAAATTGTGTGATTGGCCCACTGTCCCATTCACCTGTTATGTGGGTCGGCACGTTTGACATGTGCCAACCGGCAAGCGCTGTAAATCACCTGTATACATGGTATAGTAGCTGTATCTATCAGCAATCTTGCAACCAGAAATAAAGGAGTGCCCGGTCCAGCCCGATCTCCATCTAGGCGCAGCGAGGCTAGCTTGCAGTGGACATGAATCACGATCCTACCTCACGAGCTAGTATGCCGCGCATGATATGGCCACCCGAGGTGTTAGAGATGGGATTGTTCTGTGATTAGAGTGCAGCGGAATGCAGCCATCTAGCTCGTCTAGCGATTCTCGCCCCTATTCGTGCATGCAGTCCACACACAATCCGCTTCCAAGAATGACATAAACTCACAGATAAATCTCGGGTGATGGGCCCGTGAGCATGCATCCCGTAGACCTCCTAACATTCGGCAGACAGACATGATGCATTTGCAATGACATTCCATGCACAAACCCGAAGTTGGCGGAATGAAGGGGATCTCTGTGCCCGAAAGCATCGATGAATCAAATATATCAAATATATCACATGTTCGACTGATGGGGCAGACCGCCCGCCTTAATGTTCCGGGAACGACTCCACGAGAGCTGTTGATATCGGACACGGGGAGAGGGTTAGTTATAAATAATCATGGGCAGGTTATCATGAAACAGCCCCAAAACGCCTCGAGTTGTTGACATAGTTGATGACACAGTTGATGACATACCAAAAACCTCTCAGTCAAAAACCTAAAGGGGTCTTTTCCCCGGCACAGTAGCTTGCTTTCGATTCACGGCAATGTACGCAGTGTCCCTTACACCGGTTTTCCTCTCGCACAGGTCTAGCCGACCATCTTCCATGCTCACGCCACGATCAGCCTTGGAACTAGTTTCGGCTCTCAATTGACCATGAATGGTCAATGCAGCAGAAAGAATGTCCGAAGACAGGAGAAAAAATCATTGAAGTTGATGCTACACGAGCGGTTCAATTATCTGCAGCTCTACAGCTTTCTTCAGTTCGCCATCGAGATAGAGGTTATCCGGAGCCCAGCGGTACGCGACAAACCGGAAGGAAGCAGACCGAGCCTGGGTAGTGTAGGGATAGTCTGACGTACAGTGACATTCAGGCTCCTCGAGACACCTTATCCAGCACTGTTGAGAACAAAAAGACATCAGACACGATGAGCCAGGCGGTAGGCCGGGCCTTGCACATACCACTTTCGTACGCGACTTCGCTGTAGTCCGTACCCTGAATTTCCACCGCAATGCCTACCAGAGAGCGTCGCAAGGCATCCTTTGATGAGGCGAACAGCATCTTCTGCTTGATCTTCGAGTCATCGGGCGACCTGCCAACAGTGGGCGCTCCGTCAGGCCACCCGCCACTGTGCACTGCCCGCGATGCGCGCGATATCGCAAAGGTATGGAAGAGCACGCACCAGGAATAGAACGTAATCTTGTTCCTTTTGCCCGCACCCTCCTTCTCGAACTCAAAGTCGTACACGGCCCAGCGGGGCTCAACCTCAGGCAAGTCGCCGAGAAAGTCGTCGTAGTTGGTCGACTGCGACTCCTTCTCGACTATGATCTCTGTGTGGTCTGGGCTGAGTGTGAATATGATGTACTTGATCTTCTTGCCCAGCTTCAGGTTCTGGTACGCTGTGAGGCATGCGGGGCTAACGGCGACACCGGATTGCGAGGCCTATGACACGCGACGGAGCGCCCGATCGCGGCGATGGTGAGCGCGTGCGCGTCGTTGTCGACGTCGACGGACGTACCATTACAACAGGTGGTGGGGGTAAGAATAGGGAGAGGTATGTGTGTGGCGGGAAGTGAGGTCGTGGTCGAGTCTGCAGTGGTGAAGATATGTATCGCGATACTTATCCGCGGCGATGATGTTTCCGGCGATTGCCACTCAGATTGTCCGCAATTGGCGGTGTCCTTAGATCAGCTTTCCTCTCCCCTGCGCACGCCTGCTGCGTCAGTTTCTAGGCATATTTCATGCTGTGAACATGCAGAGCTACGCGCGCAGGCAAAAAGAGAGCTATCACTATCAATGCCGGAGGCATTTTAAACCTTGAACACACGCTAAGCGCGCGCCCAAAGAAAGTCATGTCCACGCGAGCCAGGAAGTCACTATACTTATTACGCTTGCTACGTGAGATACATGTGTCCCGTTATGCAAAGACCGCATCCAACCAGGCTTCATAATCATATTCAGGTTCGCCGGTCCCGTTCTGCGCAGCCGGCATCGCCTCCCGCAGATACTCGACTGCGGCCGCCGGTAGCTGGGCCACCCGCAGGTCCAACTCAGTGACGAATGGCTGCGCATCGAAATCAGGCAACCGTCAGTCGAGGGCGGATGGATGATACTCACCTTATCTGCGGCGATGCCGCGGAACGCCTCGCGCAGCTGTTCAGGGGATGTCTGGTCTTCAGTGATCTCCACCTGTCCGGCATCCCTTCATGAGTCTTGTTCACTGTGCTTGACGGAACATCGAAACGTACCAAGAGGTTAATGAATGCCTCAAACGTAACAGCGCCGTAGTCTTGCACAAGTTGATCATAAATGATATACAGGTCCTCGTCCTTCAAATTTCATCAATGCATGTAGGACTGAAGGAGGTCATCACTTACGGAATATACGATACCGAGACTAGCTAATGCGGCAGCCGACTCAAACTCATTCAGCGTGTTAGACTGGTCCTTGTCGAAGTAACGGAACGTGCTCTCGAACTGCTCCAATTGCGCCGGCGTCAGGTTGGTCATGTTCCGTGACACAATCTGCAAGTTCGTTGTTAGCACCAACACTGGCTCATATAACAGACACTGACTTGGTTGTCTATAAATGCAATCTTCTTCAAGATACTCTGTTCCAGCAACTCCAATTCGAACTCGAGGTCCTGACATGTGAACACAGTGTAATCGTTCTCGTCCACATTCGCTGCTCGGCACTCGTCCTCCGCGCTCATAACTGTTCCAAGGGTGTCCGAGAGAGCTGGAAGCCGCGTCCGTAGTTGTTCCACCTGCTGTTGCTGGTTCTATGAAAGCAAATGTTATGTGAGTTGACAGTAGCATTGTACATTCTCGGAAGGATGTACTTCAAGAGTCCCTTCGATACCCGCAAGCTCGGATGATATAGCTCGTAGTCGCTTCTCGAAGTTGTTAGCAAGGTCGGCGAACTTCTTGCGGAGCGTCTCCTTGATTCTGCCAATATGGTCAACATCCAACAGTACTCTGGTAACTGAAAGGAACCAACTTTCGGATCTCCGCATTGATCGCTCGAGAGCGGTTAGCTTCCGATATCAACAATGCATTCCAAGCAGAGTCAAGATCCTAATAAACACCACCGATATATGGACGGTCAGAACATTTCTATACTGAACTGTGATCAAAGCACAACGTACCGCTAACGCGAGACCTGGTGGGGGCACGTATTCTCGGAGGCCGTACGTCCTCAGCTTGGTCTGCACATTACCGAAGAGCGTGGTTACGTCCTGCCTCTCGGTGACCCACCGGCGTTTCGTGCTCTGTTTGTACGTGGTGAACTGAGCCGAGTGTTCCTTGGCGTCAGTGTACGAGCCGATAAATTGCACCGCGGACCAACGGGTCTGAATCTCCAACATTGCTGCGAGGAGCTAAGGGCTAGATTAGCGGACGTGCTGGACAGGCGCGTCAGAGTGAAACAGTGTAACGTACTTCGCGGACTCGGCGCTCGAAGTCATTCTTACTGAGCCATACCGAATGCATGAGTTCAGCAAACTTCTCCACTCGCCGTGATACAGTTTCCGCCTGATCTAGAATATATTGTTAGAGATGCGTCTGCCTTACGGGAGTCAGACTCACCCATTGACGAGAATGCGTGGAAGAAACTCGCGATGTAAGTCATGACACTGCGTTCATCCGGCCGGGCGACGTCACAGAGATCTGCGACCTCCAGTAGTTGCTATTCCCGTACTGAGAATCATTATAGACACAAATGTGACCTTGACGCACAGGAATGCCAAGGTGGTCTGCTGCAACTTGAAACGCCAGACGAGTATTCCCGTGGCGATCTGTCTATAATGCGTTTAGTATGATATGAGAGGGTATATGTATAATGTCTTCCACATCCGCACCTTATCCAATTTGTCATAGTCGATCAAATCCGGACGGTGGCAGTGTATGAGGGCGCATCTGAATCGCATTCAGGTCATCGACATGTGTATAGTAAGAGACATGGCTCACGAACAATGCGAGGCCATCGGACCAACTCAGCGAGAAGTCCTGCACATCAACCTCCTTGTACGGCGCAGTTTTACGCTGACACCAAAGAAGTAAACCTTCCTTTGCGGAAAGACCCTCTTCGCTTTCATCCGACAACCTTCAGCCTGGCGAAGGAGACAAATACTATCACACTAACCTGATGTCGGCGATGGTAAAACGCAAAATAAGAGTCCAAATCATCCCAAGGATGAGTTTCAGGTTCCCATCGATGATGTCTGCGACACCCTTAGCTGTGCTCTAACGTGTTTTGCGATTGACACACCTTCCGGACCAATGTTCGTCAGTTTAACGCCTCTCGACGTGATGAATTCGAGAGCTTTGTTTACATTCTCTGCCTTCTGCACGCGCATCCGGGGGTTTCGGTTATACCGACCCAGCGACGTATCACCTTCCGGACATAAATTGCAAGATGCATAGACAACGAGAAATTCTGACGTGCATACCCATAATTTCCTGATGGCGCGAAGCCGCGCATGGTGTCAGTCCGGGATCTGGGTTACACAATCGGGATGCGCACCATCAGCTGGATTAGCCGCACCCCATCGGAGAGATCTTTGACAAGGGAGGTCATGGGAGGGTATCCATTCGCCTCAAGTTTTGTGTTCAGCCTACAACAGAGACCGCGGTGAATTCATCCGAGGATGCATCAGGTACGCCCCCGGCGTGCACACCATTTACAGAACGTCCGCTCCTGAACATCGCGCGAGCGCGCCTCCAGGGATTCCATGATAAGAGGGTGTTGTCCGCCAGCCTTTGTATAAGTTTGTATATCGCTCAGGACTATGAAAGAGGCAGAACTTAAAGGTCGGCGCAGTTACCAAAGGGCGGTGGACGCGTTTCGGAGTTTGAATGACGCGCTCTAGTCGCGTTCAGGCGCGCTGCCTCAGCCTTCCTCATCCCTTTCCCTCTCTTCTACAGCCACCTTGCCTCGACCGTGACCGGCGATGACAACCCAATTTGATGGAGTATACCATGGCCTGTCCCCGGAAGTTGGCAGTACGTCTCAGCTAACGTATTCGCAGGATGGACTGGTCTGACCCATCACGGCAGAGTTTCGCATTGCAGCCAGTGGGATGGCATGGAAGGGTGAAGATACAGAGAAGATGGTTGCGATGTCCTCTGCAGACATCAAATGGGCGCAGTGGATACGAGTCGCGCGCAACTACCAGCTCCGAGTTGGCCTGAAGGACAGGTCAAGAGAGACCTTTGATGGCTTTTCACGAGAGGTGCGCGCTGCCAGTCGCCTGGTTGTGGCGTGCCCCTCACCTTCGTGCATTAAACTACAGGACCACGAAAAAATGGCCCAGCTACTCAAGCAGCACTTCAGTGTGACGCTTGAGACGAAAGAGATGTCCTTCAAGGGCTGGAATTGGGGAGTGACCGATTTCCAAGGTGTGCATATGTCAGCGCGGATGCCTGTGCAGTCACTCATTTCCCATAGGCCAAGACTTAGCCTTCCTTGTTTCGAATAAAACGGCCTTCGAACTGCCCCTCGCTAACGTGGCGAACTCCAACATTGCCGGCCGTACAGAGGTCTCCCTCGAGTTCGCCACACCATCTAGCAGCAAGAAGCCCTCACGTAGTGCACCAGACGAGATGGTCGAGATCCGCTTCTACGTTCCCGGGACAGCTACGCGCGACCGTGGCTCCGACGCAGGGTCACAAAAGTCTGACGATGAAGAAGAGGAGATCAGCGCTGCACAAGCATTCCATGACGCCGTCAAGGAGAAAGCAGAGATCGGCCAGGTCGCAGGCGACATCATTCTGAGCTTTGAGGAAGTGCTGGTGCTCACACCAAGGGGTCGCTACGATGTGGATATGTTCCCAGACTTCTTGCGGTTGCGCGGCAAGACATACGACTACAAGATCATGTACGCCAGCATCTCACGACTGTTCCTACTTCCCAAGGACGACCAACATGTACTATTCATTGTAAGCAATTACACATTGCTCTCCGGCTGGCGATTATACTGAGACATGAAGGCTAGCTTGGCCTCAGCACACCTATTCGGCAAGGCCAGACGCGTTATCAATACCTCGTTATGCAGTTCAGTCGTGAGGAAGAGATCACTGCTGAGCTGAATATGGCTGAGTAAGCGCGTCCGCATAGTTTCTTGCGTACACTAAGACGATCCCATGGTTTAGGGAGGACGTTGCGAAATATGACCGTCTAAAGAAGAATTACGAGGACCCGACGTTTGAGGTCGTGTCCGGCGTTTTCCGCGCACTGTCCGGCAAGAAGATCATTGGCGCTGGCAGCTTCCAGAGGTAAACACGAGACTTTCTATCTACTACTAAGTTGTCACTCACTTGTATCTTTAGTCACGATGGTCACCCAGGTATCAAGGCGAATCTCAAGGCCGTCCAGGGCGACCTCTTCCTCCTCGAAAAATACATATTCTTCGTTTCTAAGCAGCCCACGCTTATTGAGCTATCGGACATCCATCAGGTGGTGTTCTCGCGTCTGGGCGCAGGCCTCGGTGCGACTGCCGCACGCACATTTGACCTGAAGATTGTGACGAAGAGCGGGCCGGAATACACATTCACATCGGTCAACAAAGAGGAGCACGAAGGCACGGAGGCGTACCTGCGTGAGAAGAAGGTCAAGGTAAAGAACGAGATGATGGAGGGCGAGCTCATCATGGGCGTAGACGACGAGGATGAGGAGATGCAGAGTGTCGCGAGCAGCGGCGAGGAGGCCCCGAAGCCCCGGCTGGGCGGGGACGACGAAGACAGTGAGGAGGGTAAGTCGAACTCCGCGGCTACCTCAAATCGTTTAGATCTGACAATTCACTGCAGATGAGGACTTCCAGGCGTCAAGTTCGGATGAGGGCTCACCAACAGACGATGATTCGTCTGATGATGGCGGCCGTACTGCCTCCGACGCGAGCGGTGACCGCGAAATGGCCAAGGCGGCGAAGGGCAAGACGAAGACGCCAAAGAAAAAAGCTCCCGCGAAGAAAGGCAAGGCGGACGAGAGCGATGCGGAGGATAACGATGACAAGCCCAAAAAAGTCGCGCTGAAGCCAAAGCCAAAGCCAAAGCCAAAGAACGATGATATAGATGCGATGGACGTTGATGGGGACGAGCGGCCAAAACCTAAGCCTAAGCCCAAGCCCAAGGCGAAAGGTGATGAGGAAGGTCCAGCGAAGAAAAAGCTGAAGAAATCGGATGATTGATTTTTGCATCTTCTGCCTGCTTTGCTTTCGTCTGACATTTCGCGCTGCTCAACCTCTCGCTGTCATATTGTATTTGATCCTAATGTATTCAATTCGATCTCATCCTGCTATCGCGATACAAAGATGTAATACAAGGAGTGTGATAGGATGTGCCCAAGGGCGAGGATAAATATTGACAAGGAATGGCTGCGGTGTACAGTGAAGTCTAGCGGTGACAGGTAAATGAGAGTGAGGAAGAGGAGACAGACAGATACACTAGGGCTGACGCTTCGCCAACAATGAGCCGGGCTCGAAACTACTTGCTGAGGCGATGGGGCCTTCAGCTTTCTGCGGAGCGACAGCGATGAGCGGCTGCGCAGGACGTTGACCTGCGCGGGTGCCTGCGCGGGCTAAACCTCCTGTTGTCGAGGAGATGACATTGCGTTCTTGGTACAGGACGTATGACTATATGGAGCATGATCAGGATCCCAAATTATCTGAGCGGACACCGTTCGACTTACACGAGCCAGGAGAATCTTCTCCAGCCAGTTTTTGCCCTCGCCCTCGCCACTAGCAAATACGTGGACATAGTCGGCAGTATTCTCAAAGAAGGTCAAGCTGTCTGTGGACTTCACTGCGAATACATATGACTTTGGGGCCTTATGTGGACGGGTGACATAGTATCCATCGAAATTGTTCAATGAACATAGGAACACGGAGTCTTTGGCCTAGCAAAGTAATCAGGACGGCACGTTTCACGAGACATCACACAGGACATACGTTATCCCGCTTGGACAACCATAAACTGTGTTCTCTCAGTTCCATCCAGCGCTTCTGCCATTTCCCGCGTTTGTATTCGTGCTGAACGTACCCGCTGCAGATGGGTGAGCTGCGCGGAACGGCCTAATTTGACATTTCAGAGAGCTGTTCTGATTGTAGTGAACACAGATAACTCACAGTGCGGCTGAGAATCGGCGCCAACAAAGTCTTTTTGATGACCAGGAGGTTAACAATCTTGTCCGTGTTCCATGAACCGCAGACATCAGACAACATCTCGAAGCTCCTGATTGGTCGTTCTGCACAGGAGTCAGATGGCAGCCTACAAAGCGGAATAGTGCGCACTTACCCATGCCAAAGTCTTGGGCGACCTCCCAGAGCATCCAGCCTCCACTGCCAGCGCCATCGTCCAACGCGCCTTGGCTGTCGACGCTCTGCAGGACCTCTCCTGCACTTGTCGACGGCCCGATCTCCACGACAACATACTTCTGCATGTTGCCGACGAAGATGCGCTGCTGCCACAGAGTCTGCATCTTTGACTGCGCCGCGGTCGGCGAGGTAGCGGACAACGGAGCAAAGGGCGACACCATACCATGTGAGGCAGTAGGGGCTGTGTCGGCAATGACTGACGGCTTGCGCGTGCGTGCACGCAGCGCGGCTGAGATGCTCTCGGGCTCTGGAAGTGGAGGGCGGACAGTGTCACGGTCACGGTCACCACTGGGTCTGCGCGAAGGCGCTCTCGCCGATTTGGCACGCTCCAAAGCGCGGTGCTCCTCGGGGAGCTTTGGCACAGATGCGGGGTTCACAGCCGGGACAGCAATCTGTGACGCATGCTCTCGGGACACTGTCGCGCTCCTGCCCAGTGCACCTGTCGGAAGCGGAGGACTGCGCGTGACATCGGCGGCAGTCGCGTTGGGACGATGGAACGAGCGCATCGGCCGCAGCGCCCTGCCACGGCCGTCGTCTTTCTCGGCCTCCTTCACAGTGCGTGATGGTCGTCTGAACAGCGATGTCGCCCGCCCCACATCGCGGGCCTCCTGGCCACGGCTGAGACTCGTGTCTCGCGATGGCGGTCGCGTTGAGGAGACACGGATAGGCTTTGTGTTGAGCTCGAGCGATGGCCGCTTTGAGTGACCTGCGCCCACGGGGGCCGTGCCGCTCGACTGCACGCCAAGCAGCTTCTTCGTCAGATCGCCGACAGAGATCGGATTGGTCGCGTTCCCCGGAAGCGTCTTCGTGCGCGTCCGACCTAGCAGTTTCGGCACCCCGGATATCGACTCCGACATCTGATGGCTGCGCGTCGTCGTCCCAGACAGGGTCCGTGTGTTGCCGTTCTCCTGCGCAGCACGCACCTTGGCAGATGCAGAGCGCGCGACAGCCTCACTGCGGTCATTAGGCGAACGGGGACGCAGCGTGCGGTCGTCCGCGCGGAGTGTCCGTTCCCTCCGCCGTTGGTCCTGCTCGTCACGCACCTGCCGCCTGATCGTACGCTGCGCATTTAGAGCCGTCGGAATTTGCTGCGCGAGCGGCACGTCGTCGTCCGCGGAGACCATTGAAGGCGCGGCGGTCTGGTAGTCTTCTTCATCCGTGCTATCCTCCTCCTCTGACGAGGTCTCAGACTCGGACGATGCGGACACATTTGCGCGCGCTGTGGGCCGGCGATAGCGGTCGTCACCACCACCATTCCGACGACCCCCACCGCCAGCACCGCCGTGCCCACCAAAGCTGCCACCCTGGCCGCTTGAGCCATATCCGCTCGCGTTGCCGTTTGTGCGGCTGGCGGAGGAGCCATTGTAACTCGACCCGCCCGAGCGGCTACTGGTTGCGGCACGGCGTACGCCGTCCTCACCGGCGTCCGTAGGCTCATCCGCATCCGAATCAGAGTAGAACGATGTGCGGCTACCCACCGGCGAGAGACACTCTGTAAGGTCGTCATCGACGCCAAACGGCGCAGTGCCAGGAAAGCGATAATACGTCGAGAGTGGGGGAGTATGTGCTCGAGCAGGCCAGGGGATGCCATCAGAACACGAGGCAACCCTCTCACTGTCGTCATCCGGGAGCTCCTCGTCGTAGTCGGTCGAAGTGGTAGAACTAGAGCGCGAGTGTCCGCTACTGGTGCTCAGGGAGAAGTCGGAGGTCGAGGAATCGGGGGAAAGAAGTAGCTCAGGCTCCTCGCTGACCGGGCGATTAAGGACAGGGCACATGAGAGTACGCACAGTATCGGCTGATGTGCCCGGCTCAAAATGGGTAGAAGCCTCTGACTGGCTCTTATTGAGAGGAGAGGTTGGTACAATGACGACAGCTGTATTGGGTGAAGGTGGCTGCCCCAGCTTCGATACAGCATCGGCGTAATCGTATTCAAGTGTTGCAACTAGATCACTGTCAAGAAATCGGGTATTGCGTGAGTTGGAGGAGCTCGCATAAGATACGTCGGGGTATACGTGTTCGAGCGGGAGAAAGGGATCGGCGGAATGGTATGACGAGGTTGATGTGGTCGGGGAGGACGGATACAGCGAGGGCGTTGCCGACGGCGGCGTGTCTGTCCGACATGGGTACGGGTCAGAGTACGCACGCAAGAGGTGCGGGGTCAAATTGGTATCCAAGGTATTGATGACAAGCTCTTGCACGCCGTCTTCGGTGAGCTTGGCCTTGTGGTCCAGCGGCGAACCCTCGCCGACGAAGAACGGCTGTCCGTCGAGAACCATGCGGGAGTCGCGGATCGTGCTCAGCTCTGTCGGCCTCCGGACGTGTCTGCGACGGGGAGCCTCAGGGGACCGCGACGGGCTCCTCGACTCGGGCGACTCGTCTAGGCCCCAGGGCTCGGCCGGAAGCTGCGCACCCACGCGTCCTCTGCGTACCTGTAATACATGAAAAGAAAACACATCAAGGCACGCGCATATAGCGACCGCAACAGGGACTGACCTTGGGGATCACGACATGTGACTGTGCGAGGGTGTTCAGAGATGGTAGCGACGGGCGCGGCGTGAATGCAGGCCGCGTGTATGCGGGGCGCACCTGGGCACCGGCGGAAGACTTGGGGCGTATGAGACGCGGACGGCCCTTGGGCAGTGTGGGGGTTGGCGGAGGCGTCCATGGGAGACTGTGCAGGGATATCGCAGACGACGATGGAGAGGAGAAACGCGATGAGGACGCGTCTGTCGCGCTCATCGCGAGCGGTGAGCGCGGCGGAAGAGACGCGGCGTCGTCGAGGAGGGTGTCGAGGAGGACGAGGGACGGCGGGCGGGCCCGACGGAGTGACGGCGCGGGCGAGAGGTTCGCGAACGGATCCTCGTCGAGCAGATCTGGCGGTGGGGAATCGCGCGACGGTGGCGGCAGATCGGGCAGAGACAGATCGGGAAGCGAGGAGAGACTGTCGCATGAATCCTGCGTGCCCGTCGTCGCGGTCGAACCTGACCGCGCACGCGACGTGCGCGGCGACGACAGTGGGTCGGGCAGCTGAGCATGCAGAAAGCTGGGTGACCACAGAGACTGCAGCGAGCGGCGTTTCTTGGTCATCGTGGCGCACGCGTCAGATGGCGGGAGGGCTGTGTTGTTGTATTCGAGGTGCGCTATGGGTATGGTACTACTAGAGCAGTATCGCGAGGTATCGGTGGTGGGCAGGGGATTTGTGGACTGGCAAGAGACGTGTCAGAATAATGCTGTGTCCAGGCATGGCGAGAGAAGATGGAAACGACAAGACGCGTGGGTTCCACGCTAACGCCGGCGTGCAGAACACATTGCGCAGGCCAGCGTCCGTCCAGCGGCACATCTCCCTAAATACGCCCAGCACGCGGATCACGGGGCCTTTAGCTACGTAAAGACGGACGGGCTTACTGATGGACGGCCATCCAGCTCTTGCGGGGGCACGGGCGTTCGCTGTTCAACCTGAAGGTTGGCCCCCAAGTACAGCCTGAGCAGGTGGGCAAGAATGAGTTGACCCGAGACGGTAGTTGAGCCGGCGATGAGCGCACAAGCTCCCTCGAGGCTGGCGGCGCTGTTCGAGGCTGAAATTTGAGTGCCGCGCTGAACACGCGCGGGCAAGTCGAATGCAGAAGTAGATGGGGGAAGCGCGGAGCGAGGTCGGCCGTCGAATGCGAGCATCTGGGTAATATTATGACAGCCAAGCTGCGTCCCAAATGCGATCTGGAGTTGATCAGGGAGAGACTAAATTTTCAAAATGGGGCCCGAGGGATGGGAGGAGCTGCCAGCGTCGAGGTAGGTTTAAAGTTGCAGGCGCCCATAACCGGCCTCTTATAACCAGCTATAAATACGGCGATCACCTCGCTTCGTCGTCGTCCACAACGACCACGCATCAATGCTCAATGATTATGCCCGCTCATGCCCACCGCTGTCCCGCTCACTGTCCTCGTCGATGTGCGCAGGCCAGACGTGCGTCTGTTCCTGTGCAGATCCAGACATTCATGCCGCAAGTAGCCGGAAGCGTCATTACAAAGTCATCACCCCGGTTTTTATCCTTTTTCCCTCCACTCCGGGCCTGGGCCCTCCAGCTCTGTGTCTGTACTTCGACCAATCATGTTCGTTGCAGTCCACCCCTGACGCATAGAAAAAGCCTGCGCTCGTATTAGGTTCTTCCGTTCGCAAAGGTTGCCCGAGGGAACTAACATATTGCATGCGATCGAACTAACTGTGTAGATCATCTTAATAGCTGTGAGAAAGCGAGTGCTTTTCGAACGAACAAGCTCTCGAAGCGAAGGAAAGCTTTGGGTGGACGTTTTCCGGGACGCGGTGCAAGCTACGCACGAAGAGCTCGGCTTGTTCCCGTGGTCGCCACAGCGCTCATGACAGACGTTGGCGGCTATGCTATTACCATCATACTCGGTCTATTGCGTAAGAAGCGCACGCCTTTCCGCGCTTCGCCAGACACAACTGTCGCTTAGTTGTCCAACTGACTTTCAGACGTACAGCTCTTGGCATTGTCGAAGTTGCAGAACGCAGAGTCAATAGCACTGGCCGCATATCGCCGCACGCCAATGATTCGCAGCAAATACGTAGCATACATTACTCACGGATGCTAGGTGATAAAGGGAGCACAATATAAGCCAACGCACCTTGATGCTGAAGGCGCAATATGACGCCGAATTCGAACTTCGTTTCACCAGCAGCAGAATAGCAAAAGGCACCTCTGGCTCACATTGGACAAAAGCTGCATCGCATACGGTCAGATCTTGACCGAGACCCTGCTTATTACTGGTGGACAGTGGGCACATTTGCGACTGCACCACATTCTGGGCATGAACATGATTGGAAATTGTATAAAGATGGAGATTATTGCATGCTTGCTTTCATGGCCAAGTTGAACAGAGGCGAACGGATAGGTTGTCCGCGAGACCCCTCTTGTTGAGTTTCTCGCAACCATCTGTGACGTCTAACAGCTATCCCCGGACCCGAATGTGCGCGTAGCACGACAAAACGGTCACCGAGGGTGTCGACTGTCTGGTCAATGAGCGCTGTTCCGAAAGGAATGTCTCTCCCGAGACACACTCACCGGCGGGCATCAAGGACGCCCCGGGGCGTTCCCATGCTCGGCGCAGCGCCGGTTATACATGCGGGAGGGATCGATATCACGACCAAGCCGGCCTATTGCGTAAGAGAACTCGTTATCCCCAGCCTTTACGACACTTAGGATCATTGCCCAATCGTGCACTTGTTGTTGGGAATACGTCAATACCATCTCGGCAGAGACCAGAAGGATCGGATTGGCGATGTGAATTGACACACCTCAAGAGTATAGACTCTGCGCAAGATGACGCCCATCTATGTAATATCAAGCCCCCAACGGTCGGTATCGCCCGTCATCCCATACTGACTGGCAGACGCTCCCAGAAACGCTCTGGCTTCCTCCGTTTGCCCACTTAGCCAGCATTAGAGGTAGACCGAGATGTCCGCAGAAAGGCCGCGAATAGGGTTTTCTTTGCCTCATGGCCTCGTCTCAGAGCGACCGATTCACCGCTCGAATGCCACCGGCATGCCAAGCAGCAAGGCAATAGGCAAACACTTGGTCCGGCCCTGGGGAAACAGCGGCCCGCAAGGGGAATAGCACGTACCTCGTTCTCACGGAGAGCGCGACGGACATGAATGTCGAGGTTCTTCATACAAAAGCACGCTAGAAGCCGCATCCGTAAGCAGACCGCTATAGACAGAACTTCATGCGGACTGAGTAGGTACTCGTCATGCGTTTGTGAGCACCAAAACTCGGGTTCCGATAGACCAGAGCTTAAGCTACTCTGACAGCAGCTTCACGGCAGCGTCATGCATGACGAGCAGGCGCGAGGCTGAGAATGTATTGGGGTATTCCGTGTGTTCCTTGCATAGCGCCGGGGCGAGAGACAAATCGCTGGACGCTGGACGTCTGACAGGCGCACGGGCAACAAGCAGTTTTCGCAGGAGGATTTAGTTGCTGTTTTCATGAGCCATGTCAGACAAGCTCCTGAAACCAGAATCAGCGCGGATGCAGTCCGAAATACGATACGATTCCCAGCAAAAACAGCTATTTCAGGCGACATTCTTTGTCCGCCACTACAGCGACATTGCAGAATAGTCCGGGACAAGTGGGGAAAAAGAGACAAGATCCAGAGCCTCAGTCGAGGAGATTGAGGGTGCTCCGATAGCGTGGGAGCACCGGGGCGCTTGAGAGCGGGCCGGTCCCGCCCCGACTCTTCCACCACGTGATGCAGCGCGACTGAGACACAGGCGCCTAATACATATTCAGGTCGAGCGCCGGTCTAAAGTATTACGTTCTCTCACAAACAGCTAACTGACTGCAGAACAAAATATTCCGTACTGACACACTCGCACTATTCCCAATTGAATTATGCCAAGAGATCTTCCTGGGCTGTACTGGGACGAGGAGAAGAAGCGCTACTTCCCGCTCACATCAAAACCGAAGACACTGCCCGGGCGTGTCCTACCCGGGGTCCACCCCGAGCATGCGGGCCACCGTCTTCCACTGCAGGCCCCTCTAGATGAAGGACCCTTACCGAAGCGTAGGCGGCTGTACGCGGAACGATACGGACATCCGACGTGGAACGCAGCGGAGACGGTGCGGACGTCGCTGGGGAGTTCGCGGAGGAGTAGAGTACTGCAGTAAGTAATGCGCTATTTTCGCACCTGGGGCGGAAGCCTGATTATCCAAGTGAGATGCAAATAGCGGGATTCTCACTGACCTCGCGCGGGTGCCAACATGTAGTTGGGACGGCACCTTTGACGGCTTTCTGGGTCAATGTATGGCTTCGAGAACAGTAGAATGCGCATACGAGGAAGTTAACATACCTCTGGTCTATTCAAAGGTCAATACTAGCCCTGAGCATGAGTATTCCGTAATGGCGGGAGATGCTCAAGGATGGCTATCTTCCTTGACTCGGAACGGTGACCATAATGCAGCGGAGCTCAATGTAACGTCGAAGGTATGTTTACGTTCTTTCCGCATCTGGATTCTGCATAAACCGATTGGTGTTATCCCTTCCCACAGATATCGTCCGTATCTTCATGGGGGACGCGACATGTGTAAGCGAAGTCATGGATCAAACCAGAAAAAAGCTGACTAATATCAGTGCTACGTCCTTTGGAACACCATGCAAGATTGTTGTACGTGAAGCACTTCCAACAGAGTGCGTACTTGATATTATATGTTGCCGCCGCTCTGCTCATCTCGAGTGCCAGAACATGGACGATCCTTAGCCTCCCGGAGAGAGTTTGCCATGATGTTTGGACCGCTCATCTGCAAGATCGCAGTCTAGTACTTGGTACGACTTCCGGGCCATTATATCCTGCCTTTTCTGACGATCGCCACAGGTGCCGCGAAACGAGGCATTCTGTTGCCGGACATCGAGACAGGACGGGGTTTCCAAGTTCTACAGACGGGAAGCGATGTGTTTGCAATTCAGCGACGCGACGTAAGTCGTAAGCTTTGATGGGTCCGCCGTCATTATTTTGCTTCAGAGTTAAGGCATCTGCCACAGAATTTGGTGTATATGGGCGCACGCAATGGCTCCATCAGCCGCTTTGACACGAGACTGGACACAAATGACCGTCAGGAGCTGCTGCAGAGCAGATTCGAGCCAACGAGGAGCTCAATCACACATCTCAGCGTCGTCCAGGAGTGGCAGCTGCTAGTCAGCACTATCCGTGGGGATGTGCGTATGCCGCTGCTTGCCTTGCGTCTCGCCCCCTGACATTAAATCCGGATAGCTGGAGACGCACGATTTACGTTTTCTGCGCAGTACGACGCCGCTCATGCGGTTAAACGGGCACATCAACTCATATACCATTGAATTGGTACGGGTGCTGCATGTATCACGGCGACTGCTGATCGACAAGTGCATTGTCAGGGCATTGCCGTCGATCCATCGGAAAACTACGTCTTCGCTGCGGGCGATGATTGCAAGCTCAGAGGGTGGTCTTTACATTCCGGTGATGAGATTGTGCCTTCCCCGCCGTCACCGCGAGACATCGAGTCGGCCGCGACCTCCTCGCTGTTCGGCAAAACCTTTGATAATCCCATAAGGGCTCTCCAGGTGACGGAAAGTCCTATGGAAACATGTCTTTGGGCAGCATCGGGGCCCACCTTGCATCAGTTCTGGCTGGGCCAGCGAGCTATGCTATCATGAAGGTTGGTGTGATCTCGGTGCCTGCGGAGTGGTCCCTTGTTGTATCTGGATTGAAAGGACACTAATAGGCTGTAATAATATAATGTACCCATCGGCTGTTCCGGACAAGTGGGCGTGATAGTGAGCACCGCTACCCCTTTTTTTCTCGGTGGGTAACAACACTCTGTGCACATTGTTCTTTGTTGAGGTCGACCCGGAGTCGGATATGACGAGACTTGCCAAGCGTCTGTAATCCTCCGCTTTCGGCTCGGGCGACCGGGAGTCCTGCCTGGTTGAGGCGTGCGCGTGAACGCTCTCGATATTGTACCATGCGTTCTCTCCTCCCCATGATGCTTCGCCGACCCATCTCCTGGTAGCCTCATCGTATCTGGTCTTACCATAGCTGCAGTGACGGCGTGGCCACCGACAAGCGAGATATACAGGACAACCCATCATCGCCAAATCCTCACGTCCTGCCGCATCTTCGTCAATCTACGGCTGTTCCCGCGTTCTATCATCGTGTGGGAGGCTTTCAAAATGAGCGATGAGGGCAAAAAGACGTACATCGTCCAGGATGCATGGAGGCAATTGGCGCACGCCACACAGAGAATGAATTCTACGACGTGCTTGAGCAACCCGAGAGCGGCACAGAAAAGATGGCGCTTTCTGGCGTGGCTGAACGCATGGTCTGCGTGTACCGCGGCGCCTACAGGTTGTGTGCTTGATGCATATTGGAACAGATTGGGCTGTACCTCAGTGATTCTAACAATTTGGGCAGACACCCTCTTTTACTCATTCAGTGATGATTTCTGCAGATCGCATTGCCTTTCATGACGGACAGAGAATAGAGGTATATGCGCGGGTATGGACTCATGTCAGATATTCAACAAAACAGCCTAGGACTCGGACTCGGACTCGACCCCCAGATACTTCTCGAACCACCCGATCGCGCGCTCCTTCGCATCGTCCCGCGCCTCCCTCTGCTTCGGGTCGTCCATATTACACCGGATCGTCCAGCCGTGGTTCACGCCGTCATACACACGCACCTCCACCGCGGGCAGGCCCCTCGCCTTCAGGATCTTCTCCGTCTCGCGGCCGCGCGCGCCGTCGAAGCCGTGGTCGTGCTCCCCGAGCAGGAACATGACGGGCCTGCTGATGCCGTCGAGCTCTGCGGGGAACGCGACGAGCGACGGGTGCGCGGCGACCGTCGCGTCGAACTGCGCGTTCATCGTGAGCGCGTAGCGCCCGCCCCAGCAGTACCCGATGAAGCCGACCTTCGCGGCGGGCGGCGCGGCGGCGCGGAGGTGCGCGAGGAGCCCGCCAATCTTGGCGGACTGCGCGCTCTTGCTGTTGCGCAGGACGAAGGGCACGACGGTTAGCAAGATGAGCGGCTTGAGGAGCTTGAGGAAGAACGACGGGTTGTCCTCCGCCGCGGCGTTCAGCGTCCACTGAGGGTGCTCGTAGCCTGAGCGGGTGCCTGTTAGCGGGGACAGGTGGGATGGGTGGAAAGAGACGTACCGTCAAAGAGGTCCGGAATGTAGACGCGGAAGCCGCGGGTGGCATACTCATCTGCGAGCAGCCGGGTGTTGACGAAGCGCCAGCCGAATACGTCTATGCCGAAGACGACGATGCGCTGGGAGTTGGGGTCTCCTGTTGCGTATGTCGAGAGGCCTGCGAGGGTGATCTCCTCGCCAACGGGGGTGCCGGTGTGGACGTTTCCAGAGACGCAATCAACGCATGCCATGTTGACGAAACGAAGCTCGGAGACGATGTGCGGGGAATGCGGGAACACTAATGATGTAGGACAAGATGAGCAGCCTTGATGGCGAGATTGACGCGCCGGGTGGAAGATGCAAATCGTCTGCTCGGGTGAGGAGGGTTTGTTACGGACGCCAATGTTATCATTCGGTGCACGGACGTACCGCAAGGAGAAAGCTGCTCAGGCTGTGCTGCAGCGAAAGACAAGAGATGGGCGACCACCCCCTGCTTTATGGTGAACATTATTATAGGAGTTCCACATGAAGATAAGAACAGGCGAAATGGTCCAGCGACTGCGGCCAAATCCATGCAATTCAGAGGTCCCATCACTGCTTCAGCCAATGGCATAACACCGATCACTTCCCGGTTAGAGTTATGTTTTGAGTCATCGGCCGTTCCTTGCCAGCCGCGTCTACGCGTCAGCCCTCCGTATTAACATCGTCGCAAACGGCAACCCTTTGGTCGTGAGTTCCCCGTTGACACGCTCGCGACAGTGAGCTGCGGCCGCGCGCTCTGCCGGCACGCGCTGCAGGAGAGAGACAAACGACATGATGCACTCGCTCATGCTGCGCGCGAACCCTTCCATAGGGAGACTACAACTTGATAGACGATCGACAAAGGCAGCGGGCTGAGGTGGGTGCCTGACAACACCCACGCACGCAGGCGAGCGTCATCGGGCTAGGAAAAACATGATAACAATGGCACAATGGCAGCGCGGTGTTCCATCCCTGTGAATAAGTAAGGATAGCCGGCGCCACATCATCCCTCGCAGCGGACGTGTCGCAGCGATTGACCGCGAGGTTGCACAGCGCGACTCGAGGTTTCCATCTGAATGGAAAGAGACAATCGGCATCATGCAGAGCGTGAACCGCTCGGAAATCGGGCACCTCGGTTCGACGTTTGATTCAGAAGCACAAGCGTCACCTTCCCGAATTTAGTCAACTGCTTTCATGACGCATCCCCATCCACATTGATCTTACAGGCTAGACATCAACGACACTCCTCAATGAGCGCGACGCCTGACCATCAGTATTCTGCTTCGATGCAATAATAGATGTAGCCCATCACTCAACACTCCTGGGACTTCCAATGGGTGTTAGATGCTTGGGGCAGACTTGTCGTACCCAGTAGGTTTCATCCCGCACCCCATCAGCGATGCTGGGGTGCAGCTGGGTACGAGACAAGGTGAGGACGCTGTCTAGAGGCTTTGTGCAGTCGGTATCACTCCAACAGAGCACTCTCTGCTGCGAGTGACACCCACTGAGCCAGGTCCCAGCCTCTTGCAGACCGAATGGAATTCCTAGCTGTGTATCCTGTCGCAGCGAACAAGGCTATCTAGTGGCGTGCCCTGCGCTGCGGTCTCGTAACATAGTTGCTACACATCACGCGATGCAGGTATGTCTTACAATCAGCCGGTCCATCGACCACTAGTGATCCGACGGCAGGCCTTCCAGTTCTCGTCGGTGGCAGCCATGTCCTCAACACACGCCCGGTCATCCGTTGTGGCCGTCTGCACTGTGGGTCGTTTCCGACAACCCTGCATTCGACAGATACAGGGTGTGCGAGGCGCTACAAAGATTCTCGGAGAAGTTGGGCTGGATTGATATACTTGAAGGACTGCAAGACGACCGCAGCAGACTCGCGGAGTGGTCGGATCGGAAGACGCGGGCCTTGTTGCCGTGGGCTCCGACCATGACGGCGGATAGGCTGTAACGGACGACGAGGAGGCCACGCGCGCTATCCGGGTCACGCTTGGCTCCCTTGAGATGAGGATATGGTGCCGGGCCTCGTCTTGTGTCGTTCCTGGTCGCACATCGTGAACGGTAACTTGAGGCTTCTATCTGCACAAGTTGTTGGCGAGGCTTATCTGATGCTCAGATGAGACGTTTTGTATTAAGCAGGACAGACCATTCTGATGACGTGTTAGCGGCAAGTGGCACCAAGGCAAGAGTCGAAGACGTACCAAGGGCGTTTACAAAATCGGCCCTGGGGCGTCTTCATTTGCCTCGGAGACCTCAGACATTAGTGTAATGGCGAATCTAATATCCCTAGCAGAAAACTGATGTGGGGGACTCGATGTGGAAGCAGTCTGCCAAAGTTAAGCGTACTTCGAGGGACCCAAGATATGATGTTCAGCGAGCTGTGTATTTAGACTCTCTGGTAACAGGATGCTGCGAAAAATGCGCTCTGTATATCTTGATGAAGGGGAGAGAGATGCGGCTAATACGAAGAGTGGTGCGTAAGCGCGCGTACGCCACAGTCGTTGATGCCCAGCCCTACGCTCCCTGAGCCTGCGCCATAGAGGCAAGCAGGCCTTAGCTTGTGACGCACGCTCGTCCTACCGCATCTGCACTCCACGCAGTGCTTATGAGGCCGCGGTTCTGCTCGGATACCTAGTTGCTTTTGATTCCTAAAACATCACATACTTTCCTCTCTCTTCCGCCACTTTTGCTTCCATCTCGAGCTCCGGCAGCTATTACAGTATCTCCTACATATCAGCTTCTACTTCTTCCTGTATGAGCGACAGGGCAACTCACCTTCACAAGAAAGCTAAGGCCATTGCCAAGAAACCGACCCTGCGCTACCATGGGAGCCGTCTATGTCATTCAAGTACGACCAGGGGAAGCCGGATCTAGCGTCAAGTAATGCCACCTCAGCGACTATGACGGGCACTGCGAGTGGAATCCACAACGGAAGTCATATGCAAGAGCAGGTTGCGGATGCACAGAAGACCGTGAAGAGATAGAGAAAACGGCCGGGAGTGAGATTGATAGAAGGGGCGGAAGTCGGACAAGATGTCGTTGTGCGAGTGGCATGAGGCCACGCATCCCGCCCCCGCGCCTGTCCCTGAATAAAGGTCTCAATACCAATGTCGCGGGAAACATGGGCCCTCCGTTGCAAACAGCTAGCGGTGCGCTTGCAGACAATGCTATCCAGCTACCGGTTTAAAAGCCTCCGTTGCCTAGGAATATGAGCGCTAGAAGTAAGTGGTCTTGCATCGACGGACAGCCTCCTTCGAGGCGGTACAAGAGCGAGCATGCCCCAAGCTCACTCGATCTCCCATACATATTGCTGTCGACGTATGTCTTCCTTTGCGCTGCTTCTGTTCTGTCGTTGCTTGCTTACCATCATCATCACCTTCATCTCTGCTGTTCCGTATTTCATAACTCTTGTATCTGTACCATTTTGCTTGATGTATTTTGCGGATTTGCCGCTGCTGCGTTTCTAATTTGTACTTTGTACCTGCGAAAATGGCTAGGGGTTCGCCTCTGCCTTTTCAGTACCATTAAGACTAGCTTGACGGCCAATGAGAATATGAGTGGATCGCTGCTCACTGGTCTGTGTCGATTCATCGTGACCTTGCACACGGCATTCGCCGTTTCGAAACACCTTTGTTGTCCGATTTGGGAACGGTCTTGTATCTCGCGCCTTAAATAGCACAAACCCGCCACGATCACTTGATACTCTTCTTATCCCATCATCCACAACAGCATGTTCCCACTTCGCCTGCGACCTGTGGCATATTACACCGTGAGCATCCCCTTTCGTGTTATGAAACGCACACACAATGATACTCTCCTTCGGCAGTAATACACAACATGAGGAACACTGAAGGGCTGTACATTGCCGATGAAAATGTGGGAGACGATACGGTGGGAGCATACGTACTCTCGCCTTTTTCCAGTCTCATCATTCCGTGTTGGATATTACAGGAGCCGATACCCTTCATGCCCGCCGATTATCTCGACATCATAAATGGCGATGTTGAATATGAGGCCCACCATGACCTCGAATCAACCTATTGGCTCCTGGTATGGATCATTTTGAGACATACGGACCATGACCACCCACAAGGGAATCGAGCCTGCGGACTCCTCTTCACACCTGGGGACCTAATACAGTGCCGAGCCGCGAAAAGGAGTTGGCTGAACGAGGGTTCCCCTGTTTCAATTCGTGGCAACACGCCACTTACCCACCTTCTGCACAAGCTCACGAGGATGTGCAACCAAAATTTGTCGCACAGGGAGAGAGAAAGAATCCCTCTGACTCACGAGGCATTTTTGGGTGCGATGCAGGCAGCACACAGAGAACACGGCTGGCCGCTGAACGACGACATGCTCCCGTGGGTGCCTCCGGAACCGGCTGGTGATACCGAAGACAGCGATTGGGAGAACGATTCCGTCATCGTTTTATGCACTTCGGAGGTCGATGAGGAGAACGTTGAATCGAGGGGTGCGAGCCGGGATGCCCGCCTACCAACCACCAGCGAGGTGGACAACCAGCTGGACGCACAGGTCGACGATGTTACGGACGACCTGCGACGTTGGGCATTAGATTGGTAGACAGATAACGAAGAGAGGAGTAGCAAATTGAAACTCGGAGACGATTCACTGGTCATTTCTGTGCCATACAGTCGTCAATCGCTTTGAGTATCGGACATCCAGAGTGCTACATGGATGTTTCTTGCCTGGCAATACCAGCAGCACAGCAGTCATTTCGTAGTGCATGTTTGTTCGCTCGAATTACACTGATTCTGGAAGAATTACCGACCAGCGGATTCTCGAAAACGGCTATAAATATTCGAGCACTCCGATAGTCCGTGGTTAGAACACTACAATGACAAGCGAAGTGAAGGCGACCACGTCGCTAGTGCCATCTTTAGGCATCCATAGATGGAAGTACGTGCAGTATAGCAATACTCTGTGCATATAGTGAAACAGAGCCTTGTTGATGACGAAAGCCTCAGTCCGCGCGTGCATAAACGCTAACAGGCCCCGATGACGGTGCGCCATCAGTCCATATATAGCAAGCGTCGGCAAGTGGTATGCCCGCCTAGCTCAATCGGATAGAGCGTCAGACTCTTATACGATCAAAGTCGTTAGGCCGGAATCTGAAGGCTGCGAGTTCGACCCTCGCGGTGGGCTACAGGACTTTTTTGCAATATCATATGCAATCATGTCAAATTTCAAGGGCGGATGAACTATAGATCATCGTACATGCAGAACCGATTCAAGCATCCTGAGCTCTGGTCTATGTCCTAGATTTTAGCAGATCCTCATACACTAGTGCGGGTGTGGTCGTGATCTGTCAAGTTGATTCCTCGCCTTCAAGTTTCAACGTGTGCTATCAGGCTTTTCTATGTAGCCGGCCGTCATTGTACAGAAGACGTCTAGGTTATACGAGATACGTTCTGCGCATATTACAGGAGTATATATATCTTCCCGCGGATAAATGAAAAATAGACAAGTAAAAAACATGACCTCGACCTCGACCGTTACATTTTCGCCATGATCTGGTCCATCGTGATGCTCAGAGGTCGCTCGATGGCCAAGCCGAGAGCTGAGCGCATCATGAATAAGACGACGCTATCCATAACGATGAGCGCATAACGCACCTCTGTCCCACACATATTGGGTCATAAATCCCATGCCGCGGCTGCAGCCCATGACGAGGAGGATGAAGTCGATCTCGAGCCCGTGCGCGTACATCAAGCAGCCGCTCAGCGAGTCGACGTTCGGCGCCGTGCTCTTCATGCGCGGGACGCGCCGGCGCAGGATCTCGGGCACGATGGTGCTGTTGCGCCCGATGAGCCTCAGCATGTGGCCCTGCTCGCCCGACGCGGACGCGGGTACGGGGCGCGAGTTGATGAAGCGCGTGATCGGCTCGAGCCGCGGGTCGACGTCGCGCAGCAGCGCGTGCCCGTAGCCCGGCACGACGAGCCCCTTCTCAAGCGTCCGGCAGATGTACGCCTCGACCGCCTGCGCGGACGGCTCGGGCCCGAGGGCCGCCGCCATCGCCTGGTTGTAGCGCAGCGCCTGCGAGATGGCGCCTGCGTGCAGGATGCCCGTGCCGGCGATAAGCCCAGAGGCTAGCGTGAGGTATGGGTCCGTCCACGCCGAGCTGCTGAGCCCTGTGCCACCAAAGCGGAATAGTCAGCGCTAGCTAAGGTTCGGGCGCGCCACGCGCCAGGCGGGAGGCGCGCCAAAGAGAAACACTCACGCATGGTGTGCGCGGAGACGTTCGCGCCGTGGTCCATGTGCAGCGACCAATACATACGGATGAGCTCCGTGAAGTCGTGGTCGCCGGCGCGGCCCATGCGGATCGCGAAGTTTTCCGCAATGTCGCCCTGGGGGTTCAGCGGAGTCGTGCGATCGCGGCCATCGCGGTATTTGTTTGCGTATATGCGCGCAGAGATTACGGACGTGCATGAATGGCTGTCGAGCGCGTCCTCGAGCGCGTGTCGCCAGAGCTCGGCGCGCGGCGCGCCCTGCACAAGCGCCGCGGAGAACTTGGAGTGATTCCCCCACACGCTGAGGCACATCATGAGCTGCGTCGCGGAGGCGATGTCGGGCGAGAGGCTGTCGCAGAACTCCTCGACCTCCACAGGGGGTTCCGCGCGACGTGCGAGGTCGGCGGCGAACACCTCGAGTTCTGTTCGCGTAGGGACCGTCCCAGTGTAGAGGTACCAGATCATTGCCTCGGGCGATATCTGTTCGGAGCCGCGCCATCTAGGAAGGATCTCAAGCAACTCCTTGAGCGACTTTCCGTGGTAGCGGATGCCTGCTTTTTCTGTTCCTGATACTTCCCAGAGAACGCAGGGAAGGCCGCGCATGCCCCCTAGGACCTGGCCGACGGTCATATTGTGTAGGGTGACATCGGAATATTGTTTTGCTAATCTGGAGAAAAGCTCGAGGCGGGAGGGTAGGCGAGCCTCGATGGCTTCGAAGATGGTACGCTACGTCATGTCCAACTGTGAGTCGCGGGATACTTGTCAGGTATCGAATGAACTTACGACGGGTTGACTTGTGATGTGCCCCGAAGTTGTCGCCATGGTGCAAGAGAGGACCGATGAAAGCTCTGTCAGCGAATGGGAGATCCGGGAGATGATGCCGTTCTCTTATATGTAGGGGCAACGAGATCATCTGGACCGCACGGCGCTTCTCAAGGATGGCTGCCAACGAAGCTCTGGGGAGCGATTGCCACTGAAGCTCTTTCGCACACTACATTCGACCGCTGGGTCGACGCCCCAAGGCATCATTCCACAGAGGGCCGAGTGCGAGGATGGAATTTGCCTCCGACTTGGCCGCTCTCTGGCAGCTTCTGGAGCGGATTCTTCCCCTTTGAGCTCCTAGAAAGTTTTGTCAATCCATGCATCATGTCCGATTCACAAGTTTTTTTTATCGCCTGGAGCGAGGAATGTTCCCCAGATTGTCACTGGGGCCTGAATAAAGCAAATCACGGTCGTCAGCCGACTGAGCGTCCAGCCACAGGCGTAACCCGCCCAAGTGGCGATAAAGCTAATGTCAGAAACGATATTGCCTCCGATATGGCTTCATTTCCCAAGAAGAGTATCAAGATGCGATCTCAGCTGTCAATGAGCAGCATGACGCGCATGAAATGCCCGAATTGGCGCGTATCAAGTCCGATCACATAGGGGACAGCATCCCCAATGAGCTACACGCGCAGCGGCGTGGGGATCCCGAGGCGTCACATGCTGCAGATTGGATGCGAAGCTCACCTGCCGAAGAGCCTCTGTCCGCAAAAGTCGCGACACCATCCACGATGGAGCCGGTGTAGTCTCTGGGAGATATGCGAGTGAGTACATTCTTGATAGCCGACAGCGTATGGCCGATGAGTGCAAGTGGCGCGCATCCACAGAGAGATATGGAAGACATCGGATCATCGCCATGGCTCGGGGTCAATTTGACTCAAACTCTAGTCTGTGAGCCTGTCCTCATAAGCTCAGGGGGCCTCTCTGAATATAGCGTAGCGTATTGGTGTCTGATTTGATATCACTCAGTGGGATATGCCTTAGAATAGATTAGGACCTAGAGAGAGGCACGGAGGAAAACCGGCGCGAGACTGCTGCAAGCAGACTGAGGAATGAACAAACCACAAACTACCAATTTGGGAAGGGACCGATCACCTTGCCCGATCTTCAGTGACAGCTGTCGACGGGTTCCTACTCGCTACTCCTACGAGCACCGCACAAGCCCTCGTGAAATCCTTCATTAGCACATGAAATCCGGCATTTGTTCTGCTTTCCCAAATCGCACCCCCAACAGCCAGCAGCGTCAACAACGAGCTAGTGGAGGAATGATTCTAAACAAGCGCACCTCTTGCGCTTTACCCATGCAGTAACATGGTTTCCACATGCCACGGGAGTGACACTATCGTGTATTTACCGGATGCCGCACGAAATGAGCTTGAGCTTGTTACTGAAGATTGCAGCCGGTATGTCGTGATTATCATACGTTGGCGTCTTGTTGGCGTCTGTCGGTTGAGCTCCAGGTCTTCGGAGAAAAGCAAGTGAACGAATACAAGCAGTATCATCCCCACTATTCTCTATCTATAGGTTCGGCGTCTGAACATGTGGTCACCAATGCGCAGCCTTTTCTCAACCGTCGTTCTAGCGTATACCGCTGTATCTGAAATATGGATATGGACCATCCTTGTCGCCATATTCGTTGTCTCGCTGCATCTTTTGCGCAGTCGCGTGAACACGAGATAAGAAGCTATCCGGTACCGCGGCTTTCGTTTCAAGATGCTTTTGGGGAATCGATCTGCTCAGTCGGGTTGCGACGTGTCCCCACGCATTCTTCCTTCTCTTCCAGATCCACACTTCCAGCTCGTTGGGGTAGCGGCACATTTTCATGGTGTGAACCTGCATATTGTTGTACCGCTATGTGCTCTCCGCACGCCTGCAGACCGTCACATCGCGGAGCCAATGCTATTTGGACTCTGCCTCGTGGCAGGTGTCAGGGACCAATGGATACTTCTCTGTTGTCGATCCTGGCGAGGCACTTATATTGGTTAGAGTGTCTTTGTCATTTAGGCTCGACGACCACCTTGACGTAGACTTCCGGCGCTCTTAACATGATACAGCGTCTCGCCCGAAATCATCCCGACGTACCTCTATTTGACACGGACGCTGGTGCAATAGAAATAGAGAAGCCTGTTTGACTGGGGAACACCTGTGGCTTGGGGACGCTGTCAATCAGTTGCACCCGCTCGTGCAGTCAATTTACGCCGTGATATTCGGGAGGGAAAGGCAGTGGCCAGTCAGCGAACATGACTGCCCTGGATGCATTCTTCGCACATATCTTGCGCTCGCGCCAAACCACAGCATCAGCCCAACAGCCCAGGCTCCCGCACAGATACCCCTGAGCCTTCAGCCCTTCGCATCTAGCTCAAACCCGTCACCATGAGCTTAGAAGACGGCCTCTCGGACAAGAGCGACCCGCCCACGCCCACGGCGACCTGCGTCACCATGCGCACCGCCTTTCAGGAGAAGGAGCCCGCGGAGCACGACGACCTCGCATGGCGCATCAGCCAGGACGTGAGCGCGCTGCTCGAGCTCCCGCCCGAGCTGAACCCGCTCAACTGGCCGAAGGGCCGCAAGTGGCTCAACCTGGGCATCATCGCCTCGCAGGCCATGATCACGCCGATATGCAGCAGCCTGCTCGCGGTCAGCGCGCTGCAGATCGACGAGGAGATGCACGTCACGAACTCATACGTGTCTGCGCTCCCCGTGGCGATGTTCCTATTCGGCCTCGGCCTTGGCCCGCTCTTCCTCGCGCCGCTGAGTGAGATGTTTGGGCGGAGGGTTATTTATGTTACTTTCTTTGGGATATTCTCTCTCCTGAACGTCGGTTGTGCGCTCGTGCATAATATGGCCGGTCTGGTCGTCCTGCGCTTCCTCGGGGGCTTGGCAGGAAGGTGGGTAGCCCACATGCAAGTTGCAGTGCAGGCGACTTCGTGCTCACCATTCAAATCACCAGTGCTGGGCCGTCCCTTGGCGGAGGAACTATCGGAGATATGTTCAAGCGTGAAGAACGAGGGGGCGCTCAAGCAGTGTACGGGTTCGGGCCCACGTTTGGTCCAGCAATTGGAGGCCTCATCGGCGGATACATCTCCAACCATATCGGCTGGCGCTGGCAGATGTGGATCATGGCCATTGCGTACGAACAGCATTCGTATTCCGCCTCTGAACTGCGCTGACACATTTCTTCAGGGGAGGAGTAACTACTACGGCGTCCTTTTTCTTCCTTCGGGAGACGTACGCTCCTTATCTCCTTGCTCGCCTGCAAGGGAAGCGGTCCGCGCCCACCACCATCGGCTTCGCCCGCAGCATCACCCGCCCGCTCCGCATGCTGTTCACCGCGCCCATCGTCACGACGATGAGCGTGTACATGTCTGTTATCTACGGCATTCTGTACCTGCACATCATCACTATCCCGCTGCTTTTCGGCCCCTTCCCTCTCTATGGCCTGTTCACGTACGGATGGAAGAACGGCAACGATGGTCTCGCGTATCTGGGAGCAGGTGCGCATTCGTTGATTCACTGCAGAATCTATAGCGCGTGCTGATGCATGCTACGGTGTACAGGTTCCGGGTGCTATCTGTCGATCGTGTTCTGCCTATTCACGTTGAACCGGACGTATCGCGCGCTGTGCAAGAGATATGGCACGCAGAAGCCTGAGTTCCGCATGCCCGCCATGCAGGTCAGTCACCGACTGCGCCTTCGTACCACCCACAGCTCACGGCGTCCTAGTTGGGCATGCTTATTGTACCCGGTGGGCTCTTCATGTATGGATGGGCGGCAGAAGCGCAGGTGTATTGGCTGGTGCCCCTGATCGGCGCATGCGTCTTCGCGTTCGGCATGATGATAACTTACGTACGCCATATTTTCTCCCGCTTGTTCTCCGTTCCCCCTGACATCCTCTGTACGACACAGATCAGTATCCAAACCTACCTAGTGGATTCCTTCCAGCAGTACGCCGCGTCCGCCCTCGCAGCCATTATTGTCTTGCGCTGCACATTCGGCGCCATATTCACCATATTCGGCACGAAGCTATACGAGAAACTCGGATATGGATGGTGAGCGCACTCGACTTGTCGTTTTTGTCTCTGTGCTGATGCATCGTCTCTAAGGGGCACGAGCCTCCTCGCGTTCATTATCATCGTCGCTCTCCCTATTCCATCGGTGCTCTGGGTCTTCGGAGAGAGGATTCGTGCACGTCCATTTATTGCATAATAAACCTGCTGTTACTCACAAATAGAAGCGTGTTGATGAAATATCACACACTGGGGAGAGGAATTCTGGATATACGTTACAACTCAGTGGCCCACTCTCGTTAGGCGTAACACTATAATAATGGCGTGCATGTGTTTTGTAGAATATCAAAGGACGTTGAAGGCGAGGAATCAACTTGACAGATCGCGATCACACCCGCACTAGTGCATGAGGATTTGCTGAAAACTAGGTCATAGGCCAGAGCTCAGGGCGCTTGAATCTTGCATCGGTTCCGCGTGTACGATGATTCATAATTGATCCGCCCCCAAAATTTGACATGATTGCATGTGGACCGCAAAAAAGTCCTGTAGCCCACCGCGAGGGTCGAACTCGCAGCCTTCAGATTCCGCCTGAGGACTTTCGTCCGTGCTCGTAAGAGTCTGACGCTCTATCCGATTGAGCTAGGCGGGCATACCGCTTGCCGACGCTTGCCATATATGGAAGGATGGCGCACCGCCGTCGGGGCCTGCTAGCGCCTAGACTATGACCCTTGCGAACAAGCTCATGCTCAAGTTGTCTCACTTCTATCCACAGGAATATTGTTGTACTAGAAATGCTTCCATACATGGATGCTGACCTACTTGTAGCGGGGGCTCTAGCGACATGGTCACTTCTCGGTCAGCCCCTATGAGCCCATTTGTCTGAGACAGCTTCAGTCATGGCGACATTGAATCATGTGGACATACTACCGTCCTATGCGACACGTCTTCTTTCTATTCTCCGTACAGACACTGTCTACCTTCCACAAAATCTTCACCTCTCCCTCGGCCTGAGCAGTCTCCCCCGGGCCTGTCGCCTGCTCTCCGGTGTCGTCGCAGCCTTTGTATTCTACGGTAGCGCCTTCGAAGCTCGCCCTCAACAGCGTTCCACAACTCTCGCTCTCGTCTCGTCAACACTCTCCACTCCTGCCAGTCACACCATATTAGGAACGCGCTAGCATCACATACTTTGAGAAGCATTGCGGCAATTCATATATGCTGACGGAGTCCTCGGCGCCCTGCTAGAGATAATATACATTCACAGATATAGGAAAGAGGCTAAGATGCTGTATAAAGACACGCGGGTACGAGGCATGGCATGGTGTCTAACGAGGCTGTACATACAGGTTTGTGTCTAGACATCTTCGCAGCAAGCCAGGAGCGTAGCCCTGTGGGAAATAAGCGAATTTTCCTCTGCGGAGACTCTATTTACCCGATGGCCCTACAAGTAAATACTTCTGAGCCCCGGATGAAACAACCTGCGCGTAGGATATCGGTGGAGTCTCAGCATGATATTTGATAACCGTTTCGTCAGACGATGTCATTTTCAGTATCGACATCATAGAACAAGCTCGGCTGAATGCCGGAAACTGCAGCATGTTGACCATCAACGAACCTGTCCGCGAGACTGCATCCGTCATCGTGCCAGACACCGCTAGCAGTATCGTTGCGCATTGCGATGGCGATGGACTCTATGATACCGATATTGATCATTAGCATTCACGAGCATGGTGTACCTCAGTATGTCCACCATTGCATGATCATAAGGCTAGACTTCACAAGACAATAGATCACATCACGCACCTGATGTATCTCGGTTCTTGTGAGAACCTCATAATCGTCTTCACGATACGCTTACTCGACAATGCTCCGGACAACGTCATCTTCAGACTTTTTGATACTGAGAGATCACAATGACCGTGTATAATATTCCTGGGAGACGAGTCCGGATGCTAGCCATCCAACTTGGATATATGTTATTTTCATAGCATCGACTTGAATGGGCGGTCGCTGATAGCACGAGAGCACGCGAGGTGAGGCCTTCCCAGGGCATGTAGAAACGATACAAGACGTTAAGTGCGCATTTGAGACCGTGAGTTGAGGCGGGCAGGCTCGAGCAAACACAGCATGGTCCAACCCGGCGCCGAACATACAGGGGAGGAGATCACACAAAACCAAAAGATGAGGTGACAACGCTTTTGTGACGCATGAGTAGTAGCTCCTTTGTCACGAAAATCAGATCATTGATCGATACGGACCTATACAGTACAAACAAACACAAACATTCAAGCGCCGGAGCAGTGTTAAAGATAGTTCCCCGCACGCCAAAAACAATCACCTCAACGCGAATGCATCATTATTTGTACTAAAATTATGACGGACAGTTGATGTATGGTAATGCTTGTTGGCTCACACTACGTGCCGTGACGTCCAATGCCGAATACAGGAGGAATAACGCAAGAGATCATACCATCCCGAATCCCGATTACTCACGGACCTCCAATAGAAAGGAGGTGTCGGCAATTTACATTTACGGTATGAGGTCCCCTGCCATCGTAGGGTAATTCAGCTGGATGCTGACCGTCAGACATTGCAGAAACCGCGTAGCTTCTCTATTATTGACGTGTCGCTGTCGCAGAACTTGAAGCCTCACTGTGGCGCGTACTTAAGGAGCAGTGGCATCTGCAGCCGTGAGCTTGACCTCCGGAATCCCGTAAACTGACAGGTGTCATCTCATTAGGACATCATGGGATGCTTCCGGACGCAACTGGGGCTGTTTCCTATACGTACTCACTGCATCGATCGAACCCTCGAACTACGACGGGATGCAAAAAGATCTCTTATATCGCGTGGTATGTCCGTCCGAGATATAAGAGATGTATCCAGACCAAGAGTAACCGATGGGTGAAAGCAGGAGAGGACTTGGTTGTGACGCCTGTCCTCAATGTATCTTGTACCATCAGCGCCGGTATGCTGCTAACACCGCTATCCGTGTTGCTGACTTAAGTATTCGCAGATCGGCCTAGGTATTGGCAGTATGAGTGAAAGAGAATGGCAGTACGACCTGAGATGGCTCACGTTTGTAGCACTCCGCATACTTAGAAAAGAACACGCGATCCGGCGAGAGGACCTCTTCATCCAGACCAAGTGGACATTCTACGATCGTATGTACTCAAGCTAGCTATGGTTCCTTGACTGCCATCGATTGACATCATTAGGCGGCTATGACCACATAGTCCGCTTCCACACAAATCGTATAATAGCATCGCAACGCAGGTAGAGACGTACCTTCAGCAACATCTCCGAAATTTGGACCCCGACAGCTTGCTCCTCCAGCCGCTCTCCACACATGTCGCAGACTCGGAGCTCGTCAAACTACAGGACGAGGGCAAGGTGAAGACAATCGAAGTGAGCAACACGTGCGACGTTTGAACTTCCGGGCTTCTCAAGAAGGCGGCCGTGAAGTGTGTCCAGATTGTGAAAGACAGGCGGCACGAGGGCAATCGTTGGGACCGTGAGGTCTCCAGCTACTGTAGGAAGAATGGCGTGCAGTATCAGTACGTTGTATTGGGAAATGTCGTATCAAGGTAGATTACTAACCTTAGGAACCCACCAGGTCGTCCTGGACCCTCTGTATCTCCAGAGCTGCTTGCCCACCAGGGTATGCGCGAGATAGCACGGACCCACAATTGCACGCCTGTTCTCAAGTAGTCCTCCGACTGGCGCAAGTGCAGGGCATTACGTCGCCCTCCTGTACGATCAAAGAGTATGACATGAGAGAAGGCATGAAAGCGGAGTAGATCGACCGGTACAATGCGGGCGATAGTGAGACGAACGCTGTCGCCATCCAGGAGGTCACCAAGCTCGTCTAGGGAGTATGATTCGTGATGGGTTGGTCGTTGCGTGACTGTACAATTGTTGTCTGTGCTTAGTGTAGCGTGTACCGATATCCCAGAGCCAATGGCCGCGTAAGATAGAGGTACGGGCAAATGTTGACTGTGGGAGGCAACGTGAGAAGAGGCGTGGGCGTCATTGTAGACCGTCACGACCGGGGAAGGAAGAGCCGCTGGCGTCATGTCCGCCAACGACGAGCTAGTTTGTTTCCCGCCCGCCTTCTGCTCTTGTGCTCTTGGACCCTCATCCGTTTTTCCGACAGCTTTACTTGCAGCGAGTGGGCAATTTCTCAGGCGACTAACAGCGCACGCCGCCATCATATTGTGTCCACCAGCGATCGTTGCGACACCAGCACCTTGAAGCCTGAAACGCCGTGCCGTTGTCCGTCTTCGCAATTTGGCAAGTAATTGTGGCTTGCAATCCCGGTATGGATCTGCCGATGCAACACCTCCACGCCAGCGCCATCCTGACCGCGCCCCCTTCGGGTTTATGAGCATTTCCCGAGTGTTCGGGTTATGTGTTGTCAATTATACATCCAAGCTGTATAGAGATACAGCGTGTGGAGAGCTATTAACCCGTAAGCATTTATTGCAATGTCACAGACACCAGTGCTAGCTCATCGTCTACTCCCTTCGAAAAAACAGCAACCCATTTCTAGCTTTCTCGACTGACTGTCACCACTCTGGGCTCAGCTCTCAATATGCGGGGCAGCTAGCCGTCTGTATATTCTGACCTCGCCGATGCTGCCCCATACTACTGACGCTTACAACTGAGCGCAGCCGCAAGGACGGGAAATCAGAGTCCTTGAGTGGCACAGCCTCGCGACGCCGCAAGGCGTGGATAGAGGCCGCCGTTTATTCCTCTGGGATTCGTTAGTAGGCTTTCATGTTTGGAGCCATCGGTTGTCTTCGTTAATGCGAAGTCGTCAAACTGAGAGCAATTGAAACAATAATATCACGCACGGGAACCCCCGCACAGGCATTATAAAACGACGCTCGTATGTCACGCTCCTTCATGTTGTCAATAACAAACTCCTGATATAGGTAGAGCCGCCTATTGTACCGTTCAAATTCACTGGATACACAAGTCTATGTCACATATTAGGGTCAACATCGAGAGCACCAACAACGACATACATTCGTAGCGCATGACAGAACGTCGATCTGGGTCATGTTAGGACGCAGAAAAAAGACTGGCCACGAATTTCCGCAAGAATCTCGTGCTCAGTATATTTGAAGTAAATCGTCTGCCACGATTCAGAATGATTATCCGCCGATTGCTCTGTCAGCTCCTGATTGTATATATGATGAAATGTCGAGTGACAGAAGGTTTGCGCACGAGCCTCATCAGAGAACCAGCTTCAGGCGCCTGAGGCGGGAACAAGAGAGGAATGGGGATAGGGGAGGCCACTTGTTTCCATGGGTATGCTTTAGAAGGACCTGTTGTTCGTCATCGCAATACAATAGAGGTTGTCCTTCTTAAAGTAGCCCTACCAGATCTCCGGCCTTCACTCCTGTCCAATGCACGACAAAGGCTACCGAAGACCTGCAGCGAGATCATGTGAAATATTTTGATATGTCCACATGCTTTAACCCGTACCGTAGGCATAACGGTGGTCGCAGACCCGTAGAAGCGACAGCAGAGCAAATGAACGTTGTAAGGAGCTTCAAAGATCTCCTTCGGAGAATACACGGTCCACTGCGAGACGGCATCAATATTACGGCTCAGAAATGCGTACAGAAATAGACACCGTGTGATTACCGCTTGTCCTGGCCGTAATCCGATGGCCCAGACCTCGAGAATTACCTATTCGCCTGAATTGTGCACAAGTACCTTGATCATACACTTCACCTCATGGGTCTGATACAGACATAGTGGAGCACGAACTGGCAATTATTTCGTGCAGATGCTGGAGCCGTCTTTCATTTCCACCCTAATAGCCTGATCACATCAGCCGCTCGAGGAGATCGTGGAGTTGTGGCTGTGGCTTCTCGCTGTGCAAAAGTAACGGCACGACGCTGCAATTGTTCGCGTCTCCTACGCCGTAAACCGGGGCGTTATCCTGCATCGTCCTTTACGTGAGAGGCGTAGCTGTTGCCATGTTCACTATTCATTCAAGTAGAGAGGACAAGGCTCACCCCTTCAGGGATTCCGACGGATTGGAATGCCATGACTTCTGCCACCGCGCCTATGCAGTAAGTTTTGTCAACCATTAGCGCTAATGTAATGCATTAACCCGCTCTATCAGTTCAACCGCCCGGCGACCGCGTTGACAAGGAGTCGCCCACGAGCCATAAGGATTATTGGTTTGTAACCCATATCGGATATCCTGTTTAGACTCACCTAGTATTCTATGTTTGAGAAGCCCGTAGCCGCAGGGTCAAGGTCGTAGCGGTCAGAATCACAATGGGTGGCGCCAGGTGGTTTCTACATAGTGGCTTCTGCACCACAAGGCACGGCAAACCGACTCATTTGGAACGGACAGTTCAGTCAAGGTAAACAAAGCACGCATGCAAATGGGCGTCCGACTGCACCGAATTCGCGCGGTTATCCAGCAAAATCCGGAATCTTGTAGAACAGTATCAGTACGAAGAGACAACCAGAGCATAGTAATCCACCGATCCAGAAGAACAGTAGCAAAGCTGGGTATCCTGATAACGATAGAAAGAGGAAAGTATGCGGATATACACTATGTATCCACGAGAGTGCGACTACTTCCCGAGGGGGTCGGAATGGGAGGGAGACGCTTGAGGAGATAGCGGGCTTTTTGGAACGTGTGCCTGACATCCTTGAAGAGCTTAGTCACGGGATCCTCCTTCCTGGAAACAATGCGAGCCCGACATCTCCATGCCGTGAGCCCGCGACGGATTTCCTCAAAGCGCTCGACAACCTGGTCAATTGTTGGCCGCTTTGTGGGATCGGCTACGACCATGTCGGCGACTAGCGGGTCCATAAATTCTAGGCCGATATACTTCTGCGAGATATTGATGAGCGCGGAGGAAGCAAATACTAAAGCGCGAGCTTACCTGTAGGAAGCATTGGCGAATCGTGTTTCCTAAATAATAAATATCCGTGGGGAAAGGATTGTATAGTTTGTCATATCCGTCGTTCTGAAACTCAGGAACACTTTTATCTCCACCGAAAAGGGGCAGCTCGTGTGGCGGTCCGTCGGCGGGATCATACTTCCTTGCATGGCCATAATCAACGTAGAGGTACGTCGTGGGTCGCTCCGTACGCGTGAAATGTTTGACCGACCCACTAAAATCCCGCTTCATATCTTGATCGATTGGGTGGAACAAGTCGGGGAACATAGGATTGGGATCCATCATGACGTTCAGCACCATAATATCTCTTGTTCAAGGCGTTTGTGCCATTGATAGACGTCAAGGACATAGTACACATACCGATGTGCCACGTGGTTGTCATGCATGAAATGTAATCCCTGTGTACAATCCAGCTCGACGTTAGGTTACAGCTAAGCTAAGCGGCGCATTGACATACCTCGAACATTTGACGAAAAAATTCGATACACTCTCCTACGGTCTCAAAGCGAGGATCGTTGAATTGCCGAAGAAAGGGCATTACTATGATGAGAGTATCATCCTCGTTTGGATCCTGTAGAACTTCAATAATCTGTACGCAGTGATTTCGTGCATCGGCGCTGAGCTGTTGCGATGAAAAGTACTGTCCAATTTCAGCCTCATGCGGATGTACTTCTTTTGACGTCTTCTTGAGCATTACCAAGCGTCCATCAGATTTACGGGTAGCATCCAGAATGGACGGATGCTACAAGTCATTGAGTTTCTGTGACTGTCAACACGATGAATGACGAACGTGCAGTGCCTGTCCATCTTCGCAGGTATAGAACCACTTCTTGGTTCCTTCCCACGACGGTCTCCAATCTGGGCTATATCTTGGACGTAGCAAATAACCGTGTTTCTCAAGCCAGGGTTGACGATCTCGCCAATAAAGTTCACTCTTATGGAGGCATCCGGGAACCCGTCTCGGAGGAGCATCTCCTTGAGCGGAGTCGACACTCATATAAAGGAAGCGTAAGAGTGAAGCAAGGATGAAACGAACTTTGGGTGACTCGGGGAGAGGAGCCAATATGCTCAATTCGCGTCAACAACGTCGGTCCTTGGAACAGGCGTTAAGCACGTGTGGGGTACCACATGCCCACCGAGAGGACCCCGGAAGGCTATCTTCGCGCCTACGCTGAGCGAGTCGAAACTGGCTGCGTGTGACATCAAGCACCAGTATGCATCAGCGATTGTTGTGGTTCTGTGTTGTTGCTACCTCACGATGACAATATTCTCTCAAGTCCTTCCAACCGGGAAGAAGCTACATTCATTGTTCCCGACATCTACAGGCATGATACGCGTGTGCAACACGACCTGAACGACAATTGCACTGCGTATAAACACCGGAACAGACGTGTTGTTCTCCTCCTGGGAACTGTACGTGAAGGAGCCTTCCGATTGCTTCTAGACCAATGCAGCGCGCCGTGTCCTGCCTTCGTCAGTGCCGCGCCTGTCAGCCTGTGCTATTGTTCCTCGTGTCTCTGCGGATGACTACCGACTGATCGCACTACTTCCGCACATTTCCGACCATGAAAGATATTTAGAGATAAGCACACCGTCTTTGACCTCAGTCGTACACCCCATCTCTTTTCATCATGTCTTCCGATATTGCTGAGGAAGTGCTCAACATTCTCGATGCCGCTGCTGATGCCGCGACTATAGTCTCTGCAAGCAAGCCTGCAGCTCGACTTATCATGAATATGCTTCCAAGCACGAGACTTAAAAGGGGCGACCAATATCAGGAGTCTACGCTTCGGCTCCTAGAGGCATCAAGGAAAATCATGTCACCCGCCGTTTTCGAGGAGCATTTTCACAAATTTGAGAAGTCAGTGATACGTCCTCTCCTTCTCTGTATGTTGGCTGATCTGTCTCCAAGCATATGCGATACGAGGGAAACGCTAGTGGCCGATGACATCGTGCAATCAATCAAGATACGCGGGGCTATTAAAAAGTATAAGAAGAGGGCTAAGACTCTACACGAGAGCATGACGGTGGGTCCGTTGCTAAACCTGTTATATCATCTTTAATAGTCCACCGTAGGTCTCGTCGCAACAGGCCAGACGAGCAGCTCTCCGTTATCTGCATGAAGCTGCCTCTTCTAACAATGACGCTGTATCGAAGATGGATGCACTGATGCTTCAAGAGGAGACCTATCGCGGAGCGGACAGTCATGGTACGTCTCAATAGTATCCGAGGTCCTGTTGGTCTGCGACCTGTAGTTCAGATGAGGACGCCCAGTCCATGGATATCACAGAAGAACGCAGTGTATACTGTCCCACCGCCAGCACGCTGACGTTGAACGATCCATTCCGGGAGACCGCATCCGTCGTTGTGCAGGATCCACATGACGTCTCGATTTTCCGGTGCAACGTCTGGGAAGACGATGATGATGCACAGACCTCCGGGCGCACCACACCTACCTCGTAATGCATGCGATGCGCCACTATACTATTCAGGATGGTGGAAAACCCGCGCCTCAGATCATGTGTAGTCTTTACGTTGATATTTATCTGGGAAGATAATGCTGGCCACTCTATAGTTGATATCCACATTCCTTACTGTATTGATAGAGCGTCTCCTTGTATGTATGTTATAGTACGCTTTGGTGTAATTTAGTCACGTCCTCAGCTGAGGGCATATCCGATCGTGGAACCACGCCTCCTTCATGGGCCACTGATCGAGTGGACCCACAAAGTACAAACAAGGCTAAACAAGTTCTAAAACAGGATTAATTGTTGTTGTTTGGCTGTTGTCCCTGTAGAACGAGCGCTATGATCAACTTGAAGTCGTATGTTGTGTGAACGAGGACGGACTCAGAATTGGTGGCCACCATAACTACTCACCGACTAATCATTCTTAACGTGACAAGTCGTAGCCGGAAAGTTAAAAATGGTATCAATTTGCACTCAATCACTTCGAGATTTCCGTAATTATTCTGGACTGGAGTCACTTGAGGTGGGTTTCACTTCTTTTCAAGCCTGCATTTTCTCGCCTTGTTCACAGACCTGCATATAGCAAAAGCGTAAAATCATCAATGCATTCATGATCAGATTCAATACGACATTTGAACTAGTGGCTTAAATCGAAACCGATGAGGCCTGTGGCATCATTGTCTCTTGTAGATGGTATGCGACCGCAGTGCTAGAACGCAACAAGGTGAGTGACTGCACTCAACGACGAAGAGGGGATATCCGAGAATTGACGTCGTAGGACGGCAGTACCATCCGAATGTGGTCGATCTGCACCTTATTTTTGACGGCATCTTGGCCTGCCCATTACCTCAAGGGATCTATCGTGATGCCACGTTGATTTGGGCCGCATCAATGTTCACTGAAGCAGCAGGTCGGCGATCTTCCAAGCGACCTAAAGTTAGACCGCGACGATCAGGTCGTCGGCACGACCTCGCCTTGTGAACACCTTGAACCGGCTCGGGGTAATTTAGTTCATGTTCCCCGCCATCTCTAAGCGCCTCTTCACAACAGCACGATGTCTGAGACTCCTCCGCAGGCGGCCGGAATAGTCCTTCGCCCAAATAGACCCATTGTCACTCGACCACGTCCTGCCGTGACTCTGCCACGAAAAGGTTCAGCCGTCGAAGCCATCCACATCTAGGCTTTGTCGCCCTTGCACCATGGCTTGCGATTCCCGTAGGAAGCAGGAAAGGATCACGGCCTTGGTAAGCGCAGTACTCCGTAAATTGCACGCGACTGGAACCGGCGTGTTCGAACCGAGACTCATGATATCTGCACTGCTGACGCCAGCTTGTAGCAGGGGTGGGGGGCAAGTCTGAATGAGCGGGAAGCGGATCGTAGATCACGGTGATCCAATTGTCAAGCAACGTCTGGTCGATGAACACCTCGGGTACTGGCACGAATCACGGGAACCGGCAGGAGAATTCCTTTAAGCAAACCAAGTGAACATCCAAAGGCCTTACACTTGCCGCAGACGGTGACTGCCTTACGATCCTAGATACACATCGCTAGACAACCAGGGCAGCATCAAGCGATTCTCATACAATCCGTATGAACGCATTTTGATGCAGGTCAAAACGTCGTTCCAAAGGTTTCTATAGAATGAGAGCTTAGCATATCTCGAAAGCTTGCTTCTCGATAACCGTGATTCGCGTGCGTCTTAAGAGCTGCACTGGCAGGTCTCGGCGTTACGGGAAGCAGGACGCCTCCATACTACAACGTGAGTACTTCCGACTGTTGCTGCACTTTGCCCACCACGAGTGTGGTGGTTATTTGAACCAATAGTCTGACCTGCTATACCCTGAATCCTGTGAGGTACCACGCAGGGACGGAAGAGGCTTGACAAGTGAGCTATTTACAGTAGAGGCATCAGCCACTCAGATACACGAGATAGCTAGCCAGGTAGCGACGACAGACAAGAGAGAGTTGGCGGAGAACTGCTTCCCTGCCTTTGATGGTTTCTTTAGACGCCATTTTGTCATGACCTAGAGCCGCAAGTGGTACTCCTGCATTAGTTACAACGAGATCCGTATGGTATAACAAAAGCCGCCCCTTCTCAGGGACATCAGTCCTCAGTTCACCAGGCGAAACCGCCGTCCCACGGGAAGGCTGCCTACAATACGTCATAAGCTGTCCACAATTTGAGCTGCTTTATATTCAGCGCAGAAGAATAGATTTAGCAGTTTTCACCCATGATTTACTGTCGGAGGTTTCAGTGCAGCACTTCGAGGGTTGGTAACCCAGAGAGAAGTCTGGAAATAACGGAGATAAGTAGTGACCTTGTGTTACCACGATTTCATTTGACGGGACGTGTAACACAAGCTTGAATGATGTGTGATAGTTATCTATCAACTCGGGTCTGGACCAGTCGCCGCCCTGCCCAATACTAGCGATACGACTGCCAGGGGCGGCATCCGGGTCGTTAGACATCTACTGCCGGAGGAACTGAGCTCGGCCCCGTTCGACCTGCTCTTTGACAAGGCTGGACCTGAATTCATCCCTCTTTCCCCAAGTTTCCTCGAGTATGTCCACCAAGTCCTGTCTGTCCTCAGCGAGGAACTGTAGCGAAAGGTCAATGGAGATGAAGAAACTGTCTGGCATGCGACTTACAATCTCCTCCACACACCGGTAAGCACTATTCAATGCCCCGATCAACCAGCTATGGTGTCCGTGGTCAGCGCATTGTCTCCCGAAATAGGGAGCCATACTCACGCGTGATGAACACTCGTCGCCTCGCCAGCAAAATGCAAGAGACCTGCAGGCGGTTTGGTTAGCTCAGTGTAGAGCGTGTTGAACTGCGATGGCCCGAAAAGTGCGAATGCGCCTGCGATGATCGGGTCATCAGCACGAGTGAATATGGAGATAGGTCCCTTCTCGCACCAATTGAGTATTCGTTATTGTACCAGGGCCAGACGTCGTATGAATTCTCATCGGCCATCCAGGAGCGAAGTTGTTCGGCAGTCAAGTCGTTTCCATGTATATCCGCGAGATCCTTCAAAATGACGTCCACAAGAGCCCTCTCGGCATCCGAGCCATTGCCGTGCGCGAGAGCGCCAAAGCGTAGCGCATCTTGCGACCAAGTGTAGCTGACGATCATAGTACCATCATCGCCGCCGATGCCGTACGAAGGGTAGACAACCACACGTGTGGGTCTGTCGGACGAGGAGGACCCGCCTGATTGCAAGAAAGGCGACTGCTCCCACCACCTGTACGAGAACTTGATAGCGACCTTCACGGAAGCGTCGTAGTGCAAGGCCCGAATGGCCATCTGGATGGGCCAGGATAGACCGCATTGGGTGGTATCGACCAATCCGAGACAGGAAAGCGGCATGGTCGAAATGACATGATCATAGGTATATGACTCGCCTCCAGCAACGGTCACATTTATCGATGTGGGCGTATCCGTGCTCTCGATCAGCGGTGCGATGGCTGTGACGCGCTTTCCTCGCAATATGGTCCCAGGCTGAAGACGAGCGGCCATTCGGCGAGCGATCTCTTCCGAACCACCTCTGATAGGTGATCAATGTGTAATCACTGTTACGACTGATAAGATGCAACGTACTGTATACAATACCACGAGGGATCCGATGGATTGTCAAAGTCAAGGGCGTCCATTACGCTCTCGCTCAAGGCGCAATCGTACAGATTCGTACCAGTCTGTAGCGTCTCGAGGGTTGTGATGACCTAGACCATCGCTGTGAGTACCATGATCGTGTTGCCGCGATGACGTGGGAAATAACCTGATCTGTGTAGTTCAATTCAATCCCGGACGCTGTGTACGCGGTCTTCAACACGAGGTTCATGTATGCGCGGGTGGAGTACTGATCATATTCCATCAATTTCTGCCACCCGCTCTCGAAGTCTGTAGCAAGCGCGTCGATGAAGGGGCCCAATGCCGCCTTGACATAATCGTCTGCATGACTGGCGAGCCCAATGTTGAATGGGTCCACAAGAGCGCTATCCTTTACCTCCTGCGCCGTCATCCGAATGCCATTATAGTACAGGATGTTGTGTTCGTCATTGGATAGAATGTAGGGGATCAACAAGCCATCATCTGTGATGCCGAGGTTATCGAACAGGTCGAACACAGGCTTCATGAAATCGATCTTCGGAAAGCGCATCGCACCCCGGTCCTGTATAGTAGTGACCAGAATTGATGAGCCCGGATCCAAGCGGGCGGCGGCCACTGCACTCACGTAATAATCGTTTGGCGAATCCGAGAACTTGTAAGTCCACAGCCGACCACCGACGTGGTCGTTGTCCGGCTCGGCCTCGAGTATCTCATACGTGTAGCCGTACTCCTTGAAGCCTTCAAGAATCATGGCCGCATACAGGCCGGCAGCACCCACGCCCAGAATGCCGACCTTCAGAGGCTCACCAGAGCGGCGCGGGATAGGCGGGAGGGGGAAGGCGGGAGGGAGGGGCGCGCTCCAGGGCTCTCCCGGCATGCGCACGACAGGAGGTGGGACTCTGAGCTGCCGCTCGAGAATCTCTCGTGCGATTCTGTCGCGGATGGAAGGCATGAGTCGTATGTGCTCGATGAATGTATCTGACTAGCAGAGTGCGGGATAACCGTGCTTTGCGTGCGCCTTAAGTGCTGCATCGGCAGGCCTCGACGTCATCGGAAGCAGGATGCTTCCATATTATAGGGCGAGTACCCCCGACTGGTGTTTAACTTCGCCCACCACGAGTGTGGTGGTTCTTTCTTCCATGAAGATAGGGACGATGACGTTTTGACAGGGCATACCTGTTCCAGTCATGTCATCGATATCAATTGTGCGAATGACCATTTTATTATTGACGCCGTAAGCGTCGCGGCTGCAAAGAAGTCAGCAGCTACAGAGACCTTCGCCACCCTATCGAGGAAACAATACCCCAAGGCACTCACGTGGATGGTTGCCGAGGTATGGAAGATGTCCCTAGCACCGCACGATGCCAAACGTATATGATGTCTCAAATGCCGTTCTGCGTCCTGCCACGCTTCGCTGTAAGTATGAGCCAACAGTCTGATCTGCTACACGCTGCGTGCTGTGAGGCATGGCGTAGCAGATGCAATGGGCTTGACAAGTGAGCTAGTCAGTGTGAAGCCATCAATCGTTATACATGAGCAGAACCCCTAGGCTCCAAACCCCAGATTGTACTTCCAGGAGGCTGACCAAGCAGTAACAACAGACAAGAACGTGTTGACAGGCAACTTGGTCTGCGAAGTCGCCCTGAAATGTAACACCACATATTCAATCGTCTGCGTTTGATCCCTGCCGATGCTTCCCTGCCTTCAGCGGGTTTTCAGACGTCATTTTGTGTAGCTTGGAGCCGCAAATGATATATCTGCATCATTGTAGACTAGATCCCTATGGTCTAAAAAAGGCCGTCACTACTCAGAGACACCTATAAACTCTTCAGTTCATCAGGCGACACCACCGTTGCACGGCAGGCTGCTTACAGTACGTCATAAGCTCTCCACAACTTGAGGTGTTCCAGCCTGCACTGCGCGCAGACGAACAGAGTTAGCATAATGCAAAACGAGTTTTACTTATGATTTCCTGCCGTACGCTCCCAATGAGACAGCTGAAGCCCTCCAGAATGTAACCTTGATGACACACCTATATGACATCATCAGACAACTGAGCAGAAGTTGAGCACAACAGCTTCAGACACACCAATGTGGCACAAATCAACTTGCTTTCCGACCCCAAAGTAGCATCACAAACCAAAGCACTGAAGCATCGCACACGGTTGATACGAGCACTAACGTGAAAGTTTGAGAATACAAAGCAGGCGTTGATTGCATCGTGAAGTAAACTAGTAACACTATAATCTACCGAGCACCCCCCGCAGAAAAGCGCGACTACTAGCACACTGCTCAGCCTTCGAAGGTAAAGCTGGCACCGAACTGCAGCGCAGGTCAGCACATTAATGAGGCGCCCAAGATGGCATGACGTCACACAGACCTTGTGCGCGGGGCCAAAGGGTGCAACAGCGTTCAGTCGCTGTGTGTCGAGCGCAATACCAAACGAGGCGCGGACACCAGGCCGGAGCGCCTGCGTGTAGCCGAGCGAGAGGATCCCCGAGTTGTTGATCTTCGCCTTGACGAACGCAGAGCCGTCGAGGTAACTGTATGCATATATGCACCGTCAAAGATACGGTCGCAGTCGGAACAGATCTAGAGCGATGAGAACTCACGCCTTGGTGCCGACCTCGAGGTTCACACCCGCGGTTGTTGCCTTGGTGTCATAGACAGCCTTTGCGCCCGCCTCGACATCGGGGTTGACGCGGTGGTAGTAGCTCGCGGAGAACGTGCTCAGGTTGCCGAGACCGTGTAGCGTGACGGCGTACTCGGGCGCGCTGAAGCCAACCGCCGCGTTGTAGCGCGTCACCTTGCCCTCCGTTACGTTGTACGACGCCTCACCACCGACAAGGAAGCCATCACGGCCAATGACGGTGTCCGCGGTGAAAGTGGGGCCCTGCGATTGATCAGAGACGTGTCAATGGACCCGAGTACATAATGAGGGACGCGTGAGACGCGCACCTTGAATAGGTCGAGGAACGCGCGGCTGTGGAGGCCGGGCTGCTTGTAGGTGGTTGTGAAGAGCGCGCTCTTTGAGCCGCTGTCGGGTGTGAGCGCGGCGTTCAGGTCGAGCTTGAGGCCCTTGGCGATCTGGTTCTCGAGCTCGACCTGGGTACGGAGGATGTTGCTCGTCGTCCACGCCTGGGTGAACACGAGGCCGTGCTTGCGGTCGACGTACTTGCCCTCGAGATCACCGGTGATGGCCGCCGACTTGCTGTCGCGCGTGCCGCCAACCTTGAAGGCGACATTCGAGGGTGTGTTCGTCTTCACCTCGAGCGTGACGCCGTGGATGGGGAAGTCCCTGCTGAGCAGGTCGTTTGAGGACTTGCCAAGGTCCTGCGCGCGACGTGGCGTGTCAAGCGGGGAAGACACGCACGGCGAGCAGACTGACCTTCCAGGACGGGGGGACGGGCTGGGGGAGAGACATTGCGGAAGGCTTTTGGTGGTGACGGTGAAGCGTGAGGTGGTGAGCGCCGGGCGAATAATGGGGGAATTTATGCTCCGGGTGTGCCCGAGTGTGGGGCAGGCTGCCATTGGCCTGCCAGCTCACGTTCGTACGCGCCAGCCTGAGCGTGCGTCAGACCCTGCGCAGGATCCTTGGTTAATCCGTCTCTGCTCGCCGTGCTGCATGAATGTGTGCGGCCTATCCGGATTCGTTCTTTAAGAGCTCTCATGTCGCGTTCTCTGCGAAACACCCAAGTCGACACTGCCAGACTGTCGTCCAAGTGTCTGGATTGTTCAGACGCGCATGACCGTTGACGCGTCTGGGCAGCGGTAGCGCGTTCCGTCAGGTTCGCTCAACATCGGCCTTGTACGCGAACATTGGGTGATGCATACTACAAGTCTGCAAGTCCCCACAATAACGCGCTCAGCCCTGCATTCGCAGTCTCTCGCGCCTTCTTCGACGTACTCGTCGCTGTAGTCGCTTACATAAGCGCTCTCCATTAAATGCTTCCTCGAGCGTTGCGGCGGAGCACAATCAGATCCCTATCTCTCAGCCCGTCCTCGTCCGCGTCCCGTAGCCTCAGCACCATGGTCAAGTACATGTCCCCCGATGTGCGCTTGCCTGCTTCTGGTCAATACTAAGCTCACACTAATGCACTGCTTTCATACAGGAATTAGCGGCGCTTATGAAAAGCGGCAAAGTGCCGATGAAAGACTACGCCATCGTCGACGTCCGTGATGACGACTGGGTCGGTGGCAACATCAAGGGCTCACGCAATACCCCTTCGCACGTCTTTTTGACGAAGGTCGATGACCTGGTTGCGCAAACGCAAGAAGTGCCCATCGTGATCTTCCACTGCGCGCTCTCGCAAGTCAGGTATGAATGTTTACTAGCTGGCTTCTTTTTCTAAACCACCTCACCATGTTATCATAGAGGTCCGAGTGCGGCACGGGTGTGTGCTTTCTTCGCTCATCTATATCTACTTTGAACCTTGGAGTTGGCTCATCTTCATCCTAGGTATATTCAGAAACGCGAGGTATCATGCAGGCAGAAGGCCAAGACGGACCCCACGATGTGTACATCTTGCGAGGTGGCTTTCACGACTTCCAAGCAAAGTACAAAGCCGATCCTGACCTGGTCGAAAACTGGAAGGAAGAGGTATGGGGCAGCCAGTTACACCTATGATTTTCGCGTCGCAACTTTAATGGGCCTAGGGTCAGGCGGAGCTACGTCATGATCATTCACGCTATTATCACTATAATACAGATGTAGCCTTATGTACCTTACGTAGATGTGCTGTTATATACACGCTTCAGGATTGTTCGATGGTGGACTGTGCACTTTCATTGCGCCGTGCTATGTGTAGCGCGGTCGGACAGAGCCAAGCTTAACCCGAAGTTCATGACTGAGGACCTGGCGGCAAGGGCGACTGGTCATCATGCTTCTTCGTATGCCGCTTCGGTATCTGTTCAACGACCTGTTGTATCCGCCTGCGCTCCTCCTCCATGGACTTCCGGCAGATTGTCCTGCGCAAACCGTACGTGAGACAAACCCGACGACCAGCAACTTGGCACGCACCATGTACCCATGGAAATGAGCACGAACGTCCCGACCGCCCACTGCGACGCCCAAAACGGTCCTGCAAGAAGCCCTCCCCTCAGTCCACCGCACGCGCCGTGTATACACACAGAGCAAGGAAACATACGCACCCGCGGACATCCCACGGATGACCCCGACGCCCGCGCCGCTCGCGATCCCGCTCAGCAAACTATTCCGCGCGCACGGTATCTCGCCGATCTTCTGCACGTCATCCCATAGCGATATTCTCTGTCTTGCGCGGGCCGCTCAGCGGGCCTGTAAGAAGACGGGAGCAGGACGGAGGGGCGCACCTTGATGGCCTCTTTGACGTCGGACCAGTAGCTCCCTGTCGTCTCGGTCTGGAAGACGATCTTCTTGTTTGACGAGGAGGACGTGGTTGGCGTGGTTTCTGGGTCTGAGGACGAGCTCATATTGCTTGAGTTCGGATAGGAGCTGCCCGGACGAGAGTCTCACCCGAGCCTCGGGACTGCAAGCATTGGGCGCCCGTCATATGCCTGACGCGATCACGTGGAGGGGATGATTGCTGTGAACGGTGAGAACAGCGTGCACCGTCACTATATTCCCCCCAAGCCCAAGTGCTGTAGGTCAGTGTGTACTCACGCCATATAACTGCGTAGGCACCTCCAAACATTTATTTTTTCAGAGCATCACGATGCGCTTGATTGAGGTCTCTTATCCTCCCGAGTCTCGAGGTCCGTGATCAAATCATAGACTACCTCTGGGACGATACCGCCGCGCTCATCGCTTGCTCCTTGACCTGCCATGCATGGCATCTCGCTAATCAGCACCAAACTCTCGACAGCTCGCTCACGGTAAGCAAGTGCTGTGCTTTGACGAGCTGGGCACCTTTTGAGACCGATTCCCTCACATCACCATCACAGCGGGCGTCCGCCGAGTAGTCGTCATGCTCACGGGCACCATTACCTCTGGAGCTTCAGTTATCTTGGCACGCCCTGCCTTTCGCAATCGTTGTGCTTAGCCGAGGACTCGCTTGATGCATTTGTCGCTCCACCACTCCCCACAGAGTGGAGACTGCCGGATCTGTCATCCAACCCCAAACTGCTTTAAAAGTTTATCTTGGGAACGTGGTCGCCGTACGGCAGCGCACTGCTCTTGAGCACTGCGAAGACGCATAGGCCCTTCGCGCACATCTTCGTTGCTGTAGATGCCTCTCTCTAGCTATCGTTTCCTGCACTGCGCTCTTGCAAAAGCCCATCCGGGCCTCGAGATTACATTACTGCGTCAAGTTGCGCCTGAACTATTTGGACTTGTGGTGGATACCATCAGCTTCAAAGGATTGCTCGGAGATGTGCGAGAGTGGATATCATTCCGGCGAGTTTCCGAGGTATGAAGGAAGTCTCGTTGTTAGTTTTGGTATGTGTCTGCGCTCTAGGATCGCTCACTGGAGAACATACCAAATGTTTGAAGTTCGGATACCCAATGTCTGTTTGGCCTGTGCTCGGACAAGATCGTACCGAATTCGTTTTGTAAAACAGTTCCGAGTCGTTAGCGCTGGTCCGCTAGTCCCTTCTCACCTCAGGCCGGAAAGTGATCATGTACTGCATGATTGAGAGCACCGTGCTTCCGGTGCTTTGCTTGGGACTTGTGTGATACAGCACTCTGCTTATAGCCTCCTCCACGTTCGGTGGCAGACACGTGTGATTGTGAGCACGCAGTTCCCTCTATCCGGACTCTGGTTTATTCGGGCCTTTCCCATCAACCACCCGGTGAGTACGCGGTATATGGGACTGAAGCTTGAACCACCGGACGCTGAGAAATTGCCAGACGTGGTAAGTCCAGACCTTAAACGTCAAGTTTGGCGTGGAGGAAGCCGCAGCCATCCGTTTTTAGAAGTGTTCTCTCGACCTTCGGCCTCGTTGCGCATGGTTTGACACCTGTCAGGCTTATTTACATACTTCATTACGCGTTCTTGGTGGCTGTCTGACAACATGCCTGTAGACCTGTACGTCTTATAAGCCAGCCTTGACGCCAAGCAGCTTGAGTTCCCCTTCTCCCCAGACCTCCACCGGTGCTACCTATTGGCTGTATGTCCTTAGTGAGTTCTTCGTTGCATCATCGTGTTAGGCTCGTAAAGCAACGCGGGCGAGCAACACGAGCGTCTCTGCGTTGTATCTTCTATTTCAGTTCGTGTTATTTACGCCCGAAGCGTTTCGTCGCGCAAATATCGACCTAGTCAGATCATACCGGTCGGATATATGTTTTTTTAATCCTCTTCTCGATATCCTCGTCCTTTCCAACGTCTGACGGCCTCATTCTGACGCGCTGCGCTTACGCCTCTCACGCCGCCAGCCCCTGCTTAGCGGCGTAGTGACGATAATCAACGGGCACCTCAGTGCGTCTCAAAAGGATTGAAGCTTGCCTGTACGTATTCATATTCGCAGATAAGGTGAGTTGTGGTAACGTCAAAACCTTCGAGATTATAAGACGAATCGTGATGTCTTTCTGAACGTACATAGCAGCATGCGCGGGGGTGCAATGTCAAAATGTCCGCCCGAAGTATTCGATCACATCATAGATTATCTATGGGATGATCAAATCGTTCTGAAGACTTGCAGCTTAACATGTCGGGATTGGCTTCCCTCCAGCCGCTATCATCTCTACAGTGCGCTGGATATCAACTCGAACAACCAGCTCACCAAGCTACAAATATTACTGGATCATTCCCCCCATATTTGCGAATTCATTCGCGAGATACATATCGCCGGTATTGACCGAAGATGCAGTGCTTGGCTTCTTGCGCTCTCCACTAGGCTGTCCCGCCTGGAGTCCCTTACGCTCAAATTCTGTCTTCTGCGTTCCTTCGCCGCGGACACCTTCAAGCTACCCTTGCCCACGTTGTTCCCTGCTCTTCGGAAACTCATTATTCGTAGCTCATCATTTGACCGTGAATGCCTGCCCCGAATGTTGTTTGCGCTTCCTCAACTTAGTCATCTAGAGCTCAAGGACGTCTGCTGCATGAAGCACCCCCTCGCATCCCTCAGCAGGCCGTCGTCTTCGGAGGCTACGGACCAGACAGTCTATTTGGAAACCTTGCGGTGGGATTTTGTGCCCGACGATCTAATTGAATGGCTCCTGTGGGCCCGTTGGCCCACCCGCATTCGTACCCTAAACCTGTTGCTCAACACCGCGATTGCACATGGACAGAATACCGTCGATCGCCTGTTGGAAGTTGCAGGGGGTTCGTTGGAGAATCTATCGCTCTCTCTGGGTGTAACGTGCCGCTACAAGCCGTTGGACCTCTCGCGGAACCCGGGTCTTGCTTCACTGCAGCTAGTTCTCTACGCGCACGCGCCAGATCCGGAATGGTTTGCGTGGGTCACCGCCGCCCTCATGGACATCCCACCCATTCACCGATCTCTGAAACATGTCCACATCTCCTTTCAACTTTACGAAAGTATACAAGACCACTATCAAATTGTGACGCAATGGCCCTGGGCAATGCTCGACCGCGCACTTTCCGCGGTTACAATCAGACACCCGAATGTTGTACTCGACATCGATTTCCCTGGGTGTTCACGGAAGTGCATTGAATCCGTGGTGGGGTATGCTCGCGCTCAGTTGTCCAGCATCTGGGCAAAAGCGAGATTTCCCGATACATAGTGGATAAACGGTGCGGTCGTTACGCGTGAGTCTTCCGCTCCGCATTTTTAACTAGCCTCGTTCTCATACCAGACCAATTTACCCTATGGTTGCTCAAGCGTGATTTGTCTGTAGGCTGCGCATACACCTTGTCGTAACACAGATCTTTAAGAGTGACATCATTCTTGGACCAACAAGGGCCAACAATTTCGAAATCTTCAGCTGATGTGCATCAAATCACCGCGGACCTTATAAACTCAATTTCTACATGTTCTCACGTTGCGCGTTTCTAACTTCCCTACCGAGACTTATGTACTGCGCTATTTGTCAGGTGGTGCCCACGTGTGGAGTCAAGTCTTATCGAGCGGCCTCAAGTAACAAAACAGACATTCAGATGCATTAAAAGCGTCGTGTAACACATCCGTTGCAGTACATCGTGAGCAAGCGACCGCACGGTCCGCGTCGTAAAAGGTAATAGTACAGTAGTAGCCACTACGAAATCTCAGTGCCAGAGTATAACACATTACCTGAGAGTAGACTAAACACCCAAAGAGCAAAGACAGGAAGGCGGTGGCAGATACGTGGGGACAGACAGTTTAATACCGCAGGCGCAAAGAGCGATTATACGATCTCGACGCCGGCGATGGGCTTTTGACGTTCCGCGGACATGGCCCTTTCGTGGTGAGCACGTGCTCTCGCATCTCTGCCAACAGGTGTTAGAAGTTCGTCGAGGCGATAGGGACGGACGAGGACTTACGGCCGATTGAGCAGGCTCTCCGCACCCGTGAAGAGGAACGCGTCGTAGATGAAGGTACCAACTACACGTGGACAGATCAGAGAGGAATGACGGGAACAAAAAGTTCCACTCACCCAACGCGCCAACGAAGGGGCCAATAATTGGACACCACAGCCAGTATTGGCTGCATCCGGTGAAGTCAGCGTCTACACATGAGGCAGATGAGGCGGCACATACTGTCGGAAATTGAATACTGCGGGTGAGAAGTTAGAAGCGCGGCGGTGATATCGTGGAACTGGAACCCACCTTCTCTGCCGTAGCCAACCATCGCGGTAAGAAGTCTCGGGCCAAAATCACGCGCGGGATTGATTGCGTAGCCTGTGTCCTCCGGTCAGTGAACACAGCAGCGTTGTGAGAGTAGACCAAGAGCTAACCCGTCTGCATCCCCAAAGCAGCACCGATACCGAGAATAGTAATGAACAGAACAAGTGGAACCAGGCCGGGCGGCGGAGGGCCGTTCTTGCGGTCGGTGATGGCACAAACAACGATCAACAGGAATGCCGTTCCAATGAACTGTGGAGTACGGTAAATTTGCTGTGGATCACAAAGTGTACTATGATAGGAGACTGACCTCATCGAACCAGCAAGAAACGGGCGTCATGTAATCAGCCTACGCCAGGGCCAGGCCAGTCAGTTCCATCGTCCCGCTCGCACGCTCTCGAGAGGCTAGGTCTACTCACCGCATACGTCGAAAATAGACTCGCCGTCCCTGGAACGGTCCGGATGTGCCGACCACCCTCGAAGAGGTCGATGGCGTGGATGTAGTTGGCGTAGATGATACCAGCACCGCACAGCGCACCCATGAGCTGCGCAAACATGTAGATTGGCACCTTCCTCCAGGGAAAATCGCGGAAGGTCGCGAGCGCGAGGGTAACGGCGGGGTTGATGTGCCCTCCGGAAACGCCGCCGGAGACCCAGACGCCCAACGCGGTGCCTATAGAAGGAAGACGTCAGTCGGGACCGAGAGCGGCGACGGCCAAGGCTCGAAGATAACGCACCGACTGCCCATCCGAAGTTCAAAGACAGGTAGTCCTGGCAGGAAAGGTGTGAGCACAAGGTAGGCGAGTGAGAGGGATGAGCAAAGCCTTACTCCTTTCGGGGACGCCGAGACTTTGGTGCTCGTAGACAGTACCGTTTGACAGTCGACACCATTGCCGAAGATAATGAGGATCATTGTGCCAAAGAATTCTGCTGCAGGCTCTCGGAGAACCTCCCTGAGACGATGGCGTAAGCGGCCTTGATGTTGGAGAGCATGAGGGATAGGAAGGACAAGGGGGAGGGGAAGGGGAAACGGAGAGGGACGGGGAAAGAGCATGGGGGGAGGGAAGGGGCGCATACCTGACTCTGGACCATCTGTTTGGATACTTGGTGTAATGTATCGTGGTGCCATCACTGTCGGTCGTGGAGGCACCATCCTCAATCATAGCGTCAGAGTTTTCGACGTGCTCGGTGGATGCCTTGTTGGAATTATTTAAGGACCGGCGATGCTTGGGATTGTCTTTAAGCGAGGTGGAGGCCATCTCGTGGTCACGTCCGACAGTAGGCGCCATGATAGAAGCAGGGGAATCGGGATGTGCGCTGGCCGAGAACGTCGCCAAGAATGCGTAATTTTATGTACGCAGCCGACCGGTCAGAAACAGAAGCGGAGACGCAGCTAAAGACCGGGACTGTTAGGTAACGCGAGAGGAATGGTCGACCCCGGGACGCACCACGGACTATGCGTCGTTATAAGGCAGAGGGAAAAGGCTGCAGATGGGAGAGGGCGTCTTGGAGCCGGCCCCATGATAGCGACATAGGAGAACATGGATGAGCTATGAGCTTGTTCTGGGTCGGGCTTCTGTTCGATCAGTACGATCGAGATGGGGTTTCAACTGGCTTGCCCTCGGCACAGCCTACTCCCGCCCTTGGCCAAGCCCATCCGCGCCCTGCGTAATAGTACGTGTGTGGTGTCGTCGTCACCCCTGCCAGTAGCCAATATTCGGCTCAAATCATGTAATAGAATGCCATGCGCTCTATCGCACTGACATAAGAGAACAGCTGCATCATGAATCACCGCGCGATACCGCGCCTGCGGAGAGTCATATGCCCGCAGACCCTTCGGTTACGTCGCTTCTATCTTGCAAGTCCGTCGGATGCGGCCACAGGCTTTGCCGCACCGTTGGCGGGCATGAGCAGATCTATCTGAGTGCCTCAGCCACTGATTGGGCCATGCCAGGGGTCCCTGGTGTGACAACATCTGTAACGTAGGATGGCGGTAATTCAGTTCTTCTCGCGGGGCGCCCACCGTTTTTGGTAGTAGCCCCAGCCCCGACTGATCCCGCAGCCACCGCCGATCAACGCCACCAAGCCGATGTTGAAACTTCGATCTCGATTCTCATTATTATCGAGCACTTGCACGAGCACCGAAGTGGTTGTGACTCTACAACGGGCAGCTTGATAGACATCCGCACATGGTGGCTAGAATACGAGTCACTAGGTGTCCAGACGTCCATCCTTCAGCTTCATCCCACATGACGCTGACATCGGCCAACAGACTATAGCCTTTTTTCAGCCAGGTGACGGACCTTGTCACGCTCCGTTCATCACGGGTGCCACACGAGACAGGACCCCGGGACATATTCCCAAATGTAGACCTGCTTCCACCCGCCAACCATATTGCCGTGCCGACCACCGCCCGGGACCGAGTGAAAAACAGCTGCCAACGGCGCAATAGGGGGCGGAGAACGCTGGCGGCGCTGGCACCCACAACAAATCGTCGCTGACCGTCCATGCGATCGACCCCTGATGCGCTCGCAGGATCGATCAATACGAAAACGAAATACGTGCCTCGCAGTGCCTGGCCATCCCGCAGCTCGCTCTCGCCAGATTCGCTGATCCCGAGGCCGGTCGTCTGATCCAAAAGGCAACTTGCCCTGACCCCGCGCCTAACCCCACTGCCTCCTATCCTCGCGATAGTTTGTGCGGGCCCCCGCGGCGCCCCACACTCACTGCAGAAAATAGCAATCAACCCTCCACGGGGTGTCATGCACGCCGACACCTTCACAAAAGAAATAGAATCAGCATTCTCTAGAATACGGCAGCTGATGCTTCGGAACCCGGGTGGCGTTTGTCGGCCGCAAAGAATTGACCTTGGCCTACCGGCACACGCCATGTACCCGGTTGACCGACGGTGCGCTCGTGAATTGTGCGTGATGAGGTCGGTGCGACGCCGCCGATGAACAGTGTTGTACGACCCTTGTCAAACCACTATGTGAATTATTTGCAAACGGACGCACCGATAGCATTCTGCATTCTGCAGCTCAGCCACCCACCTGACCTCATCATTCCAGACACTTCCATCTGGGCCCGGACGCAGGCCAAGCTACAATTAGCCTATAGCACTCCAGGATAAGGGGCATCTGACACTTCTGAGCCTTCAAAGATTACAAAAATAACGAGCTGCCAGTGGAGTGCACGCAACTGACGTACAACCGAGACTTCGAGCCACCTGCAATCGCCAAGCTGTCGCCGATAGTACATGATATTCATCGTGAGCGTAGCAAAGTACAACACCAAAAAAACAGAAGACAGCACAACACTACCGTGAAACCCTACAACCCCACGACCTCCACCAAGTCGCCATCCTCAAGGTCAGCAGCACCGATCTCCGACGCTGGATCCAACTTGTCTCCGTCAAGCATCAGACGTGGCCCCTCGGCAGGCTTGCCTTTCTTCCCCTTTCTTTTTTCCACAGTAGGTTCTGGGTACTGCTCAGCCAAGCCCGATTTCTTCAGGAACGCCTTGACGATGGCACCGCATGCGGTCGAGGGGCGGACGGTCAGGACAATATCCTTTGTCTTGCCAGAGCGCAGAGTAAGCCGGAACGTGTCAGACGCGGACTCGGCGCCCGTGTCGTCCGACTCTTCCGGAATGGGAGATGGAGCGCGTGCCTTAGAGCGCAAGTGGTCTCCAAGGTCAACGGGCTGCACAGACAGGGAGCGCTGGCGTCGGCTGTCCTGCAGGTACTCGTACGTCCTCACATCGCAGGCTTCTGTACTACGCATGAACCTCTCATGCACTTATTTTAAAAAAAGGAACGTCGAGAATGTCGTACCGAGTTCGGCCTCTGACCAGATTTTCAAGCTATGTGGTGTCGCAGATGGGAAGACGCGTTTGTTCTCATAGCTGACACGGAGATTATCACAAATAACCTGTGCAAGGTCGGCGGTTTCCGCAAACAATTCTTCAAAAGCAGCATGCTGATAGGATTTAAGCACAAGGTACCATTCAAGGGGAACCTACGCACCCTGTTGAGCTTGAAGCCCCACACGTCTGATCGTGCTGCAGGGTTCTGAGGATGAGGTATCCATCGAACTTTGACAGCTACAGTAGGTGGCCCGCCAGTATCCTGGGACGCGGGCGTCTCAAAGCTGTCTGATTGAGAGCGTATCTGTGCTCTTATGCGCGCTAGCTCAGGGTCTAATTCAAACACATCCGCTGACTCCTCCTCCTCATAAGTGGGGGATGGTGCTCGCGGGATAATGCCCATGATTTCGCTGAAGCATTGTTAGCAGAAAGACCCAATCATACGGGACGACTAAACAAACCGGATCGCATCCCGTGCATGTTGTAAAGCGTGTGCCGGAAGAGCGGGGGGAGGTGTTATTGATCTCGAACGACTCCTAGGACGTTTGTTGTTGCCATTGAATGGGCGAGCTAACTGTTCGACACCCTTTGCATTCGATGTCTGTGTCTCTATGCGTCGCCGGATCGCTTCCTCGTCCTCGTCCGATGATAACAGGCTATGAAGACAGTTTGTATCACATACAAAAAGTATCAGTAGTGTGACTGACTCATGAACGGCTGACGATCCCCGTGTCCACGCAGGCAGACTTTGCTCTTTATGGCCTTTCTTCTGATTCTTTCGACGGCGAGGGGAAGCAATGCCTTCCTCGTCACCCGAGCTGTCTGTCGTAAGTTGTATGACTTCGTTTTCTAGGGCGGGGGGCGTGAGCGAGTTGCACAGATGGATCAAAACAATCGTCGGTGGCTGTGCAGCACCTCAAAGCAGGGTGAATGCGCGTGCAGTTCATCGTAAGACGCAGAACAAATAATTATGCACACGTTTTGTAGAGCGGTCTGCATTCACACGCAAAGATAGAAACGCCAGTTGCACCGTAGGGCAGGAAACGTACCTTCGGTAGCTCTATTCAATTTCTTCCATGTTTGTGCAGTCCTATTTCGGTTTCGAATGAAGAGAGCATCCTCATCTTCGATAGTAAGGTCTACTACAGCAGAAACAGGAGGCGGTGAAGTCCCGACAATTGAGGATGGACCGGTGGACGAGGCGGCTGCAGTAGCGACCGTCAGGCGTCGTGGTTTCGGTCTCGGTCTCGGGCGCGTCGACATCGCGGTCACAGGGTAAAGGTAAAGCGTGGGAAACTTGCCTTTCGCGGTGAGGTCATAACGCGATCACGTGAAACTCATACGCGCCCTTGCCCGCGCTCAACTTCCACATCCATTATTGTCCTAGTAAAATTGCGACCATGAAGTAGGGGGGATATTCAAAAATACTTCTACACGCATTCATTTGACATTTTACACGGATATTGCAAGATGCAATATCCTCTGTAGCTCATCCTCAGTGGTGCTCCAGAACGCTCGCTCAACTATTAGAGTTGCCTAATTTGTAACATCTCGATCGCGCTACACGTGATTACGCAACCAAGGATTTTGTCTGCAGCGCCACATTCGAAGGCAACTTGTCTCATCCATCTCACTCATCGATTCTGCTGCGACACAACACAATAATGTCCAAAATATTCTCGCTTCAGGGACGAGGGCTCAAGCTCAATACACGCGCGGATATCGAGCCTCACTTGAAGGATGTCCCGACCACGATCGAGGAGATTCATTTGGGAGGCAACACGATCGGTGTCGAGGCAGCCCAGACTCTCGCCGAGTTTCTCTCGAAAACGACCGCCTTGAGAGTAAGCAACACCTATCTGACGCGTAGCCGCAACCCTCACACCCAATAACGCCGCAGGTAGCCGACTTCGCAGACATCTTCACCGGTCGTCTGATCAGCGAGATCCCGCAAGCCCTCTCCGCCATCTGCGACGCGCTCATCCCCAAGACCACCCTCATCGAGATCGACCTCTCCGACAATGCCTTCGGTGGGCGCTCTGTCGACCCCATGGTCCCGTTCCTCACCAACAACCGCGCGTTCCGGATCCTCAAGCTTAACAACAACGGCCTCGGCCCCGCCGGCGGCGCCATCGTCGCTAACGCGCTCCTCAAGTCCGCCGAGCTCAGCACCGCCGCTGGCGAGCGCTCCAACCTCCGTACCGTCATCTGCGGTCGCAACCGCCTTGAGGATGGTGCGGCGCCCGCGTGGGCTGCCGCGCTCTCCGCGCACGGCGGCCTCACCGAGGTCCGCATGCCCCAGAACGGCATCCGCATGGCGGGCGCTGCTGCTCTCGCGCACGGCCTCGCCGCCTGCGCTGACCTCGAGCACCTCGACCTGCAGGACAACACCTTCGGGGAGGCAGGCTCTGCGGCGATGGCGACCGCACTCCGCTCGTGGCCATCCCTCCGCCATTTGAACCTTTCGGACTGCGTGCTCGCGGACGAGGGGAGTTCGGTGTCGCCTGTGCTGGAGGTGCTCGTTGGCGGCTCGAACCCGAAACTAGAGACGCTCCTACTGCAGAACAACAACCTGGAGACACAGTCATACGCACTACTTGCAGAGGGCCTCGAAGTGCACCTTCCGGTGCTCAAGATGCTGGAGGTGCAGTGGAATGAAATCGAAGAGGACGATGAAGGGATCGCGGCGCTGCTTCGGCTCATGAAGAAGCGAGGAGGGAAGATAATTCTGGATGATGAGGAAGAGGAGGAGGAAGAGAAAGAAGAGGAAGAGGAGGCGAAGGCGACCGAAGTGGACAAACTCTCCAAGAAGGATGCGGCAGACAAGGAAGCAGACGAACTCGCAGACTTGCTCGGCAAGGTCCAGATCAAGTCATGATCCTCACCGTCTCATTTGTCGCTGGGTTCAAGGGGTTTTCAAGGGGATTGTATGGAAAGAGCCTTAGGCCACCACTGTATACCATACCACATTGTTGTTCTCATATCACATCAGCAGTAGCATACCAACATCCACCACGATCTACGTACAGTGTCCTTATTAGCATCCCTTCCAGTTCTTACGTTGTCTCTAGATTTCTACGATGTTGTGCTGTGAACGTGAATGAACACGTTTGAATATCGGTCTAGATCTATCTACTTCCTTGCAGCGATCCACTCCTGGGTCTCTTCTCGTGACTTGTAACGCGCAAAGACGTGTATATGGGCCAGACCGGGCACACTTTGAAGTCGCTGAAAATCTCGAATCAGCGCGTAGCGCCAAGACAATAGCGAATGTATACACTTACCGGAGGGTTTACGAACCATGCCGTCTCCCATTCACTCTCCTTCCACCGCATCTTCACAAACTTGTCGACATGCTCGCCCATCTTCTTCACGAGCGTCTCCTCTTCCTCCGTCCCGGGCGGTGAGCGCACGAGGCTGTCTAGAGTCACGCCCCATTCCGCCAGCGCCGGGAGGTACTCCGGAATCCGATCGGGTGACGGTGGCGGAGTGAGCGAGCCTGTGAAGCCCCAAAGGCCGTCTTGGAGCAGACGCTTCTCGATCGACGGTGGAAGCGCAGGCGGAAGAATGGGCAGGCGCGTCCAGACGAGCGTGTGCTCGATCTCAGGCGGGACGGAGTACGGCCAGTCGTTCATGATAATGCTGATCAGCCCTTGGGGTGTGTCTGCCGTGAAGTAGGACGGTGCTCCCGCTGGGATGAGCGGGAGCTCCCCTGGTGCGGTCTCCAAATTCTCTGCTGCTGTAGTGCCGTTCATACTAGGTATACCGTTGCTATGAGGCTCCGCATTATCGAGCTGAGAGTGTAGCATGGAAAGCGAATCGCGCTTTCCCCATTGCAGGCGATGTGTGAGCAGATAGTTCACTAGTTAGCAAGCAGGATGAGCGACCCATTTCTTTTCCAAGAAGAGCGCTCGCGGCTCACCCATACTGCCATACTGCTTCCTAATCCCTGCCGACCACTGATCATACCTCTGCTGTAGCTTCTTGTCCCTCTTGAGCAGGCCCAGATCCCTGCACGGCAGTACGATCGATCAACAATCAGCGTTGTTCTCAGGCACAGCAGCAATACCCAGAGTTGATGAAGGTCTTGAGCTGCTCCCAGGTGAATTTCGCCGGGTAATACACGAGCAGCTCCTCGCGCGTGGGAGGGCCGCTGCGCAGAGGGACATTTTCCGGCGTGAGGGCTGTAGGCAGTGTCGACGTTGCAGACATGTAGAGATACACTCGTGATCTGACGAGAGTCTCTGTATATTTGGAGGAGAGTCAAATTCAGTGGTTGTTGTATTGGAGAGACAAGATGAAGGATGTCAAATAATATTAATGCACCATGAGACCCGCCTGTATGTCCCCCGATCAATCTTGATCGGTGCCAGCGTTCCTTGACTGTGCCTGCCGCCACATAACGCTGAGTCGTCCCCAAGTAATCTCGAATAGCGCGATAATCCTACCAGAACACCGTATTCTCCCAGTACATGCTACCGGTGTATCGTACATTCTTCGCGGCCCGTTGACCTCGCGGGCGGTGCCAGCGTGATTTTGAAATGTCAACCTTCGATTCTCTACCTCAGCCTGGGCGTAGGCGTTTGTGGGAAGGTTTGTTATTCGTTTTGTAACTGTTATAGTAAACGCTGGATATAAACTTCACAAGCAATCTTCTGTCCGTATGCCAGTATGAACAACGCCTGATGATCTATAATTTACGCAGCTGTATCTGGGTGGACTATGACACTACAAGGAGCTGCTTGAGGGCTCTGATAGTACCATTCCGAGCTATAGGTCATGACAAGATGTCGTCTAGGTGACCCGCCAAACGCGGAGAAGCATCACCTGGGTAGGCACAGGAGGGCTGGCACGAACGGCGATCAGCTTCCAGGGGAAGTTCTCCGCTCAAGGTACACTTTTTGGTCTGTCGTTGCTGCTTTACCCACCTTCTTGAAGTGTCTGCCTGCCTCTATGCCGTGGAGGCCTCACTAGTCCACCTCGCACCTCATCGGCCATTCATTGTCAAGAAACAAAAGACAAGGCGGAATTCCAGCCCGTTAGCGGGTCCTGCAGCACACGCAAGGGAGGACTTGAGATTGCACGTCTGGAAATCGTATGGTATCGTACAAAGCGGCCAAGTTCGTTGACGTCAATCATCTGCAGAAAAACAAGGATTCCACTCTGCACAGGGTGCGCAACATCTTCGGGCGATGATACATAAGCAGGGTGGCTAAACATTTCTCGCTTGCTGACTTCCAGTACCACGACTATGACATCTTCTATTTTTGACAGATTATCCGCACAGATGATGATGGCATACCTGAGATGGCCATTCCCGTTCACATGCCCTCGTCTATGCCTTCTTGGAAGCAAAATCATCACATCCTAGTGGCCTAAGTTTGGCACTAGTCAGGGGTCCTCCGTGATGAACAGATGCCACTCTCAACACGCATATATACGTGAGCTGCGAACGCGTCTACATCGCGTTCTAGTTGTCATGTCCGACTCAAGCACAGATGAAGCCCAAATCCTCCAATCTGATCAGTACAGGTAAGCCAACTTCCTCGGCGTGTGCTCTGTCATGCCTTGATACATATCGTTCCCTGATATCACAGCTTAATAGAATACTATATTGAAGTCATGGCTATGAGTGCGTACATGACAATGCTCGTCAATGCAGCCCTCACTGATACACAGACTAGGTCTATTTGCGTACGATTCCATACTCTCCTTCAATCTGGAGTGGCGGGCTGTCTGGTCTCGCAAAATCACAGGAGCGACTGTTCTATACCTAGCTCTCCGCTACGTGACCTTAATGAATGTCATTATGTTTGTCGTTGCCACTACCGTGATACCATGTGAAGTGAGTCTCCCTTCGGTTCCTAATCATTCTAGCTCATGACACTCTCAGGGGTGACTTATATTTTGACTTATACTGTGCTTCACGTGCATGCTCAACTATATTCGCTTACAGCTACTTCATCACAACCCAAGTCTACATAGGCACTGCCTGCGGGACATATATTGCCCAGGCAGGTGTGTCTGCCTTCTTTCGCCAATGTAGCAGTCTAATGGCATGTGGCTGGCAGCATTTGCGTCGCTCCGAGTCTATGCGATTGACGGCCGGCGATGGACGAAGGCCACCGTCGTGATGATGTTGGGGCTTGTGCCAGTTGCTACCAACATTGCAAGTATACAACCCCCTGTATATGTTATATCTCTTATTAATGCATCGTTCACAGTATGGCGAGTCTAAAACAGTTTTGACCTACGGTACTGCAGAGCTTTGTGTTATCGGATACTCATACTCCACATTCAAGAGTAATATGTACGTCACATCAGTAACCAATCACACCTGCTGAAGTCTGACGGGATACTCTAGATGTAAGGCAGCTGATATGCATGTCCCACGGACCGGAATATGATGCGCATTCATTGCCTTCTTAGTGCTTCTCGTCACCCGGATATGTGCCTTCATGTCAAATCTTCTGGTCGTCATCTCAACATGGCAGGCAACGCGCGCCGACCGAGCAGTGACTGCATTGAATAGCAGAAAATCCCTTATAGCCGTGTTGTTCCTGGATGGTGCGTACTCTACCTCAATACAGAGTGTTATTGTGTTGATGCAAATCTGTATGTAGGTATTGTCCACTTTGCGTAAGTATATTCTTTCGCCCCTGAGGATATACTATAGTGTACTATAACAGGCTGGTATTCGGGCTCAATGCAGCCGACGTTGTGGTCACACTACTCATGGGGGTTAGCGAGGTTCACAAGACTATATATAATTGCTCAGCGGTGTCTTTCTAGGAACACTTCGACATGTCCGACGCTGTGGAACTGTAGGTGCACACACACATTTTCTCTGACCACACTTTCGAACCATGAACACGCAGGATCAGTACCGTGGTGCTATGTCACTTCTTCCTCAATCTCCGCCGTTTATCCAGCAGCCCCGACATCAATGACAGCAGTATGCCATCCCCCGGAAGCTCGTCCTTAAACTTCGCATCAAGGGTCATCGGCAACTTGGGCGAGATGCTCGAGGATTCCCCTGGAGCCTTCGAAGACGACCTGGATTGTGAGCCAGATGCGTACCTTGACGCGAGAGAGGCGCACTCTGCAAACGATGGCCACGACGGGGCAAATTCTCCCTCAGATGCTCAAGCGGCCACTGCGGCAATTTGCAGGCGAGAAATGTATGAGGGGAGCACTGCAAATCGCCAGGCACTTGCAGCTCCCGATCAGGGATTCAACCGGCGCACGGTAGACACTGTTTAGGTTAGTGGCGCTGAAACCCGCTCTGCACTCTTGCTAATAGATTGCTAACTAGCAGCAAAACTCATCAAGGCTCCTTCCAATTTCTATCATGTTATTTCATAGGTTTACTCCTACTAGTGATACACATCTGTCATTACGTATCTTGGGCATCATGACCTCTTGGTTGTGCATAGATTCCCTCTCTTTGCACAGATTCCGTCTCTCCCCATCGGGTCGCTGCCCATCGAGTTGACAGCCACTGTGCTCATATCCTGTGTTTATTGCGATATTCACATCGTTACTTCCTATCTCTGTCATATAGAATGTCTGACGGCCGACGAGTTATGCCATCAATCAAGACACGCCATCAACCTGACCATCTCTGAACGTACACAAGATAACCTCAGCTACGAGCGTTGTCTGCGCGTCTTGCTTGTGGCAGCTATACGCTATACACAATGATGAAATGCGTACAGGCCCAATTAGCCGGCAATAAAGAGCAGGAGATACCTCGGTTTCCACTTGTCGGAAAAGTCGGAAACAAAATATCGAACACTTCAATAGCCCAGACTGAAAGCATGAGATAGTTGCAGATCGCACCGACTGGCGATGCATGCAGGTGAGCGGAGACTACTGTGGCTCCAAGATTAGGCATCCTACTACTTTGTGATCCACGCCGGACTCTGCAAGAGATACCACTATTCGCAAGCACTCATGATTGTCTTCCCCACCGACCAATTATTCTGGTAGGACTCTCCGCGCCATATAGCTGGGAGTGATCAGCTTGCCTTAATATTGAGCACTTGAAGTCGGACCTCCACTCCAGTACAGTGGTCGATTCACTGTTTCACCTGGACGTGACTGGCTACCTAACAGCCGCTGAGTCCTACCATTGCTTATATCCGTGTGTCCATAATTTCAATGGCGGGGCCAACCGACCGAATCATCTTGTTCTGAGAGGCGTGCAACAAGTAATCCGATTCTGAAACAGTCACCACCTTATTCAATACTGGTCGGTCGGGTACAGGACAGTCCATCACATGAGCACGTGTAGCAGATGAGTAGCGGAAGTGAGGTGCTGATTGAAAGCGTATTGTTAGAGACAAGTGTATGGGCCAATGGAGCCAGCCTGGTGAGGTTTGTCAGTGAACGAAAGTCACGCCGTACTGGCACACAAGGCACATCATCCATGGAGTCTGTACAGACTTAGTGAGAAAAACATCGAAGGCAAAGCATAGATGGAAGTACGCACCACCACTAGTGCTGAGTGCACGAGCAGTAACAACCCGAGGACATTCGGGCCCATGGCCCAGGTGAGGGATTCCCTCCGTCGTAGCTGTCATCGACCTCGATATGAAAGTCAAAGTGCATGGATAAACAAAGGCATACCTGACGCCTGGGTCGATCCACTCGGAGGATAAAGACTGACAATAGTAGGCATGATGGGGTCCAGAGGAAGAGCGACAACTCGGGCAAACATGCCCAAGAGCGACAGGAAGACAAGCGAAGTAGCGAAGTACATATCTGAGCAGAGGAAAGCGGATAGAAACGCTACTGGAGACACTGAAGGTCCAATCCCCCTTATATAACAGCGAGACGAGCTCTGGTGTCGACCGCCTGAACTGGCTCGAGTGCCAAAGATCCTCAGTACTGCGCAGGATCCCTCACCGCCTTCAAGCATGCGGTGCTGAGTTGAGCTTCAGCTCGAACAACCATAGATGCGCAATGCAATAGCGCGCACTTGTGTTCGAGAACTCCGGCAAACAGGCACCCAACGTGCTCCGCCTTCGAACATATCACGGCCGCATGTGAGATGAATGGGTGAGCGCACAAGACCCAAACAAATCACTCATCACTCGCATCCCATGTAAGAGCCTCAGCATCATATTGCACGTACCCACATGGGACACAGTCAAGACCATAAGCGTGCCCGCCAACATGCGCCTTGGCCAGCGTTGCGCAGTGGCACCAACTCAAGCCAAAACCCTCACTGGTCCACCGGCAACTCTATCAACACAAAATGATGTGATCGGCACGGCATTGTGAAAAAGATACCACTACTGACCCAATCATCCCTCATGTGAGGAAGTATTTCCGGCTTGCGTCCTAGCACCCTTGATACTCACAGGCGACCATCGAGGCGCGGTAAAGACTCGAATACACAGCTCAATGTCTTCATCTTCGTGGGTACAACAAACAACAAACATTACCGCGCTGCAACACTCGGATCATAGTAGATTCTCCGTGTCCACCGCCTTCGTCTCGTCATCCCAGCGGTCTTCCATTCATTCAACGGAACAGGCCGCGGATCAAGCCACGAGTCATTTGTGTACACCCAGCCGGCTATAGCCTTACGTCAGTCCTCACCGTACGCTCCAACTCAAAGAGGAACGTACCGTCATCCGCGCTCGCAAGCACGGCCCACGCGCCCTCGACGTCTGGCCGCCAGTCCTCTGTCTCAACAAACGCCCAGCCCGGCTCCAGCGCAAACGTGAGCTTACTACTGCACAATGCACATCAGCGGCTGTCCTCCTCGCTGCACTGGACGCGAGATGCTGTAAGAAAAGGAGCGGACGGACCTGACATCGCTAGCCCCGTCTTCGTCGACCCCGCTCCACCCATCCCGCCCGCGCGTCCACGCCTTCCGCTCACCCGGCTTCAGGTGGCCCTTCGCCCACTCGCCGTCGTCCTCTGCGCCAGTACCCGTGCCCGCGTTCCAACGTTCATTCTCGAAAAGCTCGGCCTCGCGCAGCTCGGCGCGCCAGTGCCGGTCGTCTAGGCGGTCGTTGTCCACAAGACACGCGAGGCGTGCGCGTAAAAGCCGGCGGAAGAGATTATGTAGAGCGGGGAGAAACGTTTGCCGGCTGAAAGGATGCGTACACAGGAGCGGTAGAAGACCTAGAGCGAGGAAGGTGGTGCGGAGGGGTACGAGCGCTAGTAGGGGCAACGAGAGTAAAAACGCAACGAGGGTGAGAGAGAAGAGGACGGGAGTCAATGATGTTCCATGCGTGAAGTGAGGGACGACGGGCAGGAGGAAGTCATGGACGTCAGAGCTATATGTTTTCAGCCGTTGGGACAGATACTCCTAACCATATGGTAGACTCACAACGCGCCCATGAGATTCTGGATAGCCTGGACATTGGCCAGCCAGTCCACGCTCCCCTCGGCCGTTTGTGGCGGTGGAGGGATTGGCGCCTTCGCCTCTTCGCAATCATATTCATCCGGATGATTAAGGGCGGGGTGCGTCGCAATTATTACGGACAATACAATTACATATGGGAGTAACAGAAACAATCTTGGGAAGTAACCTGGTCCGGTTCAATTTGCTGTCAGCACAGCGTGCGATGGAGAGATGGAGGACGGACGCACAGAGGAACGCATATGTTGCCATCCAAACGCCAGTATACTTGGATCCCTTCCTCCACATCACTATCTCCTCGAGCCTGTCCTGAAGCCAGAACACGGGCCCGACCTTCGATACAAACCGCCTGAAGTTGACGGTCGTGATGGGGATTGACAGCGGGTCGCGCCCCGAGAGGAGGCGGGGAACACCCTTTGCGCCGCCCGTTCCTGATATTGAGCTGTTGCTACGAGGCGTGGCTGAAGCATTTGCAGGAATGGAAAGTGTCGACGAAAGCAAAAGTTGTGGAATGCTGTTAAGGGCGAGCTTCGAAGGCGATAACGTGGAGGACAGAGGCTGCGACGACACTGGTGAGGAAGCGGCAGATGAAGACAGCTCAGGCCGAGGGAGAGCGGTAATGACTTTGGGGGAAGGTCGAGCAGTGTCTGCACGGGGATTAGAAGGAAGACGCGTCGCGTAGGACGGTATGTCTACATAATTCAATGTGGCCATGACCGAAGTTGGCGAGTGAGTGTGAGGCGCCCACTCCTAATTCCAAACTTTACACAAGGATGCTCTCTGAGAATACTCAATGATAGCACCATAAACAGTCCCCGCATCTCTACAAAATATGGTGTTTTCTGAGACCCACAGGATGTGTCCTGGTCTGCATCTTTGTTACAGCGCGTTTTGGCCAAACAACTTCGGACGACTGGTAGCTGTAAAGCGCCAATCGCCGATCGAGCAGGTCGCCCATCAGCCACCGTGGTGGTGAACAAACATGAGCAGCGCGGACACGCTCGTCTCCTCGCTCAACCAGCTCCTCGCCAAGCTCGGCCTCTCTGCCATTGTGCTCGAGTCCCCGTTCGACCTCACGCCCTCGCTGCTCGTCGCTGTCCTCGAATGTATTCTCGAGTCGCGACTCGACATCCCGCCCGCCACCCGTGCGTCGCGCGACATTCCCTCCAGGGTGCAGGCCATGAAGGTCTTCCTCGGCGTACTGGAGGGAGACGTGATACAAATGGATGTTGGCCTCAGCGACGTCGACCCGCGGCGTCTTGCGGCGGGCGAGTGGGACGAGGTCGTGTTCATCGGTCAGCTGCTGTGCTGGCTGGGCAAGACGACGGGCCTGCTACCTGTATTACCCGAAGACACGCCTGTTGAGGATGGCCCTGGGCGATTTGTGAAGACAGCGAGCGCCGAGCGAGACATGCGGGGCGGCGCTGTATCGCCGTCTTTACCATCCGACACGGCCTCAAACACGGGCCATTCGTATCTATCGCTCTCGCGCACAGTACCAGCAGGCTCGGACACTACCGTCTCATCGAGTCTCTCCGTTCCCCCAGCCCCCCTGCCCCACGCAGATCTGTTCGATCCGGGCTCTCAAACGGTTTCGTCGGGCCAGACTCGAGCCCGGAGGCGCGCTCCGCGCTGCATCCACGAAGTCGAAGAGTTGTCATTCATGTCTCAGGACAGTCAGTCGACCGAAGACACATACTGCGCCTGCCCCCCAGAGCCCCTCGAACCATTACTGTCCTCCATACGTCCGAGCTCTACCCCCGTGCGCCACACAAGATGGGTACACCGCGTTGATGACGCATCTGAACTTCGCTCTTTCAAGGCTCATAGACCTCACTCCGTAGATCTGCTTTCCCCAGCCTATGGCAATCTGGTATCCACACCACGGACGCCCCTCACTGGAGCTACCCCTCCAGGTCGTATCCTCACGCGACACAACTCTCCCACTGAGTACACACTCGCCCTACTCAACGAGCGTGCCAAACTGCTTGCCGAGTTAGCTGAGCTGAAGACGGCGAGAAGCAAGACTTGACATATGCGCAGGTAGCCCTGTGATGGTCAAGCAGACCCCCGGGAGTCATCGCCGCAACGGATACTTCTATCCGCCCGTGTCATCCGTGTAACAAGCTGGGTTTGAGTCCGTCGCCCCTCTACTCCCAGCTGGGACTCGAATACTTCGTTGCAAGGCGATACTATTGCAGCCACGACCTCGAGGCTAGGGCCCTGGAGGAGTCCCCCTGTGGATATGGAGAACACCTACGTTTCGTCATGTTCCACATGAAATGCGCCCATCATATGTGGAGAGCTTGTTGTACTATTCACACACAGGAGATCCTTCCTAACTGCATTATTGAACCTCTTTAATCAATAGTCGTGCAATAAATGTTTTCTAGTCTAAATAAAATGGGTGGCTATCTCGGGCGCGTCCGGTCTGGCGGTGAGATGTCATAAACACGCAACGGCGAACGTGTGCGTACTCCGCGAGGGGACGCCGACAACGGCACATCGGACTCTAAGAGTGTCCTTCATGCAGAATTTTATTGGTGGCATATTGCACGTACCCTTCGATGTGGGGGCACACAAGCGACTGCAGGTCTGACGGAGGGGCGGCCGTACAAGCATGTGGGACGTTGTCAACACAGAGAGCGTCGCCGGATATACACAAATATGCCACTCGACGAGTCACCCTCTCTAGTGCTAGCGGCACCCCCTCTGATTGTTGTCAGGCACGATGCGTAGAAGGCAGCTTCGACCCGGGCCCTGGAGAAGGGCTTGAGCATGCATTTGAATTGCGATGATACTGTGTCGTCGCACGGTTACAATTCCTAGCGTCTGGTGGGAAGTCCACAATCCAAACGTTTTTCAAATGCAACAGCCTGAGTGGTATACTTGTTCCCAGGTCGGTCAGAGATATGTATCGGGTGCCGCCGTGTACGATACTTCGGGCTGCTTGAAATCATGGTGACGCGCTGGGCCACTGCTCAGCACGGTTCTATATATGAACGAGGTCGTGTGCGAGTCGCACCGTCAAGGGGACCGGGCTAGCCCGCTGTCAACAAAGAAGGAAGACGTTTCAAATACAAGGGACGGTCCGCACGCTCGAGGCCGAGAATGTGCCGGCGGCGACGATATCTGACAAATTGCTAACCCAATGCAACTGCGGCTTATGGAAGTTGGGAGCTGCGCCCACGGACGTCGTTGCACCGCCGGCGCATTACAAATATGACAGAATGGCAAAGTCAAAAAGGGTTGCAACAGGATGCGTTTGCAGTGAAGCGGCGCAACGGGGAAATCCGAAGACACGAGCGGCGGCGATGGGGTGATATATTGAGTCATGCATGCACACAACGGAGGGCACATCGAACCTGATGTGTAATATCATGCACCGCTCACACGTGAAGCACTGACGGCGCATCCGCAGAACAACGGTTTCGGTTTCAGGGAAGCTCGAGCCATAGACACGGGAGAAACACGAATCTTGTGTGTATCACGGTGACCCTGGCTGGCGGATCGACGGATGTCCGCGGAACAAGTGCAGTAGCCATAACACTGGAGAGAGTGCAAATGAGAATCCAACAACAGGTCAATCGAGAAGGCGCGCGCAAGGCCGCGCGCCCGGCGGAACAGCCTGTCAGCGTCGGAAGATGGCGACCATCCGCCTTTCGCCCGCCCGCGGCGTGCCAGCGAGTCGCATGGTCTGAATTTGTCAGACCGGGCTGCATTGCGTGTTGGTGTGCTGGAGCATCAGGAACAGCGGGTGGGCACGAGGCGAGCGGCGGCGTCCGCAACGTATCGTCATGCGGACGGTCATCTGGACGACGCCCAAGGCCACGCATGCACGGCGGCGGCCTCACGCTGCTGCGACCGCCCACGCGCACGGGCCCGGGACGCTGCGGGCGCGGACACACGGGCCGCAGGAGCCTCAGGGAAACGACGCACAGAACGCATCAGCTCGGCGCCGCAGGCAGGGTGGCGGGGCGTGCGCCATGCTGTGCGTTCTGGACGGGCACGTCGAAGGCCTTCCGCCCGTAAGATTCAAGGGCTGAGCAGCCCGCGCTATTTTTGGCCGCGCCCCAGTCTGGGGGGATAGCTCCACTTCCTTCCATAGCGAGGAAGCCAGGGCGAAGCTGGGGAACCGTGTGGGCACCCGCATCCGGAAGGCGGGCCATGCTTCGTGCAGGGAGGGAGAACTGCGCGGATGCTGATCATGTTGAGCTTGTGAGCTTGTGTGAGAGCTCGACGATGAATACTCTGGGGCCCCGTTGGGGAAGAACCCGCGTCCGGGTCTTTTCTTTTCTTCTAGTTTCTGTCCGGGCGTGGGATCGCATGCGCCATGGGTTGCTTCCCGCAAGCCGCAGGCCCGCCTACGGATTCCAGGCACAAGCACAAATGCAGTGCGTACCGGCTCTGTACGCTGATCACGCCGCCTATTCTGGGGCAGGAGCCCAGAACAACACCAAGCAGCCCCGGATACCACGCCGGTCGCCCCCCGACCTGTCCAGGGTCGCGATCTGGATCCCTGCACCGTGCGCACGGGCTCCCACACACCCAATCGATGGTGATCTTCTCCAGAGTGCCGCGTGTGCGACCTGCGCCACCCGATGCGGAGATAGGAGCGCAGAAGGACGTGCGTGGGGCGGTCTTGGTTTTCCTGGGGAGCGCGGGAGGCGGGGGGGACCCTGGGAGCGCCGCGGAGTGTTATCTGCGGGGTGCGGAGGTGCTGAGAGTTACGGCGCCGTCGCGGCAGTGGCGCTGGGGCGTTCCTGCCGGCTCTGTGAACGGAAGCGTGCGGTGGCTGCAGCGGCATGGGGGGCGAGGGTCAGGTGGGGAGGTGTATGTGCTATGAAGCCCGCCGGCTGCGTGGCAGCAATACAAGAGGGCGTGCGGAGGCTGATGCTAAATTGATCGACGCACGGCTCGCGGAAGGTCACGGGACGATGACTGTGCGGCCTGACGGGACAAGCCCCGGGCACGGGGATGGCGGGCCTGAGAGCGACGGACTGGCACCGAGCCGTCTAGATGTGCCGGCGGTATGACGGGGCCAAGAACGTGTTCACGCCCAGCAGGTTGCAGGGAGTCCAGACTGGCGGTGACAGTCGATTGACGGCGTGCCTTAGACGGTCGCGGGGGATTCTGTGCAAAATAAACTATTGGAACACTGCTGTCTTTATAACGAGGATCTGCAACTCCGATGCCTCGTCAATAATGACTGAGGTGATGGAAGCAGACGTAAACAAGTAATTGGGCTTCAGGAACGAGAGCGCAATGCACTGGCGAGCATGATCGTACTCTGTCAGAACCCCACCTAGAGAGGGAGCACAAGACCAGCTACTCACAAGGCATGACAGAGCAGTACAAGATGGAGAAACGGATGTTACGCTGCGAGAGGGTGTTACTCACCCGTCAGTCACCTACTTATCTGCGAACCCTCAGTGTGAAGCAGCGATCCCTACGCTGTGTACTCGTTAAATGGCAACGTAGTAAGGGGCACGGTCTCATGTACTCATGACCGTGGATAGCCAGTGTGCCTTCAAAAGATCTTTGCCGTGTGTAACGCTTGTTCTCCGACAACGGTGGCAGTTTCAAGGTCACCAGCTTTGGCAACTTCCTATAGTATAGGGCCTATATGACCAGAGGTGCCGAAAATAGAGCTAAGGCAGATATGTGTTTTAAGGTTCAGTGCTCTTTAAGGTTGAACGACGCTAGAACAGGAACAAGGCTAACAGAATTGGATGCAGTCTGGACAGCAGCTGGCCTTGAGCTTATGAAGGGTCAGAACCATGTTCGCCCGACGAAGAGGTGTGCAAGCATGGGCCATTCGCGGGAAAGTCTCCCCCCGCCGGCACCCTCAAACGTTCGTGCGCGAGCTATGCGGGAATATCGCACGAACGGGTGCCAAAGACGTCATTTCTGCGCGATAGAGAGAGATAGGCGACCCAGCAAGGCCGGGCTGATTATCTGCGCGTAGTGCGCGGGAGAGGGCCGAGCCCAGACCGCGCGCATGCTGGACGATCAGCGGTCGGCGCTCGAGACTAGCGTCCAGACTGACAGGAGTTCAGAGCTGGGAGCGCGGGGGGTGGGGTGGGGGGTGCAGCCGGCCAAAGCAGACAATGGTTGTGCCGCTACTGCGAACGTCGCTGCGCTGGGAGATATTGAAGCCGGAGAACGTACCCCCTTCGCAAAGCTCCCTCATGGTAGGCTTCGCGATAATTCGAGATATGCAGGGTGTTGGTGAGTCAGCGCGGGGCGCATGGGGACCCCGCGGGGAGTCGAGCCCTCTCGAGACGAAGTCCGGGGCCCCAGACTGGCGGTCTCGAGAGGCGTGGGCGGCGGCGAAGGAGGTGGTGCGCATGGGCGGGACCGCGACGAGGTGGCTGCAGCAGGGATTTGTATGCACGCATGTGCCGAGCGGTGTCCGAGTTTGCACCCGACGCTGTGTCCCCTGGGCAGGCTCGTGATATCTGGCTCGGTGATGAGAGAGATCGTCGCCTGTCCTTGTTGGCGATGCGCAGGGCGTCTATCGCAAGGGCGCCGGCAAGTGCCGTCACTGCGTCTTCTGCACAGCGTGGTCACCCATTGCCGGCTTCTCTTTGCGATGACATACCAGCGCAACAGCAGCAGCGCTGGTATTTCCACTCTGTTATTTGCAGACCCAGAGGGAGTGAAACAGACCGGCCGGCGGGAAGACAAGAAAGAGCAGTGATGGCATCTCGGCGGGCGGATTTCGGAGATCTAGGAACGGAACGGAGGGACGCGCATGCTTAGTCAGCCGATCCCGGTTAGGATGCGGACCGAAGAGGACGCACTCCTCCATCCAGGGCGAAACCGATCTCCCACTCTTTTCTCTCTCCTCGCCGCCAGCTGCATTGCGCACGCATTCCGTCGAACGCCTCGTCCAGCGCAGCCACCACCGCCCACGACGGCGCCCGCGCGCAGATCACCGAAGCTCGCGTCGTGCCCCGAGTGCGTTTTTGCCATTTCATCTCGGTCCAGGGGACGCCCGGACAGATCATCTCCAGGTGGGGCACAGTGCGGGGGCAGATTCAGGTCAGAGATTCTCGCCTTCCCCGCCCAATTTATTTTCTTGCGTCGCTTCCCACGTCCCGGGTCCTGCCCAGTGCCCGCCTCGCCCTGTGCATCTCTGACCGCGACCACCACCATCCCCCGCGCTGCCCGCTATCGTGCGCCCTTCCCCCGCTATCTTCAGCTCGCTTCAGCGACTTCTGGGCCTGCGCTCGGATAATCTGCGGCCTCCCCGCCTGCAGCTTCTCTTCCCTTGCCGCGCTTCCCCATCACGAACCTTACGTCTGCCCGTGCTTATTGCTTCGTGCTCCAGCCACTGCCAGCCCCCGCGTCCCCGGCCCGCACCCCACGCACACACCCAGACGCACGCTTCCCCGGATAGCCTCCACACGCCCGGTATCGCACACGCACACCCCATTATAACCGCATATCATATCACGACACCGCGCACGCTGCTGCTCCATCACCCGGCCTACCACACCAGCGCACACACACACACGCAGTTACGTGACTGACGTCCTCGCCTGCGGTTGCACCCCTGCATCGCATTCCAGACTGTCCATCATCCCCACCGTCATCACCGCCCGCCTGCCCCGGCCCATTCATATCTGACTGCCGCTGTCAGGCCCACAATCGTGTCATCGCACACCCCTCGCTGTCCTGTCATAGCCATCTAGGGTTTCTCCGTAAGCATCCGTCGTTTTGCCTTGCCACGGCACCGCTCAGCCGCTCATACATATATTACTACCCCTTTCCCTCCTTTGCTCCGCTTCCCGCCTTGGCCCCGTATTTGTGCCTTGTTCACCCTATGGCAGTCGAGCGGATGGACATGGACCACTTGGACCACTCTGTTCCCCCACCCCCACCCCCACCTCCACCTCCTCAGGAAAAGGTGATTGCTCGGCCATACAAGTGTCCCTACCCGTTGTGTGGTCGTGCGTTCAGTCGACTGGAACACCAAGTGAGTACCCTGTCAGCCACTACACCCCCAGCAACAGTGGTATCTGATGCTTTGCTCCCAGACCCGACACATCCGTACTCACACAGGCGAGAAGCCATTCGAATGCTCATTCCCCGGCTGCGAGAAGAGGTTCTCGCGTTCGGACGAGCTCACGCGCCATTCGCGAATACACAACAACCACACCCCGCACCTCCACACCCCGCATCAGGGGGCGCACGACGGACCGAGCGGAAGCGCGCACCGCGGCAAGGGCAAGGCGAAGATGAACTACGACGACGACGAGGGGATGGGCGCCGACGACCGCGAGGGAGAGGTAGCAGTGGTGATGGAGCGGGCCCGTGTGCAGAAGAAGGCGCGCAGCCGCGCGAACAGCGACGACGAGGTGAGCAGTGCGATGCATCTGTTTCAGGTTGCCTCCCGTATCGAGGCGTGTGTGCGCGCCTGCCCTGTCGTGCCAGGCGCAGGCGCGGGCGCAGTGCCACCCCCAGTCGCCTGCGCCAGGCAGCCGGGCGTCGGGGTCCCCGGCGAGGAATGCGGGGCTCCGCGTCTCTCGGGGCGTGCCATTGCCTTATTCGTCGCCAATTCAGTCGCCGATGACGACATGCCATGCGCAGGCTCTGCCCAGATCCTGCCATACTCTCATCGCAGCATGCTGACAGCTCTCTCCGCAGGACGAGTCTTACGCGCGCCCGACCGCGCTGTACCCGCCAGACTCCGCCCCGTACGAGTATGCCCCCTACCACCAGCCCTCGCACGGTCACCACCATCCGCGCCGCGTCGCCCCGCCCTCGCCGCCATACGCCCTCGCCGCGCCCTCACCCCCACACTCGCATGCGGTGGACCAGCCACATGTCTCACAGCAGCACGCGTTCTCGGCGCTCTCCTCCATCGCGATGGAGGAGCTGTATGCGCTCGAGCGCGCCGAGGCCCTCCGCCGCGCCGATTACGAGATCCGACACAACCAGATGCTCCGGCGCGCAGAGTATGAGGCGCAGGTCCGCCACGCGGAGGTCCTCGCGACACACGGCAGGCTCAGCAAGAGCGCAGGGCCGACCCCCGTCGGTACGCCATTCTGGCGGCCCGGGCACGGCATGACGGCGAACTCGCATGGCGTGGGCACGGACGAAGGCTACTTCGGGACCTCGCGGGAGCGGGAGAGGGGCACGGAGGAGGATGTCCCGATGGGCACGAGTGACGCGCGGAGAAGCGGGCGCAGAATGAGCTTGTCTGGGCGGCGGGAGGTGTTCGCGGCGCACCCGCATGCGTCTGGACACGTCGTCGATGGGCCGCCGGCGCACACAAAGACGCACGGCCACGCGCATGGGCCGCGGGCGCATCCATACCATACTGCCAGTGCCCCGCACCGGCAACGCTTACATGTCGGACACGACGACTCGCCGTCACCTATCAGCTCTGACTCCGACTCGCTGCATCCCGTCCACTCACCCATGCACACGACGCACGCGCCTCCGCTGGGTCCCCACCAGGGTCCGCCACCCGAGCACCTCGCGCACCCCCAGTCCCAGTATGTCACGCCCTCCACCAGTCCGTTCCTCGGCGGCCTGCGTACCCTGAACATACACTCGGGTACGCCTTCGCGTGCGACGTCCCCCTTTCGCCTCCCGCCGCCAACACTTGACGGCGCCGCGCCAGTGCCAGTAGACGACCACCCGTACGACTCCCGCGCACGTAAGGCGGCCAGTGTCGCCGGCAGTCCCCCGCGCTCGAGCGTGCTCACCGCGCGCATGAAGCGCGGCAGCCACGGCGACCTCGTTTCCTACGGGGCATACGGCGGGCACCCCTCGGACCACTTCGGACAGTCCATGGGCGGCTTCCACGCGCCGTACACGCACGAGCGCACGACGCCGGGCGTGCCGACGCCGCAGCTCTCGAGTGGGCCGAGCAGCAGCGGGAGCAGCCCGCGCAGCCACCCGTACTCGCTCGCGTCGCACGGGCCGAGCTCGACGGGCAGCGCGTGCAGCTCGCGCGCGCCGTCGCCGCCCGCGCGCTCGCCGTCGCACACGCACAACCACCCGCACCACCACCACCTGGCGCACTCGGTGCGCGTCGCGTTCGGGATGACGCCGATCCACCCGCGCGCGGCGCGCCACACGACGGGGCTCGCGCACCCGACGCACGCGGAGATGCCGCCGCCGCCGGACTTCCCGAGCATGCCTGCGCCCGCGAGCGCGCTCAGCGTCCCCGTGAGCCGCGCGTGCTCGCCGCCGATCAAGCTCCCGCCGCTGAAGCTCCCGTCGAGCCCGTCGAGCCCGTCGGGCCGGCCGGCGCAGCTGCCGCGGGGCGGCGAGGACGCGGCGATGGAGGACAGGGAGAGGGAGCGGGTGGAGCTGCCCGGGTTCAGCGAGTTTGCGGCGGCGACGGGCCTGAGGGCGCACGAGCGTGATTCGTGACAGCGGGTGGCGGTCGGGCTCCTGCTGGCTGCTGCCGCTGGCGTTGCCCGTGACTCCCTTTCGACCATTTTGCGACCGCATGTGCGCGCTGCGAAGGCTGACTGCATGTATTTTTTGTGAATTTTGCTCCTCGCCTGGATACCCCATAGAAATGCACTCCTCTCCGCTCTTCATGCCAGCCTGACCACGGACATGGATCTAGAAGTTAGCTATAGAACGATCACGATGCCCGCTCTCACCACCGCTTCATTCCGTCTTTATAATGTGCACGAGTCTGCTGTGACTGCCGCCGTACGTGCCGTGCTCTTCCCAGACAGACTACCATGTACCCGCACAATCTCCGCTTCGATATATTGAACCTAGACTGACCAGCATCGCGTTCGTGTATAGACCGCACATTTTGTTTTATTCGTCGTTCATTCAGTGGACAACTCAAGTACTTGTCGTTCCTGATCTACCTCGTGAGGCCCCTGTACGGTGTGGGAGGGATGCGAGCAGCGTCGTCCGAGGATGGTCGAAGGGTCGTGTGACTATATGCTAGCTAGAACGAAATAAGGTATGTTTGGCCGCGATAGACTGACTATATGCGTCGAATATACGCGCGCTGACGCTATCAGATACTCAACCACGATGCGTGTCCGAACGACGACGCGCGAGGTATGGTAGCGACGATGCGTGCCCGAATAACTACGCGCGAGCGACTGTGCGTGTCCGATAGGCAGCGCGCGAATCGACGGTGCAACAAACGAACGAAACACTCACCGTGTACGTGTGACTCTCGGGCCACTCGTCCGTACCAGCGCAGAAGGTGCGAGAGTGCGAGAAAGTGAGAGACGGTCGTGGTTCGAGAGAGAGATGGAAGATGGTATTTCTCGACACCGACGCAGGCTTTCATAAGTACAGAGAGGCCTTGACACGAGTGACATCACACGAAACCTAGGAGGAGTGAATGACGCACAGTATAGCAATAGATCGAAAGCAGCCCGAGACAGAAAGACATATTCTAAACGAGGATGGAAGCCCAGTCCCGGGCACAGACAAGCGAGACTCGACGTCTCCACAACTGTCAATGTCTCAGCTTCTCGAAGGTGTACGCCCCCGACGCGTCATATTTACGCTCCCGACCTGCCGCCCTCAGGTGCGTGACGTCGGCACCCTCGATCAGCCTGCGACAGCCCCCCTTCGACGCCGTCATTGCAAGCCTTAGAGTCGCCAAAACAGGAATAAGTACGCACTTTTATGTCGATCTTGGCAGAATGGAAGAAAAGAGACTAGGCCGAATCCGTCGATATCGTTCTCCTGGGATCGGCGCGTTCTCCTCCACCACAACGGGTCAGAAATACGCACAAGGCACAAAGTGATGGCATTATAGCACAAAAATACGTGCAGTCGACTAGAGATTCCGGCGGGCTACAACATGAGCGTACTAAGACATCCTGTCCACATAGGCAAAGCAATGTCCCCCAAGGCCGTCCCCCACGGACACACCGCGGGCCGTCGCGTCGCCCGCCACTCACCTCGAGGCGTACGAGCCGCGCGCATACTCGGCGTGCTTCCCCTCCATGCTCTGCATGTCCACGAGCGTCGCGGTCGACGGGTCCGCCAGCTGCCGGTACGGCTGCGCGCCGCTGCCGTCCTTGGCGCTCGTCGGGAGCAGCCCCGCCGCCTTCGCGCGCGCGCGCTTGCGGCGCACGCAGCAGCGCCAGATGATGATCCCGATGACGATCAGCACAAACGCGAGGCAGCCGACGAAGATCTCGGGCCAGCGGCTGAGCACGTACTCTTCGTACCTGCGGACGCGGGGGTGAGCAAGCGGAATGGGGCAGGGCAGAGTGCGGAGGGAACGGGAGATGGCAAAGGGCAGACGGGGGAGGGGGGACGTACTGTGCTTTCTTCTCTGCCTCGGTCTCGGGCGAGTGCTGCATCTCAGAGCTAGGGAGTAGCCACTGGGAGGAAGACCCGGTGGTGTCGACGCCGCTCAGTCGTACTTGCACGAAGGCTGAGTGGGCGGCGGTGAGGTTGGTAGTAGGGAGGAGCTTGATGAAGGGGTCGCCGAGGTCGGAGCTCGTGTCCTCGACGAAGTTGCCGTAATCGAACAGGGCATACACGTTCCGGACTGGCGGAGGCCCTCTGAGCTGAGCAGCGAGCGCCAAGCATTGAGAAATGACTTACGGAAGGACATGCCCAGGATGATGTCATATTCACCGAGCAAGCTGAATGCAGAGCTGATCGGTTGGAACTGCACAGCGGCTCAGCACACCCGTCGCGACCGTCCATCTACGCACTTACCGCTCCTACACAAACGGTCTCGCCCGCTGCATTGATCATGTCGAATTCACTACTCGATGTGTCCAGCGGGCTGATAGGGTAGTTGACCCCGCCGAACTGGAAGCTGATGTTCAGCATCTGCGTGCACGGGATCGTCCACACGCCCACTTCCGAGTTATACTCGGCGCCCTGAACTCGGCCGTATATGGCATCGGACATGGCTCGAGGCACTTGCGGGAGCGTATATCCCGAATCAAACACCACGACAAGCTGGCCGTCGGGGGCGGACGGGACGATGGAGTCCACCTCGATTGGCTGCCCGTCCGGGCCAATCACGCCGTTCTTGTCGGTGTATACCTGCCAGTGCTGGTCGAGGTCCGTCAGCTTGTGCACCTTCTCCACGGTCAGCTTCGCCATGTTGGTGATGTTCTCGTAGCCGGGTATGATCTCCGTGATGGACATCTGGCCCTGAGATGGGCTCGAGGGGTCGCCCAAGCGGTTCAGGAGGACAGTCATGTAGTTGGACGAGGACGTGTTCTGCTGGAAGATGCGGTCCAGCACGCTGTCGCCGCGCGAATCGCCGACCTTGTCACGTATAACGGAGCCGGTGTTGGGCCCGAGCCCGATAAGGCCGTCATAGCCCTCGGCGGCGATGTTGACAGAAAATGAGGAAATGTTCTTGACGAGCACTAGGGCTATGTTAGCCTGCTTTCGGAGCCAATCACGTGCCTACGCACAGAATGCTTGGTTGTCTACGGTGTAGTTGCCAAACTGCAGCGTAGCCGTGTTGACATCGCCTGTACGGAAGATCAATCTCGTGTTTAGAGAGATGCCTACGAAAGACCGGCCTACCACTTGCGGTCCCGACAGCGTAAGACAGAGACTCGGAGACACCGAGATCAGTCACGTCGGGGACGTCTCCCGTCACCCACAGATCAGAGCTGGGGCGCGTTAATGGCAGGAAGAGCAAGTCTGTCGCGCTCGTACCTCCCAGTATCCAGAAGCACGGGTATCTCTCTGCCTCCGAGCGTGATGTTGGTGATGTATTCCGAGTTCTGGGTATTCTTCACGGGGAGAAGGGTATCGGAGGAACGCGCACCCAGGCTGCCAGAGGCTGAGCGGCGTCCGGCAGATGTGCGCGTGGAGACTGGGAATCTGAGAGCATGCACAGCGTGGGCATCGAGGAGCAAGCAGAGCAGAGTGAAGGGAAGCAGAGACCGCATTCAGACGAGACAAATGAGAGGCAGGACTAAAGAGCGACGGAGAAGAGATGGCCTGGCAGCACGCCAGTGGTGGTAAGAGACAGACTTGCGATGTTCTGACGGACGCGACTCTCCTTGTCCGGCTCGGTTCGAGTATGTCCGTCTCTGGTATATTTGGACTCTGCCGTAACCACCCATCCCACCTTACCGGGGTCCTCCCGCGGCAGCAAAATCGCAATCCTCGCAAATGCTTTCCTCTGTCAACAAACCAGGTCATAACGCTGACGGGAGGTACTACTCCATGGGTATCAGCGTATGTAGCTACCCTAGCATGCTGAAATACAAGAGGCGAGGGTTATTCGTAGTACATACTTATGGTCTATACGGATAGACCCCGAAACTACAGTCAATCGGCAATCTGGGAGGGACATCTGGTATCTTAGGCAACCACGACAATCCACCCCGTCCCGCAGCACAGCCTCCGACAAAGTGACATCACCTCCACCCTTCCAGCTCCTGAATATAAGATACGCACCTTAGCTGGTACAAGCATTGCTTGACCATGGTGGCTCTGCACACGACACCTTATTGCAACATCATACCTGACTGCCAATGTCGAGAACGAATGTGAATCCAGCCGACTATCGGCACAGGCACCAAGGCCGGGCCAAGCGGCTATTAGTACAGATCTATGAGTGAGAACGGAAGCTAATTCTGCCCAAGTCCGGAGCTGCAAGCGCCTCGGAGTCGTTCTCATATGCAGCCAGACGCGTGAATACGCGCTTGTGGCTGAACGCGGTCAATTAGACGCGTCCACGCAGTCCCCGTAGGTATATTATAAAACCACGAATATCATGTACTCAGCATCAACGCAGCAAGATACATCGCAACACTATATGTCTGGATCAATCCGCGACTCCTCTCGGGGGACGATGAGGCCCAAATCAACGACGGTATAGAACGAGAAGTTCTTCAATTCCGGCGCCTTGCTCGACGCATGCGAGCGCGAAGGCGTGCCCGTGACATTCTCTTCGGCGCCGTCAGGGTCGTCCGATCGGTAGGTGTACGACACCAGCATGTTGAACTGTCGAGGAAATATCATCAACAATGTCCAGGCCGCTCGTTTCGCTAGATCCGGAGACGCACCTTGACCCTTCCCCGGGCCTCCTTCGTGAGAATCACCTCCCCGCCAACCACAGTGACATTCGCGCGCTTCTCCACCACGCCCAGCGTCCGCGTCTTGCTCCGCCCGTCCCTCTGCTGTCGCCCCATCCCGTCCAGGTCGCCCTCATCCTCCTCCAGCCCGAACATCACCTCTTCGTCGTCCTCATACTCCCACGCCTCCGCAAACGCAGCCACCGGGAACGGCGAGCTCGGCAGGTTCACCTGGAACGGCGGGCGGCGCGTCTTGTCCCCGTCCGCGCCCGGCGCCTGCATCATCTGCGCTTTCTTCAGCCGCACCTGGATGGGGTCATACAGCGGATTCGTGAAGGCGAGATGGAAGGAGTACGTCTTGCCCGCGAGCAGCGCCCCCGCCGACGCGCCGTGCTCGTCCACCGTCGTCGCAGCCGCGGATTTGTTGAGCGCGGTCGACCGCTTCATCATCTCCACCGCTGCTTGGGCATGCGGCAGGGAGACCGATATCGCCGGCAGGTAGTTTGCCGCGACCAGCTTGATCTTGTAACGCACGGACTGCGCCTTCTGCTCGGGCTTGATGAGGATGTGCCGGCAGCTGGGACACCGCTTCGACTTCTTGGACTGCAGCGGTATTCGGAGCGGCTTCAAGTCACTGCGCGGGGGATAGACTGCATAGAAGAAGGAGCGACCGAATGGGCGACTCACCTGCTGTGCAACGATGCGACCCAACTGCTGACCCATCTCTGCTCCAGCGCAGCCACCTCAGACATGGTCTCCAGTCTGCACATAAAGTCCACGTCCGCCTCCCCTCCGCCCGCGTTTATCCCCGCGGACGCCACCTCCACGCGCGACTTGTAGTCAGGGATGTCGTTCTTGTGCGCGTGTTTGTCGCGCCCGGCGCGACTGCGCGAGAGCGGATTGTACTTCCCGACGCCGGGAATGTCGCGCGCGAGCGCAGAAGAGGCAGCGGCTGTGATGGGGTTTGTGTGAACGTGGTGTGCGGCGGCGCTGTGCAGCGCGGAAGAGGAGGAAGAGGATGCACGTAAGAAGGGCTCAAAATGCTCCTTGAGGCGCTCGAACTCGAGCGATTCTGGCGCGGAGTCTTCGAACTTCTGTAGTTGCGCTGTCGACGGCAGGTTTCATGTCTGCATAGTCGCGAATGCGGGCGAACGACGTACCTGCAAGGCCTGTCGGCTTCTCAAACGTGATGCCGACCTCGGCAGAATCCCAGCGGCAGTGGTTGCAGTATAGGAAGAAAGGCGGCTCGCCGAGCGTACTCGACACAATAGGGGACATGCGCGCGTCGCCGTCGTCCGGCGGATCCGAGGGCACCACCGTCAGTGTGTTGCGGCAGTTTGGACAATGGAAGCAATTGCGGGCACATCTTGCGTGCTCATGTAGCCTTTAGTAACGACTGCACTGTCCTGCATGCTCACCTGTTCTTCTCTGCGCGCACACTCGCACTCGGCACCTCGAAGAGGCAGTTTGGGCAGTAGTACCCGCTGACTTCTACCATGACACAACGGTTGCATCTGACAGCGTCGCATTCCTCGCAGAAGAAGAGATTGTGCAGTGGGTGAAAGCTATATGTGGACGAGGGTAAGTGTGGAGGAGGAGGATGCGGCGAAGCAGCTAGACATGGACAGTAGTATTCGATGCTTGGAGTCATCTTGTTGATCGTGTCTCCAGATGTAGTACCAAAAACAGAATAATAAGCTGACTGGAGGTTCAGCAGAACTGAATGAGATCTAAGAGAATCTGAGACTCTATGCTTTCGGCGTTCGCCGAAACGCGAAAGTGGCACGCGTCGAACGCGCTTTCGAGGCGCGCAAGATTCGCGTGCCCCACAGCAATGTTTGCGTGTCCCACGTCGATCTAAAGGTTGCTTTCCTGCGCGCTCCCTCGCAACAATTGGGAGTCTCCTATCCGACTCGTGTCAACAGTCTGCCTGAGCCACTGGAATTATTCTGACAATATACCTAAGCATGTTCCACCAGGGCTAATACAATGTGCATCGGAAACCAAGTCGAATAACCCTCAACAGACGAAAATATACTAAGTAGAAAATCAACATGTTATCCACAAAACCCTGGACCAAAGCATGGATCATAAGCAGGATAATACTAACGACCGCGAGTCAATATATAATAGCACTATACAACGACTGAGATACAGATGCGCGCAAGCGAGGTAGCCAAAAATGCAGTCCGTCTAGTCCGACACAATCCCCCGAGCCGACGCTAGGACCTCAGTACCGCGAGTCCCACGGATTCGCATATCCCCCTCCCGCGTACTGCTGCTGCGACGTGCCCATGAGGTGCAGGTCGTGCGCCTCCTGCGGCGCGGGCTCGCTCAGCGGCTGGTACGAGCTCTGCATATTCATGAAGCCCGCGGGTGTGCGCGACAGCCTACGCCGGCGGAACCTCGTGCACGCAATGATGATGCCCGTAATGACGAGCACGCCGAGCGCGATGCTCACGCCGATGACGATCCTGAGGTGCGAGCGTGCCCAGCCCTCGGCCGTATTGATGGCGCTGCCGGGATTCCACGACTTGGCTCCGCGCAAAGACACGAAGTCGGAGTGGATCTGTGCGGAGTTGTTGGAGACAGACAGCAGCTGAATGTACGGGTCCGCGCGGGTGTTGGTCGTGTTGTCGACAAAGTCGCCGAAGTTGATGAGCATGTAGACGTTGCGCACTGCGAGAAGGGTCAGACGAGACCAATGGGGGGTGGGACAAAGGACTCACGGAACGCCATGCCGAAAATCATATCATACAAAGGGCTCTTGGCGTTCTCATTGGGTTGGAACTGCGTGTACCGCATTAGCAGACGTTTAAAGTCGATATGGTAAGTATTGACTAACGCCTCCGTAGCAAGTAGAACCGCTAACGCCCGCCGCGCTGAGGTTCATGGATGCGTCAAGAGGATTCACTGGGAAGCTAACACCGCCAAACTTGAGCGTGATGTTAATCTCGTAGTCACAGGGAATCTCCCATGTTGGCCCTCCAAGCGTATCCACGTTGACCAGTTTTGCACCAGGCACGCTCTCGTAAAATGCCTGTGCAACAGCACTGCGCGTGCGAATTCCGCGGTCAGCGGCCGGTCGGAAGGAAGGGGAGTGGACGTCATACCTTGGAACTTGTGCAAGCGTATAGCCCGTGTCGAACACAACAGTCAGCTGCTTGTCATTTGACGTGGATGCCACCCCCGTCGTGACGTCCACCACTTTGCCATTAGGACCAATGATGCCATCGGCGTCGAGCAGCGTCTGCCAGTGCTGCCCTACCGCCTCCGTGTTCGGCAGGACTGTGACGTTGAGCTGAGGTTGCGACGTGAGGTTGCTGTATCCCGGCAACACCTCCCCAATCGTCAGGTTGCCCTGGATTGGGTCCTTCGGGTCGTCCGCGCGCCCTAGTAGAACCGTAATATAGTTCGGGGTGCTTTTGTCGAGCTGAAAGATCCTGTCCAGCGGCGGGTCGCCCGAGCCGTTTCCCAGCACTTCCTGGATCTGCGAGCCAGTGTGGGGCCCAAGACCAATCAGCCCCGAGCCAGCTGTCTGATTCTGGGAATTCGCAGTCAGGTCGACTGCACGCGGATGTATGTCAGCGCCGGAAATGTGGCACGCAGGGCGTCACGTACGGAACGCCTGGTTCTCCACTGTGAACCCGAGGAAATCCATTGTGGCGGTCTTGATTGGCCCTGGCATGCCTGGTCAGCGCGCGCCGGTCTCTGTGCCACAACCTGACATACCTTCGGCCTCTCCTATCGCATACGTGACCGACGTCGTCTTTCCCGTATTCTTGCTGCCGGGCACATTCCCTGCAACATACAAATCGGAGCTATCGCCCGCGACGGCATCAGTGCTGTGCAGCGCCTGCCACCGCACGCGCGCTCACCTCCCGGTATCAATCTGCACCTCAAACTGCGAGCCTCCGAGAGTCAGGTTCAGTGTGTAGGCGATGTTGTTTGCGTCATCGAGCGATGTGCTGCCGGCGATGGTCCCTCTTTTGTGTAGGTGGCGCGCTGAGGGACCGCGGCGGCCCTGCAAGTCGAAGCGGATGGCGCCGACGAGCTCGGCAGGGAGTGCGACAAAGGAGAGCAGGAGCGGGACGGCTAAGTGCTTCATAGTGGACTGGTAGCCGCCGTACGGCTGTTTTGAGTTGTCGAATGGAGACCTCAGTGGGTCGGAGAGAGGTGTTATAAATAACGCACGCGTTGCAATGGGCGCAGCATCACGCTCGGGCTGTGCCGCACCGCGAATTAGCGCCGAGGGGCGGGGCATCGCCAGGCTCGGCAATGCAGACCATGCTTGAACTTGTACCTACCGCACAGGATTCTGACTGCAGCCCACAGGTGCTGTTGACAGTCGGGTGAAGACGCGGGGCAATGCTCGCTCGGCACTTGTTAAGCTCGCATGGGCTCTGGCGCTCACGGATCATACAGTCTGTAGCACACAAGACGTGGGCATGCCATGAACCGAGCAGAAGTATGCCGAATGTCACATAGTCGTAAGTACTTGCGAGCACCTCCGGCAGACATAATCGCGCGTTCGCACACCTGAACACCAAGTGGACGTTACGCCGGGATACTCTGCTTTACAGATTGAGCTACAAAATGTTGGGTCAGTGGTCGCTCGCAAGAAGGATTTCCGAAAATCGCTGATAGCACAAAGTATGGCTATGTACAGGTACGAGTTTGTATACTCTACAGCCACCATTCCAGGAGGTAGGTACACGGGCAACGGTACTCAACAGGGGCGGACCTGAGCGTATCCGAGGCGCGCATGTCCGCCACAGCATGAAACTGACATGAGCCCTGAGCGAAAATCATCACGCAAGCACCTGCCGCCCCTGCCCAGGTCCTCCCCCACATAGCATATCCCATTATTGTCTCGATTCTTATCATTGCCTTTTGCGCATACGTAAAACAAGTTCAAATCATATTTGGCCTCGAAGGCCATTCAGCAATACATGCAGCGGCAGTACACCAGGATCAAGTTTGCATTACTCGTTGACCCTCCGAGCAGGGGGTACAAAGACCTCTTTTGTACTTCAGCCTCCCGCCCGACTTGCAAGACTTTGCCGCCAATGCCCGCACACCCTCGCCGCCCGCGCTGTAGTGTGACTGCCTCATTCGCAGCCTGTGCACCTAAGTCGCTCTACCTGCAATCCGACCAGAACGGCACGCTAAATCCTTTGGATTGAGTTCATTCATGAGGATGCGGCTGGCCAATCAGGGCACGAGAATGGACTGATCGAACCGGGTTCGCTATGGCTACCAAGACGGACATCATTTCGATGTCCTCCCCGCTGCGCACCGCCTTCTCCCCTACCCTCTCTGGGCCGAGCCCACTCTCTTTCTATATCTCCCACCCCAGAGTCGTTGCATGTCGCGCATTCTGCATTCAAGTTGCCAGGCGCACGCTTAGTTTCCCCTCTTTCCTTTCAACTCCAGCAGAGAACGTTTTCTTTTCCCTACGCTGCGCGGGGCAGGAATCATGGCAACAATGGCTGAGCCTCACGAAGAACAACGACCACAGGCGGGTCCCCTGCCCTCAAAGCAGGGCGAGATCGGGTATCGCGAAGACGTGCACGGGGCCGCACATGAGGCAGGAAGCAGTAACGAGGAATCTGCAGACGAATTGCCCACACGGCACCCAGCGGATACCCCTCTTTCTTCGGTTCCTAACACTAGTACAGAACTAGTCCCTCCAGCTTCTACTGACAGCAGTAGTACTCCGTCCAATGGTGCTGAAGCAACTCAGCGTTCACCGTCACCTTCCTCGACGCATTCTACCAGCAAGCTCGTATCCCTTTGGAACTCCAAGCGGGTGCCAACTTTCCACGGGCTCCGTGCTACCACGCTCGGTCTCTTGGTTCTCCAAGTTCTCACTCTCGCTGGCACGATCACGGGCTGGGTGTTCCTCATCCAGCACATGCAAGCCAGCGGAGGCGACCAGTCAAATGACGCCAACTTCAGCATGGGCTCTGCACTCATTTTTGTGTATGTCGCGTTTGCGATCATGACGCTCGTGCAGATCATCTTCGTCGAGCGCTGCTTATACCGCCTGCGCGCAGAACGCTACGCGTTTCTGCACCCAGGCGAAGTCCTTCCTCGTCACCGCCGCGGCCGGCCGCCTCACCCCGCACTCGCATTCGCGCCGTGGCACCGGCAGTCCTTGCCGTCATATGCTGCCACGCTCGCGCAGAGCGGCGTCGGCACGGGCGACGTGGAGGACAACGTCATTGCAGTGCCGCCCCCGCCATCCTACGGAGAGCGACATGCGAGCATGTTGTTACTCGCCGGGGAGATCCCGGACCGTCTGCGCCGGATCCGCGACAGCGCCAGCTCGTCGTCCAGCTTGTCATGGGTGGAGATCAGGCAGACACGCCAGGACGGTCCTGACAGTCGTCCGGTGAGCTACATGAGTCGTGACCCGGACTGGGAGGAGCGGTTGGACGCGGACGCGGCTGCCCACCTGGAGGAGAACCTGGCGAAGATGGAAGAGGGAGACGTGACGGACGCCGCCCACACGTGGCATGCGCCAAACTAGAGAGATACACGCACCATTGTGTAGGTGGGTTTCCGCGACCCTCATGCAGCTTGCTGATTGTGTCCCCCACAGCCGTCCGTTCTCACCGTGTTGTATCATTCGGAGTTGCCCCCCGACGCTCGCTTCGCTGCTGTTCGGTCATTTCTGACGCTGTACATGCCATTTGTTGACAATTGCCAATTCGTCGTTCTTCCGCTCGCAGCTGACCTGCGACGGACTTGTTTTTACTTGTATAATTGGCCCGACCTTATTGCGGTTTAAAGCGACAGCCCTGGCTGAGAGTCAGCAATGATTGATGTCCCATTGAGAGCAAGTCAACTGCATTCGCATTGGTCTTCGGCACCCAGCCATCATATGCAGGAAGTTGTGTCTGGCAGCGAAATGGTGCCCGACAACTGCGGAGTCGCATGACTCTCGGCATCTGACTGCGGATTTAAAGGATACGGCGCGATGCGATCCATAGTGGGCCCAGCATTGTGATGAGTGAGTGTACATGGTCGGAAGTGGTAGGTCAGGAGCGCGATGGCCCATGTGCAGCGCTCGCACGCGTGGGGGAACGACCACGTGCACGCGTTCCCCGCAACGCGTCGAAAACCGACCGCGCGGTGCTCATGTTCCTCAGGCTCCTCAATTCGTCGCTGATCATCCTCGGCTTTGCTGCATTGCAACCCGCCCGGGGACATCAGATCGTCCTCGGTGAATGGCAGTGCAGAGACGGTGAGTCTGTGATTGTGTGTGTCTCCAGGTCCACGGCTCCGGACCGCCTGACCATGCTCTCGCCGTCGTCATGAATGTCAGCCGCCGGAGGGGCCATATGCTCGCGAGGCTATAAATGCAGGCCGGGTGTGCAAAGGCTGATGGTGTTCCCCCACTTACGAAATGCGTCTCACAGTCGTCTCTGGTCTTGCCTATGCGTGCGGAGCCCTCGCGGCGTCCAGCAGCGTCGGCTCGTACATCGCTTCCGAGTCGCCGGTCGCGAAGGCCGGCGTGCTCGCCAACATCGGTGCGGGCGGCTCAAAGTCGTCTGGTGCTTATGTACGCTGTTCAATTGCCGGTATTCCGCTCATGTGTGCTCATGAGCAATGATCCACAGTCCGGCGTTGTGATCGCCAGTCCCAGCACGTCCAACCCGGACTACTTGTACACCTGGACGCGCGACTCGTCGCTGACGTTCAAAGCGCTCATCGACCAGTACACGTCCGGCGAGGACACCTCGCTGCGCACGCTGATCGACGAGTTCGTCTCCGCCGAGGCGACCCTGCAGCAGGTCACGAACCCCAGCGGCAGCGTGAGCACCGGCGGACTCGGCGAGCCGAAGTTCAACATCAATGAGACAGCATTCACTGGAGCCTGGGGCAGGCCGCAGCGCGGTATGTGTCTGCAGTGTATGGGCTGGGTGCGAGCGATCCTCACTTTGCGCAGATGGCCCCGCTCTGCGTGCGACGGCCGTCATGTCGTACGCGACGTACCTATATAACAGTGGAAACACGACGTATGTCACCGACACGCTCTGGCCCATCATTGAGCTCGACCTCAACTATGTTGCGGGTAACTGGAACCAGTCAACGTACGTGTGATTTGTCAATTGTTTGTGAATTCAATGGCAACGAATATGACATTTGCCGCTGTGTCGCTCCCATTATCGCCGCTGAAAGCTGCAGGCTCGTTTTCTTGTATTCTGGACTGACTTGCGTTCATACAGCTTTGACTTATGGGAGGAAGTGGATTCGTCCTCGTTCTTCACTACCGCTGTTCAGCACCGTTCCCTTCGGCAAGGAATCATCTTCGCGAACTTGATCGGCCAAACCTCTGTAGTTTCCAACTACGAGACACAGGCCGAGGCTCTTCTGTGTTTTCTGCAGGTAGGTACGTTGTTCGGTTCTATGCTAGGGTTCATGAAGTCACCGCCGAACAGTCATACTGGAACCCTACTGACAATTACGTGACCGCGAACACTGGCGGTGGACGCTCCGGTAAGGATGCCAACACCGTCTTGGCTTCGATTCACACATTCGACCTGGACGCCGGCTGCGACGCGACGACCTTCCAGCCGTGCTCGGACAAGGCGCTCTCGAACCTCAAGGTCTATGTCGACTCGTTCCGGTCGATCTACACCATCAATGATGACATCTCATCCGACGCAGCCGTCGCGACCGGGCGGTACCCCGAGGACACATACTATAATGGAAACGTGAGCATATATGATACGTGCGGCGATCCTCTTTGACGAACATGTGTCCAGCCGTGGTACCTATGCACGCTCGCCGTCGCTGAGCAGCTGTACGACGCGCTCATTGTGTGGGACGCACAGGACTACCTCGAGGTGACGAGCACGTCGCTCGCGTTCTTCCAGCAGTTCGACTCGTCTGTCGCCGCGGGGACGTACGACTCGAGCACGAGCACGTACAGCACGCTCACGAGCGCGGTCAAGAGCTTCGCAGACGGCTTCACGCTCATCGTCGCGAACTATACCCCGTCCGACGGGGAACTGAGCGAGCAGTACTCCAAGTCGGACGGGAGCCAGACGAGCGCAGTGGACCTGACGTGGAGCTACGCGTCGGCGCTGACAGCGTTCGCCGCTGAGGCCGGGACATCGTACGGCAGCTGGGGCGCAGCGAACCTGTCGACATCGTCGTGCCCGAGCACGAGCGGCGTGTCTGTGACGTTCGAGGTTGAGTACGACACGGAATATGGAGGTGAGGGGATGTTATGCGTCTTAGACACTGTTCTGCAGCTGACTATTCATTGTGACCAGAGAATCTGTACATCACCGGGTCCGTTTCAGAATTGGAGGACTGGTCGGCCGACGACGCCCTGATCATGTCCTCCGCGAACTACCCGACATGGAGCAGTATGTGCATGTCTGGCTGTTCTTGTCGTGCGTGATGGCTGACGACGCGGCGTGCAGTCACAGTGACCTTGCCTGCGAGCACGGCCATCCAGTACAAGTATCTGACGAAGTACAACGGTGACGTCACCTGGGAGGACGACCCGAACAACGAGATCACGACACCCGCGAGCGGAAGCGTGACGCAGTCGGATAGCTGGCATTGAATGAGGCGAGACTCTAGACTTCCTTCGCGAAGTCTGGGTGTCCGAAGGCCTGTCTGACAACTTTACTAACAGCTATGGACAAGCTGTGCCAAATTAGAAAGAATGCTCAAATGTAGTGCCATCCTACTGTGTGTCCTGGCCTTCCGAGGTCAGACTATTATTACGGTTGTGTGATTTGTTCGTTACTTGCACGCTCATCGCGGCGCTGATTGATTCACGTGGGATAGTGCGTGGACATCCGTGGCAAATCTTAAGGAAACTTGAGGTACATGTAGACCATGCAACGATGACGATTGAGCGGACACAAAGTATACAACAGGGAACGATAACAGCAGGGATGATGCCGCTGAGGAGCAAGCGACAACATGAACAAAGGGTTGGGTACTAAAAGTTACATGACAACGAGTCCAGCAAAGTAGAGTATACCATGGAAAATACGATCGACAGCAGTTATCGGCAGCACATGCAACGTCCCGGTACACAAGACACTCACGACTTCCATACTGGTGGTAACGCAGACGTTGAGCATGATTTGTCCCCAAGACGGCCAAGAGGGTACGCACGGGCCATGGCAATAATGCCGTACAACATCAACAACCTGAAGCCGCAGTGAGTATTCTATTCATGTTTGGTAATAATATTATTGAAGAACCACGAACATTATTCCTTCCATGTGACCAGCCTTACCGTTCCTGCGGCGCGTCATGATGTCAGCCAAGGAGTCAGACGAGGAGCACAAGAACATTACTGAATGATTGCGTGCGTCGAGAACACAGACATGAAGAGCAAGAGTGCCTATGGCGCGTGCATCAGGGACCGTGCACCAAAGAGTGTTCAAACTTACTTGGAAAGCTGAAAAGAAAAGCGGAAGTTCACGAGAAGCTCTGCCAGACACGCGTCAGCGACGCAATGCACAGATGGATATTGGCTCACATCCAGCCAGTTATCACCAGCACCGGAGCGACGAAAGTCGCCAATTGCTATGAACCCGAAACTATCAGCAAGAGAACACATATGCTAAGGGCCCACTCACGATCACGCTGTCGATGCAACTGCCGATGCTAGTTGTGATGCTCCCCCGGTGCGCCGCAGACACAGCGTTCAAGTACTTCGCCGTGTTAGACTGTTTTAGAGGGGTTACTGCGGGGAGTAAGGACTATGCTGTGGGAAGACGTACAACGATAGGGAGAAGGATCACTGAGACGAAGACCTGGGGTATGTTTTCGCGGGCAGTTGCCTCCTCAACGGAAGCGACGACTGCATGTTGTCAGTAGACAGCAGGCAATATATCGGAGCTGGGTACTTACGGATACTGGAGCAGGAGTATATGAGGGCGGTATTCATGAAGAAGCTTCATATGAGGAGGGTGAACGCGAATTTTGCCTCATAGCATAACAATGACGTACCCAAGGGTTGCTGCAAGAATAGTTGTTCGCGGAGACTGGGATTGCCGCGGCTCATTCATGGATAGTGTTGAGCGGGCCTTGAGCTGTATATATACCACAAGAATATTGTGCGTATGGTTTGTGCGTCGTGACAATCATGGTTTCGATCATGCTCACCTGAATGGCCTGGTAGCCCAAGTAAGTTATCAAAAGGATAATCGCAGTGCCATGTGACATGAAGCGTAGGCCTGAAGCAGAGGTTTTGGACGACTCTATGTTGCTTCCTGATGAAACCAGTATGCCACTTGATATATGTTGAGCTGTAGGGACCGCCAGAACTACATGCCATCCCACACCATGATCAGCATGACCTATACCAGACTAGACCGTTCTTACTGGTGCAAGCGAGAACCATCATCTAAAGAGAATCAGCTACGTGTCTCTCTGATTGTGAATGGACACACCGAGTCCGACCTATTCTTGAGCTTGTCAGCTTGCGAGATACATCATCGAAAAGGGTCTAGGTCACGTACAACTGAATTGTAGTCCTCTCTGCACGGTTTTCAAGGTTGATGAAGCTTGCTATTTTTGCTCATTAGCTCCTATGCTTTTGTTCTTCATTTCCCAGACCCACCAGTGAAAAACGCAGAGCCCAGTGCCAAGGGTGTGCTGACTAGGATGGACCCAACAATCTGCAATGGGATGTTGAGCGTTGCATACTACGCCTATATTCACGCAGTTACGTACAAATCCTTGTACGCGCAATGCCTGGTCTATTCTGCGGGTGAATAGGGATCAAGAGGGGTGATGGTAGCTTTACCCTGCATCAGAGCCAAAATGCCGATGAACAAGTTCACCTCATTGGCAGCGAGCGCCTCGAGTAACCCGCCAGATGTAGAACTGAGGTTCTTCGATAACTCGCGCACTGATCTGTCAAGTACCTGAGACCAGTAGTCAAGACTCATCAAGGTTGAAAGTGGATCACGATAAGGCATACGGTTGCCAATGGTGGAATCGCCAAGAGACTGAACCAAAACCGAAGCGCTACATCCCAATCCAAGGACCGCGAAAGAAGACTGAGAGGTACGAAGACAAGCAGAACGCTTATCCATGAATCGATGCCTAAGTAAGCCTGGAACATGCTTAGAGAGGAGCTCGAGCTGGAAGTGTCCTGGCCAGTTCTCAGAAGCGGAGTGCGGATGTTTGGGAGAGGCATGAAGAGAGGCGTAGGTCCGAGTATTGGGCAGTCAGGGCTTTATATTGGCCCAAGCGCTGCATGCGCCACCCGGCGACTCTCAAACAGCAGGTGTCCCGATGACACGGCTGAAACAGCAGGTCTCCATGCAGCTCGCATGAGGTATTGTCTTCACACTGTTTTTGGACACTGCAGTATTGTTCTGAGAAGCCTGCACATTTCACATGAACTGTTGTAGTGATATGATTGAGTTCTGCAATCATTCGCCCGCCTACCCGACCGAAGAAGCGTAGGATATCACCATCGTGCATAATAGTCAAGCGAGGAACGTGCAGTGACGATACTGAGAACTCACGGAGTTTGATTGTAGACATCCTGAATTGGTCGTTACTCGGATAACGCTCACTGTGTAATTGAGAGATCACCGGAAGTGACAACTTCTCCGATGTAATGGAGAACCAGCACGTTCCATATGATACACTGCCTCATAGAATGCAGCAAGACCACAGGAATAGAGACAGCCCGTGTCAGCGAGCTTGGAGACAGAGGGCTAGTGCTACATGTGTGCGCATATGATAGTAGGAAGCCAAGATTGGTTACCTCGCTATATAAGATGGGCGTGTTACGTAAGCGGAACCATGGGCATACCGAGAGCACCGCACCGGTGATGTCGATCCTGTGTGCAACTCTCTTGCTGGCAGCCACCGAGACAGTCGCTGTTCTGCACCGTCTCGCTTTCTCCGCTGCCTCGTCTCGACTTGACCGCCTGTCATGAGTAACGACCAGCATGTGAGTGACACGCGATCTCTCCAACAAGAGGAGCTTGGGAACAGCTCGGAGGAGGAACGGAGGGGGCTCTTATCCAATGGCACGAAAGGTTACGACGACGACGATTCAAGACCTTGGTGGTCTTTGTCACTCAGGACTATTGTATATGCTGGCACTACTCTCGTCTTGCTCGTCATTGGGATTGTCGTCGGTGTTCGTCTGTTCGCACCTTCGTCGCGCCCAAGGCCCGACTTCGACCATAGGCTACTTAGAAGCAATGGTACGCATGACTTTAGGAAGACAGCCTTGATTGTTTCCATCGATGGCCTCCGGTAAGTGCGTCCAGATTTCAAGTGCTGCTGGTACTCGGAGCTTACGTAATCGCAGAGCGGATTACCTCGACAGAGGTCTCACTCCACATCTCCTTGCGATAAGCAAGAAGGGGCTTCGCGCGAAGTCAATGAAGCCTGTGTTCCCTGTGAGCTGTTTATTGATATAGTACATCCTGGTCGCTAACTACTTGATTTAGACGCTGACTTTCCCGTATGTGACTGCAATGCTTGGATGGCTGTTAGTTACTGACATATGATCTGTTGAAGAAATCACTGGGCATTAATGTAAGATATCTTAGTGCACAATCGACCGCATGCTTCTGACTCTTCTCTAGGACAGGGTTATATGTCGAATCGCACGGCATTGTCGCGAACGTATGTAGCAGTTCTACTTGCATTTGCATCATGAATTGATATCGCTTCCTCCAACAGAACTTCTGGGACCCATATACGGGACAGGAGTTTCATTACAACAGCGCCGCTACCTCTTGGAACTCATCATGGTGGTTTGGCGAACCTGCAAGTCTGGTCATTGACATTGACATTGGGTACCGCGTCTCATCGCTGCTTCTATTCCTCTAGATGTGGGAAACAGCTCAAAAAGCGGGCATCATTACAGCCAATCTGATGTGGTATGCTATGTTCAATGGTCGGGCGACCTCGCTATCTCACTCTTAATTTGCATTGTCTAACAGGCCAGGGCCTCCCGTGACGACGTCTGGCGTGTCTCCAACATATTTCATTCCCTGGAGGGTGGGGACTTACAATAACTCCTAAATTCAAGACTAACATTCAAGTGCATAGGATCGTGTGCCCCTGAAGGAGAAGCTCGATCAGATCACGGCGTGGATTGACTTACCGCTAGAAGAAAGACCTCAGCTAATTATGGGTAATTACTCTAAATCGCCCTGTGTCATTCTCAATAATCATACTGCTCATGACAGCTTATGAGCCGTCTCTTGATCAGGCGGGCCATCTCACTGGGCCTAACTCCACTCTCGTGAACGTGAGGTGATGTTTCTATCGAAGTGCGCGTGCAAACATCTGATTGTAGCATACTCCGTTGCAACAGAATGTTCTGCATCAGGTCGACATCTTCGCGCGAGATCTTCACGATGCGCTCGAGGCACGCAACCTCACTAATATTGTCGATGTCGTGTTTGTGAGTGACCACGGTATGACGGATACGAGCAACCCGGAGTGGATCTACGTCGACGATATCCTCGGCGATGGCTTCTCTAAAATAGACCATGAGGATGGTATGCAGTCCCTCTCCATTTAATGTCCGTGGCTCAATTTGAATGAACACTCCATGTCTAGGCTGGCCATCTATGGGCCTACGCTTCAAGCAGGAAGCCAATGCACAAATTTACCTTGACATGCTACTGGCGGCATCCAAGGCTAGCGGTGGCAAGTTTGAGGTATACACTCACGATACGATGCCCCGCCGTTGGCATTTTTCAAACAATTATCGAATTGCACCGATTTACATCGTGCCAAATGTCAAATACGCCCTCACGAACAGAATCGAGAACGGATCGGGTATGAGCAAGGGCGTGAGTCCACAATATCTGCAGGCGGCGTCAAACATCATACTGACATACGTGCAGAACCACGGATATGATAACGATGAGTCGTCTATGCATGCCATGTTTGTTGCACACGGGCCATTCTCCTCGGTCGTCAAAGCTGTCGAGCAGACCCGTGCGCAGTCGCTCCTCCCGCGTTTAGTGTCGCGGCCGAACAAGGGCTGGCACTCGACATCCGACGACATGTACGTGATGGACACGTTTGAGAACGTGAACATCTACAACCTGATGATCAAGCTGCTCGGCATTGAGAAGTACGCCGCAAGCACGAATGGTACAGAGGGTTTCTGGGACCAATTCTTCTGATGTCGGGCAGAGTTGGACGCCGCCTTAGATTGGACTCACTCGTGTTACTGTGTACGTTAGACTGATTCATGCTTGTGATAGACTCGTTCTTAAATTGATATAGTTCATTACAATCAGTGAGGTACTGTACAGACGTACATAGGATGGGAGAGGTCATCCTAGCGATTTACTCCAGACCAGATATTCACTACGGCGCTCGTATAGCATCAGATCATACACGTAACATGTCGTTCCTATTCCATCCTCCATGTTGTTCGTCGGTAGCTTGAGCTTGTCAATGGCCATCGGCATCGAATACGGTTCCGCCCCCGCGGATATCCATGTGGTCGCCGGTGGCAGTGGGCACGTACGCATTCTCCGGGAGGCCACTCTCGTCGACACCCTCGGCGGCCTCAATGACTTCGTACAGCCTCGAGGCGACCTCTGGAGGAGGTACGCGTCCGCCGAGGATGTCGGCGGCAGGCACTGGCGAACCATAGAACTCACGGTTTGCATCCTTGCGTTCAATGAGCACGGTGCCTTCCAGTGAGATACCAGCGAAGAGACCTAAGAATGCATGATCGATACTATAGTATCCGGTAATTTGATACAGACGCACCCTTCGACTTTGAATACGAGAACAGCGGGGCGGGGTGTGCCAAGCTCGCCTGCAGGGCGCCGCCCGTCCCAATCGGGCCTGCTGCAGCGCTGATGTTACCGCCGATAGTGACGTTCCCGCCCATGGAAAACGCGCGGACTGCATCCTCGCTGTTGAGCACGACGACGAACTCGGTGAGATCGGCACCGATCTGCAGGCCCCAGCCTACGCCACCGGTAGCGATACAGGACGGTGCCGACCAAGAGCCATCGGGGAGACGGGCGATGACGAGCCCCGAGCCTGCCTTGCCGGAGAAGACAAATCCTGCCTTTATGACCGAGAATACAGCGAGTCCTGAGGGTAGGCACGAAACGTCAGAGGCGATGACCACGCGGCGTGAATGACATACCTCGGGCGCGCTGCAGGACAACCTTGGGTATCGAGTTGAGGGCAGATTCGGGGTGTTCTGGATCAGCTTTGACAGCTCTCAGTACATTTAGCACATCAGCAGTGGGATAGCTACTCTCACCCAAGAAGCTCGCGAGAATCTTCGCCGCCTTCTCTGCCTCCCCTGGTAGACTGAATCCCTGCACGAAGTTCTGGCCCTCGGTTGCAATTTTGCTAGAGCCGTCCTTGATAAAGACAGAGGCCTGCTGACCGGCCTTCTGTGCGCCCTTCTTGAGCTTGTCAAACATAGACATGGCAAGGTAAGTGCGGTGGAGGAAAAGGATGTCTATGTCGATCTGGGTCCTAGTATAATGTCGTACAGGCGCCCACACAATGATTCCACGTGATACCTGCGTACATGGACGCTTCACCTGGGTCCTGCCTCGCACCGTGTTCTCGGTCATCCACGACATTCTCCGTCTTCTTTCCGGGACACTTCTACTGGCGCATTTGTAGCGCGTATACAAGATACAAAACGCAAATAGAGTTAATTCAGAATCATGGCAGACGCGCCCGTCATCTTCAAGCGAACAAAGGCGAAGCCTGCTCAACGTGGTCGCACATCGACTCCGGACATTGCTGAGAGCGGAGCCGACGGAGAGGCTGCTGATGTGGAAGTGGAGGAGTCACCCAGTACACTTGCCACGAAATTGAAGAAGAAGATCAAAACTCGCGAAAAACCTAAGTCGAAGCTCAGCTTTGGTGGGGATGAGGTGAGACGTCATACCGCTCTCGCGGACAATTACTAATGGCTGGAGGGAAGTAGGAAGGGGAAGGGGAAGTTTTTCAGGTGAAGAAATCAAAGCTGAGCAAGAAGATCACGCTTGGGAGACACCCTTCATTGTCTGGGTGAGTCTGAATGCTTCCTGAACTACATGTAGAGACTGACTGGAATCAAGCAATGTTATTCCATCGTCTGTAGATCTGTCCATGACATCAAGGACCGATAGCACACCAAAATACGATGCGGCCTATCTATCGGAGCTTAAAGCCAGCACACCGACAGCGCGACCGTCCGTGTATACGGATGGAGACATATCCTACGACGCCGACATGTCTGTCGATACTGAGTCAATGCTACAGTCCACAATGTCAAGTGTCATTGACTTATCTGGTAGGCCTCTTCATTGCATGCAATCCACCTAGCTCATATTCCCGTGTCAGGAGAGGCTGAGCCGGAGGCCATGATCCCATCAGGGTCCGCTGTATCAGCCGCAAAGCAGAAACGAGAGCGGCTGCGTGCGGCGGGTAATACTGGAAGTGAAGATTATATTTCACTATCGGTGTCAAAGCGCAGCGATTTTGCTCAAGGACCTCACCCCGAAAGTAGGCTTATGCGTGAGGAGGATGAGCTGGGAGACGCGGACGACGGTATAGCCCTTGTACTTGTAGTACTTTCTGGACACAGCTGATTGTCGTTGCAGAATTCGCAGAGTACACTAGCGCACAAGAGCGAATAGCGCTGGGGAAGAAGTCGCGCAAGGTGGAAGCTCGCAAACGGCGGGAAGAAATGAACGAGATGATCGTTGACGCGTAAGTTCACGTGAGCCTCAGAGTCCTAGTGGTCCTGATCAATGTATGCAGAGAAGAGCAAGACGAGGAGACTATGGAATGGGAGCAGGAACAACTGCGCCGCGGAGGACTTCGTGCGGAGGATATGAATGAGAAGGCGGTCAAACCGACATACAAGCCCGCGCCAAGTATGTGCATGCTTCAAGCGGTTACGTCCGTTCTGACGAGTCTGTAGTACCTGCAATCACACCCATCCCAACACTGGGCGCAGCGGTCGCAAGACTCACCCAGTCTCTGACCGCTCTTACTACATCTCATGCACAAAACGCTGCGTCAGTGGCTTCTCTTGAACGCGAGGAGGAGCAGCTTGAGACGCGCGAGAAGGAGATGCGCGACATGATCACTAAAGCAGAAGATAAGAGGAGCTGGTTTGCAGCTTTCAGAGAGTGGGTGGAGAGTGTCGCCACATTCCTCGATGAGAAGGCATGTCTGGTTGTGCTACATTTATGCAACGTGTTGTATTGACCAACATTCTAGTATCCATCACTAGAGAAACTCGAGGACGAGCACGTCTCCTTGTTGAGAGAGCGTGCAGATATGATCAAACAGCGACGGACAGCAGATGATGGGGACGACCTCTCGCTCTTTCTCGGCTCTCTGCCCTATGCGCCAGATCAGCCTGAGGAAGTCGATGAGCTTGGCCGTGTCATACCGCAGGCAAATTCCCCCGCCGCCCGCCGTGGCCGGTTAAATGCCCGCAGTGCGCGGCGTATACTGCGGCGTGCAAGCGGGCGTGCTCGGGGGCAGGAGGAAGAGGGGTATTCCACCGACGCGTCGCTTCCGCCGTCAGATGCGGCAGACTATGACACCGCCATGGGCAGGTTAGCAAGCGACGCAAAGGAGGTCATGGCGGATGTGAAAGCGGAGGAGTTCCGGGATCCAAGCCGAGGATTAGGCAAATGGTTCGGCGAATGGAGAGACAATTTTGAGGATAACTACACCGGTGCATGGGGAGGGTTGGGTATGGTTGGCGCATGGGAGTTCTGGGCACGCCTGGAGATTTTGGGTTGGAATCCGCTAGAGGTAAGTCGTTCGAAGAAGCGATTGTGGCATAATGGCTCACTCGCACATGTTGTATCTTCAGGACAGTCGAACGCTTGACAGTTTCTCGTGGTACCATTCATTATATCAGTACTCGCGCCCGCGTCGAGACGGCGATGTAGACGATGACGAGGAGCCGGACATGGGGCCGGATGGCGACCTCGTGTCGGCCATGATATCTACAGCTGTAATCCCTCGCCTCTGCAAGCTCTTGGAAGGCGGTGGTTTTGATCCATACTCCGCAAGGGATACTCGGCGGCTCACCAATCTAGCAGAGCAAGTGGAAGCCTCTGTGGAGAAGGACAACCTGAAGTTTGAGGTTTGCTTTGTTTGTTCCACTTTGCTTAGGTTTTGTGCTCATCCAAAGTGTAATTGCAGATGATGTTGAGGTCCATATACAACACCTTTGAGGTTGCCGTATCAGCCACTGATGCCCTCGTCTCGTCCTATATGGCGGTCAATACACCCCGTTTCGATCCGGAGGCTATCCCTGCACGGCAGCGGTTCCTTGCTCGCAGGTATAAGCTACTACGCAATTTGATCCAGTGGCGGAAATATACTGGCGAGCGGCTTGGAATTGGTCAGCTGGCGAAGAGGCTTGTTGAGAATGACATGCTACCGATCGCCCAAAGTGGATGGGAGGTTGGTGGGGAGGAATATATACAGAAGGTACGTGGCTACGTGTGAGATGCGGGCACAAGCTTATCTTCGAGTGTACCGATAGGCTGCGCAGACATTACCTCCCGAGCTCGTACCCTCGTCTGTTAGGACTCTGATTGGTGATTAACGAAGACATGCGGGACGCGCTTCATTCCATATAACTGGCGCGGTGATTGCATGCATTCCACATGGGCCATTCCACTGAATCTATCCCACCATCCCGAGGTCCTGTATATCAAACATACTGCTGGCGATTGTGCAGCAGCTCGGTTCGCCGGCTGCTCACCACACATTCTTCAGTTCGTGGCCTCGGAAAAACAATTGCGAAGCCCTTTGACCCGCGTAGCCTGTTCGTCTCCAGACGAATGAGTCAGCGTCACGCGTGGCTCGTTCCGCTGTCGAACATCCTTTACACGTACCGCGGTGTACGATGCGCTCTGATTTGCTGTGCTCTGCCATTGCAGCTTTCATCGATCATCTCCCTATTTGGCGCCGCTGTGTGGATACACATATATGGCCCTCTATTACTGAACGATGACGGATGCCGTGAGTGTCGTGCTCGTCGCTCAGCATATGGGCTACCAGTCTGGACCTGGAAGCTTTCCTGCACACAGATCATCAGCATACCGTTCATCTTACCTGATTACCTGCGATGTAAAAGATTGAGGCAGTCTGGCCTGTGATAGCACAGACCCGTGGTTTCATTCTGATGTTATTGGCTGCATTGGTACTCCTATGATCATCCAGAAGTCTCATGGCAGGCAGGCGAATGTCTAGGCCTTCTAATCGTATCGACTGGGCTTGTGGGTACTAGTAGTCGCGCGCGATTCATAGTCGACGATGATCTTTGCGGCTGATATATCCACTCGCCTCGTTCGTATCACTGCCTGGTGGTCGAGAGTATACAGGGGTCTCTCAAGTGAAGCTGTTAATATAGCATGTCATATTGGCGCATTGGGATACAAAGCAACATGGCGCAGCTGGAAGCGCGCGGGGCTCATAACCCCGAGGTCACTCGATCGAAACGAGTTGTTGCTAGCCTAATATTTTAATATTTTGCATTCAAATCACATCTCCGATTACCTGCTACAATATTTGAGCAACCCGGTATATTGGTGTATTGGCGTATCAAGGCGACAGCCCGTAAACAATGGTCCGCTCTTTCGAGGCGGGTAGCTGATTTCCTTGCGCAACGCAGACGATGACTTGCCTTGTAATTTTTAAGTCAGTACAACAATTCCCTTTCGCTTGTGTCGGTGCTAGTACGTCAACTATTGTCCTGAGAACATGCGATATTCTGCGATGTCGTCTAATTCAGAGCCTTCTGCCTAAGAGAACCGGATATATCTGACCCAGAAGACCTGCTCTCAGAATTTGTGCAGACCTTGTACGATTATACGCTCGTCGGGCATTCGTCGGCAGCTCTTCGCATCTCGTTACCCCCACGATCTTCCATCACATTTATCGGTGAAAGCAGCCTCACACTCAGCCAGGCAATTAGGCGCTGCATGTATCATCAATTGTGGATATCGTCCCTATTCATCGCTGACCATCTCGAGGACTTACGTCTCGATCGCACTTGCAATGCGCTCAGGGTTCGGCCATACTATTACGTGTCTTGGAAATCGGGACGGGAGCAGCGCTTCCCAGCATTGTTGTTGCGCGGCTCTATCAGGAGCTAATTTGCACTCTAGCGGACAACATACAACGAAATGGAGTATCCAGGAGCTGTCACGCTGTGCCGTATGCCTGAGGAAATAACCCCTCTACTCGTTTCACATCCCAGTGCAAAGAATTATCACATGTGTCTGGCTTCGACGTGCTGATCGCTGCAGATACGTTGTGGGATCCTGAATTGCACGGCATGTTCATTCAGACGCTCTGTATGGCACTACGGTGCCCCGATGCTCGAATATACTTAGTCGTCGGATTGCACATGGGCAGGTACGCAATTCAGGCATTTTGGGGCACTCTCACAGGTGCCGGACTCGAAGTCGAGAAAACGACAGAACGGGATGTGGACGGCGGTGATCGCCGTGCGAGAAATGTTGAGAGGGCCGACAGAGAGACACAGCAGGACAAGAGACGATGGGTTATCTTGATGGCGTTGAGGTGATCATCCGACCAGACAGCATGACCTACCTACGATATATCATGTATATCATGTATACCAACAAGATGTCGAGGAGAGCGTGTTGATGAACGCTTATCGACGTTGGTCCAATGAGGTTTATCCCGAGGAGTTCAGAGAGAACATGATATGCCCAGTAAGCCTTGACTGAGGTGAGCACTTGCAAGTTCCTTACCTGGTCCATTGTCAGTTGACGTCTAATTAGTTTTTTTTTAGGACGGGCCGGGACAGAACCTCGTCTGATTTGAGCCATTTCATGCGATTGCGGGTCACGTTGTTCACGCAAGTACAACATCAGTCACGTGGGCACAACGCGCCCTCGCGAACTACATGCCTTGTGGCACCCAAGGCCTTGATCGACACCTGTGATCACCTTTGAGAGCGTGAGTAACTTATGCGATAAGCCACCCGTGGATTGAATTGACAACGAGAAAAGTGCAGGATCCCGTGCTGCAGACTTGTAGCTGCAGCCTGATATATCATCGCGTCGTCTTGATCCTTCGTAAGTCCATGCTGCTGGCACCACTCTGCCATGTCTATTCATAGCGACTTTCAGCGCGCTCAATATCCCTCAAGCTCTTATAGCTCTCAAGCTCTTATACATCTCCTCCCGACTCATCACCGGCTCCTGAATCCTCTTCACAGACCAGGCCATCGCCACCCATATCTCACCTCAAGTCGTCGCCCCTGAAATTTGGCAGTGTGTCCACACGTGGTACATATTCTGCGAAGAGCAAAGCGAACTTTTCTGACTGCTGCAAGGATATGGGTGACGGCTTGACGGACCACCTGCAAGAATACGAAGTCAATGCATTCGTCAAGCGCTATGCACCTGGAGATGACCCTACCGACGAAGAGAAGAAGAAATTTCGTCCATTCTCCCGGGAAAAGCTCCTATCAGGAGAATCGGAGATGGGGAAGGAGGTTGTAAGTGCTGAGGCTGTTCTCTTGTCCAGTTGCGTATCAATCATGCTTTCGTCCAAGGTCCTTGTCGTAGACTCGGTGATAAACTCGCATGGGAGCAATGACCTTGTTGCAAAATATATGGCAGACCTTCCGGACTCCACGGAAGGTCCTGTCGACCGCAAGTTGAGACAAGATGTGGTCATCTACCCGACAAATAAAACAGCCGTGAAGGCCTATCATATTGGGGATACAGATGATACCGATAGGGAGTCCCTCGCACGACGCAAGCCCATGCCCATCGAACACGATATTCGATGGACGTGGACGTGTGTCCCGATTGAGCTGCAGTTGTCCGCTACGACAGCACCATTTGGAAAGGCAAACAGTGGGTACTTCTTTCCTGGTGGACAGCTGCAGCAAAAGGCAAGGGCTCAGATCGCCGACCACGTTGCGACGATTCTTAATCACCAACATAGGGTGTTCTGCTTCATGATCGTCATCACTGGGGTCGAAGCGCGCCTGCTGCGCTGGGATCGAGCTGGAGCAGTCGTCACCAATGCTTTCGACCTTACGGACTCGGAGCAAGTCAAGCCGATGTACCGGTTTCTCTACAGGCTGAGCAAGATGACTGCCGAGCAGCGTGGATATGACCCAACGGTAGTGCCTGCCAGTGGTGACGAAATCATGTCGATGAATGTAGCCAGGGATGCTCTGCCGGAGAGCGACTATCGTCGTAAGCGCATCGCTGCCGCCATGACCTGTGGGTGGCAGATCCAGAAGATCAGGATGCGCGAACAGGACGTGGTGTCCGTAGAGGCGTGGCGCCGCGCTGGCCAAGATTCGACCTCTGCACCTACAGACTCATCCTCTCTGTCTTCGAGTGTCCAAGCCGGCGTTGCTCCTTGCTATACACCTTCTTCTACGCCTCCCAACGCTCATACTCCCGCGTCTTCGGATAGCAGAAACGAGACAGGCAGCGCGGACTTTGGGGGCCGCTACTTCCTCGTTGGTAAACCCGAGCATCACACCGATTCCCCGATTGGACGCGGGACACGGGGATACATCGCCTACGATATGAAGACTGGGAAATTCGTTTTCCTCAGGGACTCCTGGCGCTACGAAACGTCAAAGTCGGAGATAAAGGTCTACGAGCAATTGCACAGGAATCGAGTCAGACACATCGCGACACCGATATGCGGGGGCGATGTTATCGGGCAAGATAACTCTCCCCAGCAGACATGTGCACAAGAGTTCGACAAGGACAAGAAAATGCCGAAGTACATTCATAACCGTCTGGTAGTGGAAGAAATTGGCATCTCCCTCCTGGAGTTCCCCACTGGGCGGGATTTGGTGGTCGTAATGACACACGCACTCATAGGTGGGCCGCGGCTTGTAGCTTCCAAATACAGTCACTCACCTCACGTCTGAAGCCCATGAAGACGCATGGAAGTTCGCTGAAGTCATGCATCGTGACATCAGTGTTGCGAATATCCTCATGCTTCCTGATGCAAATCCAGAAGCTGTCGGCGTGAGTG